AATAATTATTCTATATATAGGCTTTTTAAAAGAGTGAAAAAGACAGGTGAAAAAGGACTATTATCTATTCTCTCTTTAAAAATAAAAGAGACAAAAACAACAAAAAAAAAATAAACAAAAAGATATATAAATATAAATATAGGAAAAGAAAAATAGGGGAACTTATTTTTAAGATGACGATATAATATGGTAGTAAAAGAAATACTTTATTTACTTAATATCCATTTCTAGAAGATTTTAAAATTAAAACATTTGATAACTTTATACAGTAAAGTATAAAACAAATGAGATTTTTCTTATTGAATGCTTATATCTTTTTTAGTTTTGTTCAGTATGAACATTTTCATCTTCAACTGGTTTTGGAGTTTCTTCTTTCTCTTTACCAGTTTCTTCTTCGTTTTCTTTGTTATCATCATTTTCATCATTTTTCGAATTATTTTCACTATTAGGAGGTTCAAGACTCTCTGAAGTTTGTTCTTCATTTTCTTCATTATCTTTTTTGGCTTCTTCAGTAACCTCCTCTTTCGGCACTTGATCTTTTTTAGCAAGCTTGTATCTTTCGGCTTGTAAAGCTCTGCATAAACTTTCAAGTTTATTAATTCTTGATTGGGAAAGAAGAGCTTCTTTGTCCTGCCTAGTTTTTTCTTCAGCCATTTGTATCAGAGTCTTATTACTATTCTCCCATCTAGTTTTCCATGATACTGCATCCTTCTCCATCTTTCGCATACGTTTAGTCATAGCGTCCATTTCAGCCTTAAACGCTTTCAAAACCTCATTACTATTTGTTAAGGTTCCTTGGAACTCTTCGTATTTTTCGGTGTACATTTTGATCTAGGTAAAGTAAATTTTATGTAATTGTTTAACAACAAAATAAAGATTTAAATTCTATCTACTTGGGCTTTGAGTTGTTTTTCATGTTCTTCCATTAACGCTATTCGCCTCAAATTATTTTCCAATTCTTCCAATATTTTACGCTTGTTTTCTTGCTCTTGAGCTAATTGTAACAAAATTTGAGCATTTTTTGCATCGGAGAGTTGTTTTTCTAGTTCGCGATGTTTCAATATTTCTTCTATATGCTAATATAAAAGTATTAATTATATTTGAGTTTTTAATACATTTGCAGTTTATATTTTAACCAACCTTTTCTCTTTCTTCATACTGATTTATTAAACTTTTTAATTGTTCAGCGAGTTTGATATTTTCTTCTCTCAGTTTTATATTTGTTTCTTGATGACCATTTATTTGGCCTTGAATCTCATTTATAGTTGTTTGAAAAGTATCAACTATCTTTTTTCTTTTCTCCTCTTCTGATCGAACTTCATGCAGCGTTTCTTCTTTTGCCTCTTTACATCTTCTCTGTAGTTCGCGACATAAACCTTCCAATTGACCTTTGGCAAGTACAGCTTTTCCATGCTCCGCCTGAGCCTGTTCTTTCTCTTTAGTGACTGTTGCTAGCTTCTTGGTATTAACTTTTTGTTTATGCATCAAAGTGCGATTTTCTTCAGCAAGTTCTGTATATTTTTTACATAAGGCTGTTAGCTTCTCCTCCGTCGTCGAAAGACCAGAAAGACCCTTTATAACTTCAGCTGAAAGCAAAATATGAATAAAACATTATAATAAACTAAACAATAAACTAATAATGAAATCAAATCTGTTTTTAGAACATTTGCTTAATAAGCCTAGTCAAGTTTCTCTTTATTTTCGTTCTTTTATTATTATGGTTATTTAGAATATATCGAAGGCACTAGCAAAAAAAATAGAAACAGTCAGAATTATAATTCTGTATACCTTGTTATTAATTATTAATTGATATTTAATTGAAGTTAATCGCAAATAAAAATAGAAAGTATAAAAAAATATAAAAACTTGACTGTATACGATAAATGGCATATTGGTTTTTCCGACTAGAACTGTAAATCTGTCTAAACAAGTTTAGTTGACATTTCTATCATATGTAAACCGGATTGTATTTTCAGTAGACTTAATACGTTCTAGATAAATAAAACAAGACCAAATAAACTAAATACATTGGTAGTACTTCATATTTCAAATTTAAATCTATCTTCCCTCAACTTGTATGATTAGCTATAATTAATATAAAATAACTTGGATTATTCGTTATGGGCATATAGTTACTTTAAAGTGTAAGTCTAATGTATATATATATATAATATTTATATTAATACATATATTAATATATAATTTCAAAATAAAATAACAATTTCATGTCACGTAGCCACCTAGTATTTGTATAAAAAATTCTCTTTCGCCGTGTTTGAAATTTGGAAAAAAAAAAGAACACAAGAAAAGAGAAAACAGATTTCTTTGAATAAGCCAATTGGGGCGTGAGGGGGTGGAAATATTATTTTTGTACCCATCAAAATATTAAGCTTTTTATTTCTCAATATAAATAGACGAAAACTTGCATTCTTGTTATAAAAACATAAAACGTTCGTCATTTTCAGCCATCTGACTTTAAACGATAGCCTAATACTTTTCCTTTGGTTCCTTAATGTAAAATATAAATAGACAATAGGGATAGCGAAAGGGGAGGGGAGAGAGAGAAGAGAGAGGAACGAGAGAAAATATCAAACATTTCAAATGTTTTCACCTGTTTAATACTTTTATAAAAATTAGGTTTCTATGTTAAGTTTATAATTTATCGAAAGAAAGGAATTTATTATGTTGATAACACAAATTTTAAGGTTTTTTTAAAGAATAATGAATTAGTGTTAATATATATGCAATTACTTTTCTGAATCATGACATGGACTTTTAAATGGCCACTAGAAAATTAAATGAAATTCTCAATTCATCCCTCTCTTATCGGTTCACTCGCTAATTCGAAACGACGACATCTCTAACATACCTCCTTCGTGGAAAGGTTTACTAGAATAAAATGTGTGTAAAGTATACTAACCCACTTTCTTGTCAGCTTTGGTTTTCTTTGAACCAGCCGAAACCGTTGAATCTTTACTATCGGCTCCGTTTTTTTTATGTGATTTTACCGCTCTGTCAGGACTTTCTTTGGGATTTGATAATTCTTTAGCATCTTTAACATCAGCATTCTCTTCGGTAGGCTGCTAAAATCAGGCATGGTTATGAAATTAAAAAGCTAAGCGAAAATCGCAAACATTTTACTTATCGCTGATATCTCTTGGGTCAGTCAGATTAATTAACGGTTATGTTTATCACATTAAAAGTACATTCTTCTAATTTATAGAATGAAATAATAAATAATAATAGATAAAAAACATACTTGAAAATTTTCGGTATGCTTTACTTCTGCCATAATTTTTCGTTAAACTACGATAAACATGTGAAGTACACCAGTTTGCTAAACTCTACCAGTTTAGATTTTACGGAAGCCGAAACATGCCGCGCTTACAATGCTTACAAACATTTGAAAGTTTAAATGATAAAATATGGTTTACCTGTTGGAATCCATCAGGAACAATTTTAGCATCTTGTGGTTCAGATAAAAAGATTAAATTGTGGCAACGGGGAGGTATTTTAAATTTGTGTGTTTTATTGTCAAACTTCACGTTAAATTTGAGCGACAAAAGATGAAATTGTATTTCAGATGACGATAAATACGTTTGTATTAATGTATTGGAAGGAAGTCATACAAGAACGATAAGAAGTATTAGTTGGTCGAAAGATGGAAAATTCCTTGCGTCAGCTAGTTTTGATGCGACCGTCTGTATTTGGGTAAAAAGAGAAAACTGGGAATGCATTGCAACATTGGAAGGCCATGAGAATGAGGTCAAGAGTGTTAGTTGGTCAAGCTCGGGAAATTTTTTAGCTACCTGCAGTAGAGATAAAAGTGTGTGGGTTTGGGAAAGTAAGTTTGTTTCTTTATCTCTTTACTATAATAATTTCAAAAAATAATGATACAATTCAAGAATCATTTCCGAAAACTAAAATTGATGATATAATACTGATAAGATTTGATAACAAAGCCTATAAACAAATTTCAGTAGTATTTGCAAAAATAAGATAAAAAAGAAATATGCGTTCCTATTTTAATTTTGAATGTTGATCCTCTTTAACAGTTGATGAAGATGAGGCTTTTGAGTGTTCATCAGTAATGAATTCTCACAGTCAAGATGTTAAATGTGTAAAATTTCATCCAAATGATGATATTTTCGCTTCTGCTAGCTATGACGATACAATTAAATTATACAAACCAAGTGGTGACGAATGGATATCATTTTGCACAATGGAAGGTCATTCCTCTACCGTCTGGTGTGTAGATTGGTCAGAAGACGGTAATACCTTAGTATCTTGTGGAGATGATAGGACAGTAAAACTTTGGAAAGAATTTAAACCATCAATAGGTTCAAACAACGCTATATGGAAATGTGTTTGTACTTTAAGTGGATATCACGACCGACCTGTATATTCCGTTGACTGGTAAGAAATATTATATAATTTCTTAACTACATATTAAAGAAAAAAACAATGCAGATGAAAATTCTAAGATTGATCGATTTGTAAAAGTTGTTAATATTTCAGGTGTCACAAGACAGATTTAATTTTAACCGCTTGTGGTGATAATGCAATTAGAGTATTTCGAAAATGTCAAACAGATGGTGTTGAAAATGAAGGTGGATTATCGTTAGAAATGGTAGCTAAAGAATATGATGCTCACAAAGAGGATGTTAATTGCGCTGCGTGGAATCCTATTGAAGAGAATATTCTGGCAAGTTGTAGCGATGATGGAATGTTGAAATTTTGGAAATTTATAGATGATCAATAATAAATATATATAAAATGAAACTAAATATTGGAATAATAATAATTTATTACACTTTATTGTTATGTTAATCTGTTTAAAGCTGTTTAATAAAAATTTCCTCATCTGTTTTTTGGATTATTTTAAGTTTAGTTTAGTGAGAAAACACCCTTAGGATATCTGATTGACAGTATACATATTGACGATAAAAAGGGACTGTAGTATGTGTACTACGCATGCATAAGAAGTAAATGTAATAGGACAAATATGTACATAGGATAATGTATAATTTATTTCCCGCGCCTCCTGGGGTAAAATAGAATTAATGAACCTCATAGGACACTGCACTTTGCTGGAACTCTATTTCCTTTAGTCATTTGTCGTTTCACATCCGGCGTTAAAATGCTTCAGACTATCCTTTTACTTGTCTCAACGCAATTTCTTCTTTGTCATACCAAAATAACATGTAAGTAATTTACTAAAATGCTTAACGAGCAATAAGTAAGAAGAAGATTTTGCATTCTATTCTTCCATGGTGATATATGCTAATCGATTTCCGTCTGAATAAACATACCTCTACAAATGATTTTTTTTACAACGTAATTTCATCAACAACAAAATGATATCTACTGTTAACGTGGTGAAAAATTAAACTGACCTTAAAGAGCAAAAGAAAGAAAGTAAAAAAAAATGCATTGTTTTATTAGAGAATAATAAAGATTGATGATTAAAATGATTAACATTCTCTAACTCAATTAATAATTACTTGCAAATGAAAAACCTGCAATAGGAAATGTATATATACTAAAATAATAGAGAATAATTTTCTTTCCCTTTTTTTAATTGATAAGGTACTCTAAAACCGAATGAAGAGGTTAAGGTGATATATATGCATGTAAGTTTCGAATAAACTCAATATACATTTATAGTATTAATCAAAATGAAATTAACGCATGTAGGATCCACCTTACATTATGAAAAATGATAAAGATAGTGAACCAACCGGATTTATTGTCGATATCTTTACCAGAATGAAGGAAAAATTGAACATAAAAATAAAGTATCAATTGAATGAAGATGGCGGGTTAGTAATATTTGCATTGAAAATAAGTAACTTAAGAAAATTCAATTTCGTATGTTTATTCTTCTTTCAGATATGGCAGACTGAAAAATCCTGATGCTGATGATTCTAAACCAGAAAATTGGAAAGGCATGATAGGGAGAGTTGCTAGAGGTGAAGCGGTATGTTTAAATGAAATATCTATTGTAAAAGAATTAATTATTTTATAAGTAAATGAAATTATTTTCTTAATTGCAATTAGTGTATGGCCGTACCATTAACTATATCTGCTAGAAGAGAAAAAGTTATTGATTTTTCAATTCCCATTCATCGAAGTGGTATATCTATTCTAGCAAGAAAAGCTTATACCCAAGACCATTTTGAGAACGAATACTCTTATACATTTAACATTTTTACACCTTTCGAAGTATCTGTATGGTTTTCGTGCGCAATTGGCTTTCTTGCGGTAATTTTTTTCTCTTTTAGTAAATAACCCTTCTCAAACTCTATTTATATTATGCAACTCTTTTAGGTTAGTCTATTGTTGTGGGGAATGAATAGGTATAATCCATACGAATGGGGTTTAAGATATGATTTGGGAAGAGCTACTGAATATCAAGCCCAGTCATTTAACTTTACTGGTTCTCTGTGGTTCGCTTATACCACGCTGCAATGGCAAGGATACGAGAGAAGTCCTCGTTCCTTATCTTCAAAAGTACTTTCAGCTTTCTGGTTTATGTTTGTAACTTTGACAATAGTAACTTATACTGGAGCACTTGTAAATAATCTGTTTTGGGCAAGTACTGCCCATGTAAGTATATAACAATAATTGATTTTTTATTGCTTTTTATCCAAATAATTTATGACTGTATATAACCATACATTCACAGTATAAGGATTTTACTAAACCTGAAGTTTACGATATTTATCACCTTGTTGGAAGCAATAAATTTGACTATGGAGTAATTCACGGAGGAGCAACTTATAACTATATAAAACAGGTAAAATTTTTGTTTTATATATGCGTATATTAACTTGTGCTCTTTAGCCAATATTTATTAATATTACTATTTAAAGAGAAGCTTGAGGCTTGACAGCACAGCTCAGCTAATGATGGCTTACTGGCAAGATGAAAAGAGAGGAGCAAAGTATTTATTTAATTCAATGGCACAAGCAATGCACGTGATGGAGAATAATAAGACAAAGGTTAGAATTGAATTTATTTTCTTTAATGTTTTCACTAAACTCTTCTCTTTGTTTTTGAAGAAATTCGCATTGATAATAGAAACTGGAACTGCACGATATCAAGCAAACAATGCAAAACGATGTGATTTTGCAGTGGTTCCTAGAGAGATTCATACAAGGGATATAGGAATTGCTCTTCCACAGAATATAGACAAAGATACAAGAGATAAATTGAATAAGTTTTTGTTAAGTGTTAGTATGAGTTTGAAAGTTTTAAGTTATTCGATTTATAAACGACTTTCCCGATAAAAATAGATTAAAGAATCGGGTGAATTATTAGATTTGGAAACTATTTGGTTTGAAGGATTAACCCACTGCGCAATTATCAATCGGGTAGATATTATTCTAGCAAAATTACTTCGAAGAAAATGTTTATAGTACTGTATATTTAATCTTTTAAATACAATTCTAGGAACAAGAAAATCATGTAAGAATATCTATGACAGAATTAAATGAGCCGAAACGAATAGATCTTAGTGTAACTATACCAAAATTTTATTAGAAATAACTTTCCTTATCTAATCATACCTTTTTCTTTTAGATATTCAAAGGAGCATTAATACTCATTTCTGTTGGTTTAGTTATGTCACTTTTTGTTGGAATTGGTGAAATTCTTTACTTTAAGTATAAAGGAAGGGTAAATATAGATATGTTTTGCAGAATATATAAAAACAAACTAATACCATTCTATCGCATTTATAGTATCAATCGAGCAATCAACCTGGAGGACAACAATTAAAAATTGATGAGGATCAACATATTTAAACATTCCAAGGAAGAGCCCTTGTATCTTTCGATATTTATTCATAACATTCCAATGAATAAATTTTACTTATTTAACGAAAGAATATAAGAAAATCTGTGGAAAAGTTTGCTTCTTTTCGATAATTTTTACCAAAATTTTTTGAAGAAAAAAGAAATTCATGTTTTCGTATTTATTCTGCACTCATTGAAAAAAAGAAATGTGATCGCGATCTCTTTCTGTGCTTATTTTCATTTTTTCTCTTCAAATTGCTTATTTTTTTTCCATGGTTTTTTATTTCTGCAATCTCTATCTACCTATGACTATCTAACATAAAATTATGTCTTGTGTTCGCTTGTTTATTCATAGAAAATTGCTGTTTTTTTTGTCACCTGCAATGAAAATTTAGAAGTTACATATATAAAAATGTTTACATCGTATACATATCTATTTGTTACAGAGTTTATATATGTTAAAAAAAAACCTTAATTTCTTATAAAGAACAGTTGGGAAATGTTTTCACTCTTCCAATAACTTATAATAATGTATAGCTTTTTTTGTGAAAAATATCAGTCATATCTTGTCTCTATTATGTATCGTTATACTTAAAATTTAACAGAGTATATATACAAAATTTGCATATATAGAGACATAAATAATCTTTATATGACATTCAACCATATAAATAAATTCCACTTATAATTAATATTGTATGTATTATTTCTATTTATGTCGACTACATTTCCCTTTAAAGAACTATAAAAAAAAAATTAATGGTAACATTTGCCCATTGAAATCTAAGGAAATGAAAAGAGTAAGTTTTATTCTGTAAAGTTTTCTTTTTAAAAAAAAAACTTTCATTAGAAATGATATGATAGGGAAGATATTTTTTCTACTTTTTCCTACATTTAAAGAATATCTGTGTATTTTATAAAATATATTTGAAATTTCTATTGATTTATTGAACATAGTTGTATATAATTTATACTGCTATGTATGCATATTATTTTTTTCAACTTGGAAATTCAAACAGGTTAAAAGTGTATTTTATAAATATGTTACCATTTTGCAGCTGCCACACTTTGTTTTGAATTTGAAATGAGTTATAAATAATCCTTATTGCTGATAAATAAAATCAAGAATTTTTCACCTTGTTTATTTAAATTATAAGAGACTTTTGTCTTTTCAATTAAAAAATATCAGGAAAAAGAACAAAAAGAATAAAAGTCATATGAAAAAACATTATAGAAATGTGACGTTATTGTGGATATATTTCTAGTCATTTCTAACCATCCTCTTCTTCGTCGTCCCCAAATGATAAGAGATTGGTATTCTTATGAGCTTTAGCGTCGTTTTTAACTGATTTTTCTTCTTTCTTCCGTTTAGCATTTTCTTCTTTTTCAGTTTTTTCTGAAGACCTCTTTGTAGCATTTCTATAAGTCATCTTTCCATCGGCTACCTTTTCTATTGTTGTAATAAAATACCTATATTATAATTACATATTCCGAAACAATATGTAAATTAGAAACTTACCAGCATCCTTTTTAGCTTTTTCTTCATCTCTAAGCTTTTTAAATTCTTCTTCTCCAAGGTCACCTCTCTTTAAGACTACTACAGAAGGAGCTAAATCTCCGGTTTCTTCGTCGTCGTCACTATCGGGTTCATGATTTTCTTCAATGTTCTACAAATATTTCAGAACGTCTATTATCGCTCAATATTTTTGAGAGAAACCGTCTCAAATGGACACTTGATAAACACCTTTGATTCAATAGTCGGCTCTTGATAGTTTAATCCAGCCTTTCTTTTCATCTCCGCTATAAAAGCCGGCTCTCCCCTATCTATATAAGTAACTCTTTGCTTTTTTTTGGACATTTTAACGGTTTTGTTTTGATATACTGGTAATGCTAAACTCTGGAAGTATTGGCGATTATTATTTTGTAATATTTAGCACAGGTTAATTGATTTAATTAGCTGATTATTTCGTTATTCGTATTATTTGCTCTATAAGTTAAGAATTTAAATGCATAAGTTAAAATTTCACTATTTTTCAATATAAAACATCAGAAACAAATATATAATCCATTTGTGTTGAACGTCTATAGATAATTCTCTTTATATTTATCAATTTAAGACATCAGATGAACAAATTAGCCAGTATAAACTATAAAAAAAGATAATGATTAACGAAGGGGTAAAGGAAGAGAGAAAGCGCAAGGAAGGAAGGAAGGAATATACAATTCCCAACCGGCTTTTAGGGCATTAAAAATGTATTCGTTCATAAGCTTGTACAATTAGCAGTTAAATCAAAAGATCAATAAAAGCAAACTTATCTTTTTAAACAAGATATTTAAAAGGAAAATATTAAATTCTGAGAATTTTTATAGTATTTTCTATAACTGTAGTGTATTTGGCACCATTAAACAAGAACAGTAGAAGAACAATTATTATCTGTTGCCTTTCTGTTTTAGAGTTGCAATTTTGAAAAAGATGTATATTTATAGCAGCTATTTCGGGTGATAAAGACAACATTAGCTTTAAAGTTTATCTTGACTAATTCTTTTCAATGTTTTCTTTGTTTTTAAAAAAAAAAAAAGATAAAATTTTTATAAACAATGAAAAAAGAAAAAACGTTTGCAAATTTTTTGTTTCTTCTTTGTAATATGCCGATAAAGAACCTGAATATTTAACGGCTTCACTTCATTCATTCATTCAAAATAATACAGTTGAATAAATAAAAAGAAAAAAAAAGTAAAGATGTCTTTTAGCGGCTTGAACAAACGTTAGATATTTCACTTTTAAAGTAAATGCAGATGATTCCTTGTTTTTATAATTCACTTCCTCTGTTTCAGTTTTTCAATAATATTGCTTAACTTCAGTGCTGGACCCAATTTTAGACCCATATATTTCATCATCATATCGCTGTTTAGTAACATTAACGCTTTTCCATCAATTTCATGAGTTCGAAACAGATCGGTAACAGACGTCAAGGCTGGGTCAGTGTCAACTACATGTTTAACAACTTCGTCAGTCGTCCAATTGGCAGGATCTTGAGATAATGGTCGCATTTCAGTTGGCCGGGGTGCTGAAGATAATAGAGAGTCAGAAATAAATTTAGCTTAGAGCCCAAACGAAGCGAGATGCAGAAGGCTTATAACCTTGTAAATCAATATTGCAGCTGCCTGCTGCAGTGTCTAGCCTCGTTCTAGAATATCAGGGTCGAACTTGGGTCATAAATCGATAAATAGCAAAGAAGCGGAGTGTTATTGTATCTTTGCTTTTTAGTCAAGATTCTTAAGTATATATACCTTTAATTATATTACTTTTTAATGGAAATTTTCATCACAATTCAAAAAAACCATCAAAGTTATTTTTTCATTTTTAATAAACAATTCAATTTTCATTGAAGAAGACAAGAGAATACAAATTTTAACTAAACATTCATTTAATATCTTTATACCAATCGTTCGTCTATTCTTATTGTTAATAAACTATGCTTGGTCATCATTCGAATATAAATCGCCCTCTACCGGAATATAAATAGAAAAGATTAGGTTTGTTTTTCTCACGTTCTTCATTTAATGAAAAGTAAAGAAGGAAGAAATAAGATGAAAAATTAGCGAAAGAAGGATATAGGTAGATAGGATAAAGTCCTAAGAGTATCATTCTTGTAAAATAATTCGAAAGTTCTTTGTGACATTTTTTTTAAAAAACAATTTGTTACCTTGTGCTACTTCTGTTGACAATGAATTGTTTAAACTATTTCTTGTAGCTCCTCCATTTGAGTTTGCGCCCGAACTGCGTCGTTTTTCACTTTTAACCTTTTCTTTATCTCCAACACTTAAACGTATTTTTTTAACTTCCCCAATATTACCATTTTCTTCCAAATGCCTACGATGATCTCGACTTACAGGTTCATTCGGTACACTTTTCAGAAGGCCTTCCGCTGTTGCCGGAGAACTCGGTTGAGACTTTTTAATACTACCAGTAGGAAAATTGGCTTTCTTTTCGGAAGATGAAGCATTCGTACATTGTTCACATTTTATAAAGCCATCTGGAGAAAATAGCCGCTGACATGCGTCCACATCCTAAGGAAATAAAAATAAACTGTTAAAAAGGATAGAACAGTTTTATATAATAAAATATTTTCTTTTAACAAACGTCATAAAAGATTTGTACTTAAGCAACAGAAAAATGATATGTTTTAAAAAAAAAAACGTGTATTATAAACAATATACAACCTTTTAAACAAGATAAATTTGTATCTTATTACTTAATCGATATTGTAAAAATATGTAATGATTCTATTTTATATAAAATCAATCTCTAATTATAAAGAAAAATAAAATAAAAAAGCAAGTAAAGTATCAACATGCAAACAAAAAGTAATAAGGTTTTCTAAAAATGAACCATATGTGTCTCTCTCTCTCTTGTTTTTACTGATCCGAATGAGTTTGTAATTGAATTATGAATATTATTTATGAAATACAATCCTAATTGTATTTATATGCAATTTTACGAAAGCTTTTTATGATTAAACACGTTCTTGTGACACTTTATTTACGGTTTAATAATAATTTAGGTGCTATGTTCGTTATATCATAGTAAGTTTACTTTTAGTCTACTTAAAAAGTCGAAATAAAGGACTCTTTATTAAATAAAGTTCAATAGGTTCTAGAATTTGTTTATAAAGGCCATACTATATTAGGTTGATAAAGTAAAAATAAACGCAACTATAGCCAAAAGCTTAATGTAACAGGTTTAGTGCACGTAACATTGTCAGGATAAATTAAAAATGAGGTCGATACAAACCTGTAGAAATTCTCTTAAAAACGCCCACAATGCATCGTTAGTTTCAATAGGAGGCAAACGTTTCGAATGAACTTTATCCCCATAATTAATATTGATAATAACTCTACCATTTCCATCCCTTATCCTTGAGAACATTGTTCGTTGATGTTTAGCGCAGTCAACCAAACTTTGAACGGCAACATGCAAACCAGAAGTAATCGGAACTGGCCCAACCTTCTTAACATTAAGAGTTCGTAGTTTATCTTTCTCAATATAAGGACCACAATCACAGCTTGTTTTAATATATATAACGCATTTTTCACCATCAGTTGAATTAATATGATTTAAAGATCTAAAATAGAAAAGTAAAAGACCATAAAAATATGTTAAATGATGTAAAATCTCTCTTTCATGCTTTAATACTGTTCAACTTTCAATATAAGTATATGTAAACATAGTAGCTTCGATAGAAGGAAGAAATTATGGTTATATTACTTTCTTTCAACGAATAACAAAAGCATACAGAATGTAGGATAAATAATGAAAAAAAAACCTTAAAAACAATATTTAAACCTTTCTTTATATATGTAAAAATAAATTAACTTTAGTTTGGAGAAAAGACATAGAAAAAGGGACAAAAAAGGGAAAATGACAGTATAATTGTATTTTCTATAGAAATCGTATTAGGAGAGGAAAAGTATGAAATTTTGATGGGATAGAAAGAAAGAAAATTGTCTTATAATAGGGAATAAGAAAGTGAGATTTAGTATCTTCTGACGAAATCTATATATACAGACATATATTAGTACATATACTAATATATAACCATTATTATTCAAGCAGTACTATTCTATGCTTTTTACTTTGATAAAAATCAATATTTTAATGTGATTTGCAATAAGAATTCAGCAAAATATTGTTCTATATGTTGAAATATCGTTAAAAGGAATTTTTAATGTCTACTTTTGTCTCTAATTTGAATTATTCATTTTAGTTTGAAATACAAAGGTAATAGATAAAACATTTAACATTTGAAAGAGGGAATCCTTTGCAAGAGATAAAAATCCTCGCTATATTTTATTATGTAGATATAATTTCCCTTTTACAAAAGGATGTAAATTGTTACCTTTCTATTGGAGGAGTTGCCGATTTTTCTCTCGTTTCCTCTTCGCTATGATTATTTCTTATTCTATTCTTTGGTGGTACGGCACGATTGCCAGGTGGTTGAAGCGGGTGCTCGCCTTTCTGGCACCAACCGACCGGAAAGATCTCTCTAGAATCATACCTGCACCAATAATCGAATGCCCCCTTCCAACCATCAAACACAACATGAATTTGATCTTTATCTATAGCACCGACTGCGGCTGGACAAATTAATTGTGCATTTTTTCTATCGACAGCCTCCAGCTTCATACCAACTTCAAAAAAGTTTGCACTTGGAGTGGGGGGTTCAGGTTTAAAGAAAGATTCGGGCGCAAATGACGCAGAAGATTTTGTTCTTTTAAGGAATGTATTCCACGAGGAGGGATTACCCATAAATCCCAAAGGGGGTTGTAATAATTCGTTTCTTTTTTCGCAATAACCATTCGGATGTAAATCCGTAGAGTCAACTATTCTATAAAAATCACTCTTGTCGTCGCTACCGTCTAACCGGAGACGGAGCCGGGGACCAATTGTCGAAATAACTGAAGCTATGCATATTGATGTCAAGTTTCTTGGATCGCGAGCCTCTAACTTCATTCCGGGGCGGAATTCATTTTTGGGAGGAGTTTCAAATTGCTTGAAGCATTTTGCCGGCGCTGCGCTACCACCAGTTTCTTTTAAATAATCGACCCAATTAAAAGCCTCTATTGAAAAAAGGAATGATTATTTAGGCTGGAATTCAGTGATATGAAAGAAAATTATAACTTTTATAAGAATAAGGATTGTTCGCCTTTAGTCTTTTGTTATATGCTATGAAACCCTACTGTTTTTGCACTTATCTGCTAAAAATTGTTAATAACTGTCAAATGGAGCAATTACAATAATTGCTTCGTATATGACAAAGAACCAACTATTGTAGATACAACTGGTAACAACTTCTTTAATCAGATAAGAAAGATTTCTCTCCGTCTAAGAAACTTGTCTGTTTCGTCAAAAGTATTTTTTATTAAATAAAGTAAAATAAGACTTTAAAAGAATTTCTCATTTACTTTTGGGATGCTTATTCATATATTATTCATAATATTCCAATTTGATCACTAGTTAAACTTACTCATCTGAATCTGGTTTATATATATATATATATATATATTTATGATATATATATATATATAGATGTTTCGATGTAGAGATTTATAATCCAACGAGGTATTAGATATTTTCTGTATCGTTATTTTCTCTCTGATTTATATTGCGAACTGTCTACAATTACTGAAAACAGTTTTAATACGCTCTCGATATTTAAAACTTTTCGTATCCTTAATGCGCATGCGCCAGGCTATGAGCGGGCAATAAGAGAAATCAATTCGTTTAACGACCAAAACCCTAAAGTTATCTAACCAAATGACCAAGAGTGACCTAAAATATAACGAAGGTTGAGTACTTACCCTGAGACTCGTAAGAGAAACCCGGTTTTCCATTACTTGCTCTAGACATTTCTTTCGCCTCTTTTTTCTGACAGATTTGTGAACTGACAACGCGGACAACTTTTGATGAGATTAATGTTTTTATCGCTTGTTGTTTCAAATCAGATCTTGAGGCTCGAACTATATGTTTTTCAAGCTGTTATCTTTCAATTTTTCCGATTAGATCTACTCAATTTTGACTTTTTTGTTGGGAAATTGTATTAATTTAGAACATTACTGCGAATCAACGCCACCGACATGTTTGTTTAAACTGCGCATGCGTACAACAGCCTACGAAAACTGGTAAGATGTTTGCAGTGCCATCTATTGTTACAGATATCTATTTAAAGGCGGAAAATGTCCCATAAATACCAGCTTAAAAGGGTCGTTAGGAATCTAATGGCTATTAATTAGACATCTTTGATTTATATTGAATAATTTTTACTTTTTCATTACAGTAAAAATAGTACATTTTTTTAATCGTTAAAAGATAATCTATTAAAAAAAATCGAACGAAAATTCTAAATCAAATAGGGAAGTAGAAGATGAAATTTTTATATAAAAAAAGACATCAATATAAAATCTATTTTAAAAAAAAGTATTTGGAATAATCAATTTTTTTTCACAAAAAAATGAAGCAATTTTAACAAAAGGTTTCATTCCAACTATAATTATGATTATATCATTATAATTATTACTTCCTTTTGGCACAGGAAATAAGAAAATAGACCGTAGGCTAAGTAATATTTAAGACAAGTAATGAATATATCAATTATAAGTTTATTCTTTGCTCTTTATAGATTAGAAAGTAGGTTTTTTAATATTTTTTCTTGCTAATCAATTTAAATGATGATATATTTATATTCTTATATATATTTACTAAATTATTGAATAAGAATCTACGGAAAAATGTTAATTTCATAATGTCATATCACTGAGGAGAAGATATTTATTAATTTTTTAATAATTTACATTGTTCAATTCATTCTATATGAGTAATCATGTACTTACCTGCCACTAAGGTTGGTGGTAACATGATATAATTCATATAAATTTGAAATTATTGTATATAAAAATGTATAGTGTATACTGTATAGTAGTATATAGGTGTAGAGAGATAAATTTTACATTATGTATGGTTATTTTTGGTTTATATGGTTATATATATATAAATATACTTTATTCATTTATATCGCGTTATTTATTCATTGTTCTAAAATGTACAAATTAACCTCTTTATGTAAAAACACTTTATTAATAATGATGTAAATAAGTTAGAAGGTAGAATAATAGACATATAATTTCACCTTTTGATCTATTACAATGATTCCTTTATTTGTCAAAATAGCTGGCCAGAAAATTATAAATCTACATGGTTTATGGATATATTATGCAATATAGTTTTGTATAAGCAGTATATACATTATACAAATTGATAAGTAATAATAATTTTTAGACTGGTGGAAATAGTTACTAGAAGCGTTCCCAAAATGATACGTTATCATTTCAATAAGTGTACTAATAATGAGATGAATGATTTATAAGAAAGAGAATAAGAAGAATAAGAAGAAGAAAAACGAAAAAATAGTAATTTAAAGGCTACCAGTTTATTCATACAATTGCTTTTTTGTAAAATAGTATTTATAACTCTCCTTTTGTATTTATTGATTATATAAAATGTTATCTGATTATATATATTTATATATATACAGAATATTATATAAAAATCAATAAATTTTTGAAACTAAAAATTGAAACTCTTAAACTCATTCAGACAAATTAAAATCAGATATATTTATCAATCAAAAGGTGATAAGAAGCAAAGAGCTATTTTTAGAGTTTTATTGTACTTTTCTATAATAATTCTAAAAGGAATTGATATTATGGGAATACAAACAAAAAAGAAAGTTTTACATTATTCATTGAAAGTCAGAATATATTTGACAAAAGTCAAAAGGTTAATACATAAACAAATATTGTATATCTGGTGGACTTTAAGTAACAGACTAAGAAGTTGTTTACTTTTTTTCTTATTCTTTGATCATATTCTTCTTCTAACTTCTTGATAGTAAACTATTTATTTTAATGAAATGAAAAACATTTAATGTATATAAATAGATCAATTCCTTAGTTATTGTATAATATGTTAGATGGCAGCATAATAATGTAAAAGCAATGGTAAAGGAGCAAGAACAATCTATTAAGGTAGTGTAAATTGAAAAGAAATATCATAATAATAAAAGAAGAGAATTATTATACAACCTTTAAGTGTTTTATAAAAATCGTATCATTCATTCAATAATAAAAGAATGATTATTAGATATATTTCTTCTTATTTGCACTTGAAAATTATGCTAATAAAAGCGTATTGTCTGCCAAATTAGAAGAAGAAATAGACCATTTTTTTAAATATATAAATTTATAAATATCGTTTTTTATCGTCAATAAGCAAAGTAGTCGTTGAATAGTAATTGAATAATTATAATTATTTATATTATCTTAGAAATAAAAATTCATTTAAAATGCAGCTTGGAGTGAAAGCGATAGCGATTACTTATTTATATAAATATATATATATATATCTACATTTATATATATTTATACATATAATGTATTGTTTATGGTAAAATTTATAAGTAATGAATTAATAAAATACGTAATGCAAAGCTTTTTAGTTGCTATGGAATCATATCAAGACCTACCACATAATCAACAGTCTGTCTTATATTACTTGTTTTCCTCTCACATCTAGTCCTAACTTTGTTAAGGTGAAGTAGAGCAAGACTTTTCGTAATATTTTTCAACTTTTCTTTTCTTTTTAACTATTTGAAATTATTTTCGAAGATACTTATGAAATTTTTATTTACAGATATGTTACTTAGCGTCGTATGATAGAAACATACAGATTGTATAAAAAAATTATCGATTCCCTTCTCCCGGGATACGTATGAGTAAAAATGGACAGGTAAGACACCTCGTTTGCTAGTTCATGTTATTTAACACTTGTAATAAAAAATATACTGTATTTAAATGATTAACTTATTTTTCAACATTTAGGAAATTTGATGTCGATAAGGATAAAAAAGATAGCGCAAAATTGGATGATATAGAATTAACAACAAATGGAACATTGGATAAAAAAATGTATAAAATCTATTAGTAATATTATGATTATTACAATATATAAATATAAACATAATTTTTAAAAAAGAAGAGAAAACAACTTGAATTTGTTCTTTTAAAAAAAGGAAAAATCCCATTGAATTTTCCTATTTTTTCATTTTCTTCCTATAGAGAAAAAAAAACAAATAAACTATTATTTTCATTTTATTCTTTATTTTATTTTTTCAAAGATAGCTAATAATGAAAAAAAAAGGATCATTTACAGAAACCAACTCCTAAGGAATTAGTTTTCTGTAGATCAATTGATCATGATTTTCATCTCGTTTTCAAAAATACATTCGTGACTAAATTACCTGGGTGTGACTGTTTCATTTATCTCTCAGCTTTGTATCGAGCAGGTTTATTTTATTTTATTTTGTCGATTTAGGCAAAAAAGAAATATAATTTGATTTTTTTCCTAAATTTTTTTTATTTTATGAGTATTTTGTTTCTTTTCTTTGTTTTTTTTTTATCTTTTTCTTATCTTTCCTATTTATGAAAATATTATGTTGGCATATTTAAATTTACTGTTTTTTTTTCTTCCTCCAGAAAATCTAAAATGTCTGTTACCGAAACAACTGGTGTATCCGGTTATTCAAACGCCGGATTTAGCAAATCCGAAGCTGATTCTGATTCGTGGCCTGAAGAGGACAGAGAAAAAGTAAATATTAAAGCTTTTAACTTTTTAAATAGATTAGAAAATTTTGTTTGAATATAGAAAGATGTTGCTTTGGATATGGATGATGGTGATTTCGATGATGAAAATTTCAAAGATGAAGAATTAAAGAAGAAATTAACTCCAGAGGAGGAAAAGATTCTTGAAGTGGTAGGTTGCAAACAATCTCTTTTCAAAAAAGATATTTTCAGTAGTAATTACAAAAAACTACTTTTGTTAAAAAATTAAAGTTGAGAGAAGTCGTGCGTAGATGCACAAACCCGGACCCAATGAAGCGTCCAACTGCAGCCGAAGTTTTGGAAATGCTTAACAAATGCCCAGTTCCACAAGAACAAGATTAAACTATCCTCCAGGAAGGCGTTGGCATGTAATTGATTTTTTTTCGTAATTGCTTTTGGTGTTTATTCCAATCTCAACTTATAAGAATTTAAAATGTAAATGTGATGAAGTCGTAAGCTATATATACATATATTATACATTAATATATAATGATGTATAAGTAATGTATAAACATTGAAAGAGAAACCTCCATGATTCAAGTTCAATTTATTTCTCTGTCTCTATGTCTGCCTCTCTATCTCTTATAAGTCTTTAATAATGTATTTTGATCCTTAACTTTCTTTCTTAACATGTATGAAAAAACTTGACTGTTGTCAGTTGACGTTGTGAATACTTTTTGAAGCCAATTGCCTAAATAAAAGCAACTATTATACAGAAAGAACAATGGAAAGAGTATCTTCGTATCTTTTACTTTTTAATATTAAATGGTATTAATCAGTTTTATATTTATATATTAGAATAAAAAAAAGGCGTTCGTTCAAAATACATGTACATGTATATCTATGTTTACTAAACTTAAAACAGTAAGTAAGCCTATATGATAGAGTTCGTGCATAATTAATAGGAAACTTATTAGTTATGATATTACAAATTTAATATTTAATTATTATTCGTTCTTTGTCTAGAATAACATGCTGGAATGCAAGTTTAATATAAGTTTTTCACTCGTTCCTTTATGTGTTTTTATTCTCTTCACTTTATTTTTTGCTTAATAAAATAGAAATAGTGAAAATTTTCGTTTTGAACTTTAATCAAGAGATTATTAAAATACAAGATTATGATAGAAAATTGACGTTTGTCTAAATATATATAATGCTTAATGATTATATTTGTTTGTATAATCTTACACTCTTACTTACTCATATTCATCTTTTGTTCCCCCTTCTCCCTTTTATCATATTTTCTTCTATCACCTATCTATCTGCTGCCTTTTCAAACATGGATTAATTGTGTAGATTTAAAAAAGAAGCATCATCGATAAAAGCTGATTATTCTTTAGGATATTCTTCTATCTTCCATAGATTTTTCTATGAAAGATAAAGTAATTAAAATTAAAGAAGGGGGAGAGGGAGGGGTAGAAATATCAAAAGGAGGAAAGGAACAAGCAAACATATAGTGATAGAAAATTAAATGTAACGTTAGCATAATTATTGTTAAAGGCAACAAGGATAAATTACTTATCATGCTAAATGATATTCATTTACCTAAAATGCATTTTCTTGAATAATCATTGCCTTGATAGTTTCCAAATATAGAATATAATACTTTCATAACATCGTGAAATTGAAGAGAGATTATTCTTAGAGTTTTTTATTATTGTCGTAAGGTGGCGTGTATAATAAAACGTTATAGAAAATAGAGATGGCGTATAGTTTCTTTTAAAATAAATGTGCCTTTATTATATTTTATGTAAATATGTTGTCATGTGAAAAGTGTTTCTTTATTTACATCTTTAGGTTTTATAGCCAAATTAAAGTCTTTACTTTGTGAACTTGCTGTACTAATATGTAAAGAGAGAGAGAGAGAGAGAGAGAGAGAGAGAGAGGCACAAATATGATGTCTCTCTCTTTCAAGGTATGTTTTTAATGACTTAGTATGAATTAATAATTTCAAATTGATTTAACAAGTAGCGAGTGACCCATTGTTTGCGCATGAAAGAGAGTTTGTACTAAAAGCGTCTAATTATAAATACTTTTGCTGTTCAAACAACTCATAAGTTCAAGTACTCCATTTCCTGAATCCTTAATCTTTCTGAGAGTGTTCTTATAAGCTTATCTTCAATTTTGTGTACACTGAATTTACAATTGTATTTGAAATATATGGAAATATTTTCTATCTATATTTATATACTTATAATATATAAATATATCTTATATTAATACATACACACATATATAAGTATGTCATTAAATATTATATTATATCAATTAAAGATGATGAATTGGCGAAGTGTGCGAGTTTAAAGTAATTCTAAGATTTAGGCAAAATGTTTTTGGGAAGGAGAATTAATCGTAATTCTCAGTATGATAAATATCAACAACTAATCGTTCAATGGAAACGTTCCCTACTGTTTCATGAAAGAAGAGCTTTTCCAAAGCCGCTGAATTTACTGATGCAAGAGCTGGTAGTAACAAGAGAACTTTGCCGAATCTTGTTGAATATCTCTGTGCCTGAGCGATCTGTTGCTTCTCGTACTCGGCCAACAGATATTGTGCCTGATCTTGTAGTTCTTCGACTATAGACGTTTCTCGCAGTCCCCTCAATTCTGGCTTAAATAGGGCAATGGCTTTTAGGCAAGCATATTCGGTTGGATCTAGATTCAGGGCCTTCACTCGACCAACAACATCTCTCAGCTGTCTTATGTGTGAGAGCAATATAGCTAAAGTATCAGGAGCCATGGTTTGCCTTTGAACGCCTCCACACTCCAATACTGTATTCACTTCGAGGGGAACATGCCACTGCGCTAATGACAGTACAAACAGATCTCTCCAGGAGTGCTCAACCAGCAATAGTTGATCAGCGACAGTCAACGCCCGAAGGGGAGCCACCTGCTTACACCACGTGACTACCGAAAAAAGCAGTCTGGCTGTAATCTCTTGTAAACTTTCTCCAATTCTTCCAGCTATAACAGCGGCGTCCGTCACTCTTTCTGCTCCAATGAGACCGTGCAATAAAGTTGGTAAGATAAGAGCTGAAGGAGTTGGCTGAGGCAATTTTAACCTAAGATCTACTGGCGTTATAACCGAGGGTCGAGTAGAAACAGGTGGTGAAGGTGTAACGGCCGAAGGGATTGATTTTGGGGCGTTAATTGTTTCTTTCGTTACAGTTTGCTTTTGTTTCCCTTTTCTAGGTCCTCGCTCGTGTTGAACAGCTGAAAACACAGGAATTTTATTAGTAGACTTTTACTGAGAGTTTTAGTTTTTTGACCTAAGGGAAGAGATTTAAAAATTATTCTTTTTTTTGCGGTTGAAAGAGAAGTAGATGGAGGGCACAAGTAGGGATTCTTGTAAAAAATGACAACAAAGAGGAAAATAGTCAATAAAGTACGCTGGGTAGTCCAACAGGTGTTTGGCGAGTGACAAACAATCAATTTGCCACTCGCTTTCTGCCGATTTGTTACGATCTGATAGGATTACTTTTGCCGTTCTGATAGAACAGCTGCCCGCTTTTCCAGAGATGTAGGCGTATATAGTGATTTACACGAGGACTCATCAATAGTTTTCCGCCTTTAATGTATCAAAAGTGTAGGTTTTTTTAATTTAGATTTCAGACATTCTATAATTAGGGGTCAAATTAGAAACGTCTGAGTTCAAAAATCGTTTCCTGACCAAAGGAAGCGTCTAAGCGTTACAAATTATATGAGGAAATAATTTATCACTAGACGGTAATTTTTAGTTAAAAAATGTAAAAATCTGTCTAAATAAATAAAACTATATAGTATTTACATTATATATTCATATATCTTTTTATGTATTTACTATTAGATAACATCCAGAACTATAAGAAAGATAGCTGATGGTTGCATTATGACAAACTATAGAAGAGTTTATTTGATTTTTTTATTAAGTGTCCGTAAAATGTATCGAGACAACACAACTTGACTTTGCTAAACGTACACGAATATCTATATCTATATAAATACGTTAATTTCTTTATCAAATTCTAATAAAATCTATGATAGAGATACTGATTTAATTAGTAAATTAATTAAAGAAATAACGATTAAAAAATAAACTGGTAATTTAATAATAAATACACTTTCACCAAATAATATATATATATATATATATTATAAAATATATAAGAATATCATTATAATCAGTTATTACGTCATTATTAGCAGTAATTTGTAAATTCAATTTGTTCTACTTATATATACAAATTTCATATTATTTATATAAGTAATTAAGTTATTTACTTTATGGTTCTTTTACTAAAATATTTATGTATATAAAGACGTTTTTTAAACAGATTATTCCAACTTTTCTTCTTTTACTGGCCTTGTAATAACTCGGTAAAATAGAAACTTATTTGTGTTTTGATAGAAAAAGAGAGTTTCCTAGAAATCTGTATTAGGAAGAAATCTAAGATACTTACCCTGGATATTATTAAATAAATTTGTACAGATATTATAGATGTACTCTATATTATTATATTCTATGTATTATATCGAAGTACTACTTACTTTCTTTTTATTTAGCGCATGCGCAAAAAAATACTATTGATAGTTCCACCCCTTTTTCGCTTTTCAGTTAATGAAATTATAATATTAACGTTTAATGTTTTTCTAATAGAGATTTGATTTATTGCTTTCTTGACTTGTAATTTGACTTATTTAAACATTTTTGCTCCTGAATTATTGGAAAAATGAATTCTTACCATCTTTATTCATATCGGCGGCGAAACAGTGTCGTAATCTGCAAGCTCTGCATTGGTTGCGATGCGTCTTATCAATTGGACATTTATCTTTTAATTCGCCTTGCGCTTTGCAACTATAAACTCGATTTCTGTGAATACTTCTTTTAAAGAAACCGGAACATCCTGTAGGAAGAATGTAGAGGTGAATAAAAGTTAAAAAGCATCAAAAGAAATAAAGATAATCTATAGATCACGCGAGCAAGCTAAACATAATATTAATTACTAACCGTCACAACTGTAAATACCGTAGTGCTTGCCGGAGCTTCGATCACCGCAAACCTTACAGAGAACATCCAACAATCGATCGTCTGCATATACAAATAAAATTTTACGTATAAACATATATATACTCTTACGAACTGAAAACCGACACAGTATACGATTAACGTCAAACAAAAAGCAAAAAGCAGCTAAATCCGTTGACACGTACGACGGAACTAAAACGCGTCTCTGGCGTCACGCTCTTTAGACGCTGCCAAAGTGCATGAAACGGTCCCGGGTTTCCTGCTTTTTTAAGTAAAGTTAAGCCAATTTCCTCTTTTGTTGGGAAATATATTTTAACTTTTATTTACATTCGCCTCTAGCTGTTCTCTTTCCTTCTATAAAATTTATTAATTATTCAAATAAAAAAGAAACGTTAAGTGTTAGAGGCGACTGCTGTCTTTTGCTGTTGGCATATTTGTAATACGGTTCTGTCTTTTTGGCGCTACTTTTTCCTTTTGTAAATATACTTCCTAATGTCATTTTTTTTATCTAATTATATACAAATTTATAGTTTACTATCTATCAACTTTCCACCCCTAAATTGCTTTATAACTAATACTTTTGCTGCTAAAAGTCTGTTTTTCCCTTACATCTTTTCTTTTTCTTTTTAACAAACTTTATTCCAAGTTGTCCCTATCTTTCTACAAAATACCTTCAGTTTCCTAAACTTAGCCTTTTAACACCTATTTTCTTTGTCAAAGAGAGAGAGAGAGAGAGAGAGCCAACAACTAATAAAGTTTCAGCTAAAACGGAAAATCTAAATATGGAAATGATTTTTAAAAAGAGCGTCTATCTTTCTTTTCCGAACTTTTAGAATGCATGTGCTAATTTTTGGTTTCTAGTGAAGATAATCTTGAATAAAATGATAATTTCTCTTCTCTTAAAAGTACTCACTTTAACAAAATTATCTAATTGGGAATGTATAATCTTTTATCAAAAAAGGCAACGGTCGCAAAAGTTGCAAGGAGAAAAAGTTAACAGAAAGAGAGAGAGAGAGATAAGCGCAAAAAAGAAAAAAGTAATCTTCTCAAGGAAAAGAAAGAGAGAAGAAAAGAAGTTTAAGTATAAAATCGAACCTTTTTGTCATAATTATATAAATATGGTAATTAATTAGTGGTTTAAGAGAAGAGAATTACATCACTAATATGTTCGAATTGAAAAACTCTTACATGAAAAGTAACACTGAAAATACTCACTTGACCGTTGATTGGACATGAAGAAAAGCGTTTGAGCAGCTACAGCCAGCGTCGGCGTTCGTCTGAGGCGTCGGGCGTCACTTATAGACGCCGCTGGAGAGTTGGGAAGTTGTGCAGGTGTTGACCAATGGCGAACGCCGTTCGATTCTTGTAGGAGATCAATCGTCTCGCCGCAATCTTACTTGATAAAACATTCAAAGCCTCCGGCGTCGGATTACCGTCGTTTACTTGTTGACAAAACTGGCGTCGAGTGGTTTTGCACGTGTTATGCTTCCGAAACGGACGGCATCTAATTTCTTAAGCTTATAAAACGCTACCTTTTCTTTTTACGAGACCGGATCGAAAGAGGCGCTTACTGTTTGCAAGTCGTCGAACAGATTGACGTTTAATTGAACAATGAGTAATTGCGTAATTGTATGAAGCTAACACTTATAATCTTTCTTGAACTCTTCTTTTTACCCACATTAAAAATCAAAGGGAAACCGTTACATCTTATCTGATAGAATTACATAATTCCTATGTTAAATATTTTTGGAGGGGAAGCATCTATTTTTTTGACGCTTCTCATTTGATTTAGGTACAGTTGCATACGAATTTATACGCCTTATGTTAAATTTTTTGCTTAAAAGGTGCCGTCTAACGTTTTTTCTTTAGCTTAGGGAAGCTATTTGCGGTATTCTTCAAGCAGCCAATTAACACCTCGAATTACATAACTAGCTTTAATCTGTCGACGTTCCTTGTCATACTTTCCACTTAAGCTCACTCGACTAAGTTTTGTCTAATTCATAAAGAAAATGGAAATTCTAAAGAAATAATCAGAAACGTATTAATTAAACAATAAAAAAATTAACCGATTGAATTGTAATGATTTCTAATAAACGATGTAGTGACATTGTACATTGATAAGTGTACTTTTAATAGGAAGACTTTCTATCGTAGTAGCAATCTTCAATTGCCTACTCATAGGCGTTTCTTTTAAATAGTCACAGAGTCATATAGAAAGTTGTAAAGAGTATCCTTCTTTACAAATAGCAATCGTCTTGTCGATAACGTCTTTTCAATTCAAAGCCAATAGCACATTTCATTTACAAGCGTCTAATTTCAATAAGCCGATAAAACAAGTGGAACGTTACATTGTTTCCTGACAAATCGAAAGAATCTTTTGTGACAAACCAACCAATTGGCGTTTGATTTCAGATAATACCGCCTAAGGGCCAAAGCCAATTTTTTTACGTTTTCAGGTAAAATAAACATATAAAATATTGAATAAATAAGAAAAATAAGCTGACGATTTATGGTAAAAGTAATATCTTTATGAAAATGCAAATGAGAATATATATTCCAATATATATAAATTTACATACTGCCTTTTCCGTACCGGGAAATTATATTCATAATCGCACAAAACACGAGTACCTCTCAAACTGTAGTCACAAATATAACGGATCGAAGAGACGCTTTGTGACAAAACAGCCGATCGACGTTCGATTTCAGATGACGGACGCTCAAAGCCAATGCACAACGTCTGCCGACGACGTCTTTTATGTATAAACACACCTTTTATCGACAGCAACATTTTCTACAAATTCGATAAAACGTTTCAAGGCGTCTATTTGTATATATATATATATATATATATATATATATATATATGTCCAAGTACTGAGGAGAGTTTTATGAAAAAGAACGCTATAAAAAGATGCATTTCCACTTATAATTGAACTACGTGCATTGGAGGATAATTCTACATTTTCTCTTTTTAGATTATAAGTGGAAATTGACCGTCACGCGACCATCTTCCTTGAGTGAGCCTGTAGAGAAATTGAGGACTTTTGTTGTCTTTGTACTGGCTTGATATCTTATTGATATTTATCTATCTTCAAACAATTTTCCTATCGATTCACCGCCCGTTTAGTAGCGTGTGATTCTGGCAGATGCTACAAACTGTTGAATGACGTTACACTCGTTACATGTGCACACGCTTTTATTGTTTTTTCTTTCTTGTGTCGCCCTTTGCCATAGCCTTGTCTCTTCATTTATCGCCTTTTTTTTGTTCCGTAAATCCCCCTGCAAGGTGTATACTTTTCCGCAAAAGGAAGAATTGATAAAAGAGCATCAACGGGAAGTAAAAACCAGGAAATCGAGCGCTTTAAAGAGTCTTTATACTTTATATTTACTTTAATGTATACTCAAAGAATTATTGAATATATTTTTGTATACTATTCTCTTGAAATTGTATATCATTCAATAAACCTCTTCAACTGAGGAAAATTGTCTTACGAATTTCCTACCTTTTTCCCTTCTCTTTTTACCTGATTTTCAATAAAGAAACTTCTTATTTAAGTGAATCCGGCATCTGCTTCTATTCATTTGTACAAGGGAAACAATGAAGAGAAGATATTTTTGAGTTTATTGATTTATCTTTTCTTTTATCAGCATAAAATAAAGTTTAGACTCTTCTAGTCTACACTTCTAGTTAATTGAATTGCAATAAAAATTCAATAGCTAATAATAGAATGACTATGGTGATTATTCATAAATATAGAACGATTTAATAGATTATAACATGTATATGTACAGAGAATTTCATAAATGACCGATTTTAAATAAGAAACGACGCAAAAAAAAAAGTTTTTGTTTCTGTTCTGCTTCTTAATGCATTTTTGATCGAATTGAAAGAATTTGTTCAGAATCGATTTCCGGTTTGAAATTTGTTCAAAAGTAATGTTATATTTTAACACTGACCATATCAAATTTACTAGCGCAAATAAAAAAGATATCAAATAGTAGGCGACAATCGGGAAATCGAATAAAATAAACATCTATTTTGCTGCGGTTGATAAGCGCGTTGCGCGGACCATCTTTTAATATGTTAGACATTTTACTGTGTAAAGGTTTACTTATTGATTTATTATAATTAATCATATATATCTCTAAGGAATCGCTTAAAAATATAATATTTCAAAGAAAAAGTGATTTTGTTTGCAGTAGACGATACTTCTCTTCATCTCTTCATCCAATATGAAAAAAAAAGACAGGTAGTTTACGTTAAGGATGTGTAAATATTTATTTAGGACAGCAAGTCATAAGGCGTTTACTCATATTCAGGAAAGTTACATCTGACCTTTGTCCAATAAAGCTATTCATAATCGTTAAATATTGACCAAGTTTTTGTTAAAGTATAATCCCTTGTATGCTAGGTCAGCAAGATGCTTTTCTGTTGTTGTATAATAATGGAATAATTATTGTGTTGATTATTGGTAAACATTTTCATTGCGTAAATTTTTCTAAAGCTACATAATTAACCTTTTGTTGTCAATTCTAGAGTTTTATAGATAGTAAAATATATAATTTTTCACTTTCAACTATACTGTATATTCTATTCTTCAGTTTGTACAATACACTGTAGGTGGCGACGTAGCTGGTGTTTTTCTTCTAGTCGGGGTCATACCACACATCAGCAACTTTTTGTGTTGATAAATAATTGCATTTTTCACATCACCACTTTTCTCCCCATGCCTATCTTTCATAGGCATTGGCATTACATTGGCATGTGGCGAGGTCGCGATCCAAAAATGCCTAATTTCATACTATACGCCCACAAAGTGTTTGATGATTTTTGCAATGAAATTTGCTACAAAGTTTCGCTAAGAACAATGGAATTGAACTGAAACTTTCGAAATGCGTGGCAAGATGTTATATTTGTATTATATTCTTTCTTTCTCTCTCTCTCTCTCTCAGAATATATATATATATATATATATGTATATTTGTATGTATATATATATATAATATATATACTGTATAAGTATATATTTTTTAAGAAAAAGCAAACAAAAAACGATAAGACTTCAGCAATTTCTTTAAAACAAAAGAAAAAGAACTACGAACAAAGATAAAAAGAATTTCGAGTATATCATATCTTTTAAAAATGAAAAAAAAATATATTAAGAATACTCCGCAATCATACTAATATAAGTCTCATAAAAAGAGATTCGAACTTTTCAAACAGTTGTTGTACTGTATATATCTTTTCTTCGTTAAATTCACAACAATTTAGAAATAAAACATATCTCTTCACATAAATGGCTTAATGCACTAGTCATCTTACACAAATGAAAAGCAATGTCATGTATCACAAAAGAAACAATACAGAATGTATAAAATATACACTTGTAGATATATATTATACTCCAACACAAACACACACGTATATATATATATATATATATAGATATATACACTTATCAAGCAATTTGTTGTATAAAAAATGATTGTTTAAAACTATAGAAAGCGAATGCTATAAAATTAATAATAAATTTTTCTTTTTCAAAAGGCTGAATAAATTATTGAAACTATTTCGATGTAATCTAAGAAATACATAAAATGTAGTTAAAAGAGTTGATTTCTTTCTATTGGAATATTTTGAAAGCAATTTCTATGAACTTATTATCAGAAGGACGATGAAAATGAGCATAGTAACAGACGGAATTACTTTATTGCATTCGTTTGAAGTCGCTTTTTCTGTATGGAGAAAAGATAAATATAATAATATGTTTATCGATTAGTAGATTAAATCATATATGATATAGAATTTTAAGCGAAGCTGTTATTTAGTTGTGTAGAAAATAAATATAAAATTAAGAGAGTGGACTGTTAAGAGCAATAATTTTAATTTTGTTTTTACCCATCCAGCTAGTTTGCTGAATAACTTGAGTTGTTGAATTATTTGGAAAAGGTTCTGTAATAGACTGGTCTTAGCAAGACAACAAGTTAGCGATTAAAGTTTTTAGCGATCATCTATACAGTTATTAACCGAAGTTCCTTCCTTTGAAACATATCACTCTATTTCGAGTGAGTTGACTTGTGAGTCAGCAAGTCAAACTGATTATTTAAACTCTTTTTGAAGATCATTGTAAAAAATGATACTTTAAATAGAATTTAAGTAGTCGGAGCTAATGTTAGATTTTAGGCAGATCAAAATAGAAAAACATACCTTTTTCATCCATAAATTTAATTATCCTCTCGCTGGTACCGAAAGTATTTGTGGCAGAGAATTTATAATTACCATAATAAGATGACATAACTTTACTGAATGTGATGGTAAAATTGCATTTTTGGGCTTCATTTTCAATCGCACACTGAAAGAGAAATAAGTGTTAATTAACATGTTTACTTACATAAAATATGTATAAACATTATCTGAATTATTCAGTCTACTAGATGGTTTAATGAATTATACATATTTATCCAAATACATCTTAATACGTATAGATATACAATAAATAAAGGAGTCAGGCATTAATGTTAACCTAAAACTCTGGGCGTATAGAACTATGGAGAGCAGACGAGTATTTCCAGCAAGAGAAAACTTGTTGGATATGAAACAAGACTTGGTGTTGTCTTTTTTCGAGTCTATTCAAAATGATAACCTACGATTGTTTCTTGAAATTATTAAGAATAACAGGTTAGACTTTATCAACGGTGAATTTCTTTTTGAGAATATCGATAACAAAATTAAAGTTTTAACTGTTAAAATAACTCCGATAATAATAGCATTTAAATTTAAATCAATGAAAATACTTGAATATCTAATTGAAAATCCTATTGTCAGTCTGAAAAATATTTTACACGATTTAATTGATTTAGTAGAACTTGAAGCGATTGACGAAGAAGCTATATTAGAATGTTCATCAGTTTTTCAAAAGATACCTACAGATATTCTAGAAAGTATTCTAAATGAACAAAATAGAAATAAGTAAATGATAAATAAGCTAGAAATTAAATAAAGATAACGTTTTAAATGTATAAAATCTTCTGATTTTTTTAATTATAATTATAATTCTTTACTGTTAAATTACTGGCTAATTTATCTAGTCTTAACCCAATTGAAAATAGTATATTTCATGGATTTTTTCTCCTATCAAATGAATTTTTAACGTTATTAACCGAAAGATGCACTACTCTACCGGCAAAGAATGTTGTTAACTATCGATTCCTTGATGCTACTGAATACGAAATACCTTGGTTTCGTAAATCCTCGAGGTGGCGTTATTCGCCGCTAAAACTCTTGTCTAACACATTAGAAAAAAACAGAAGTAAAAAAGGTTTGAATATGCTATTGAATGGTTCTATTGGAGAATGGATTGACATCAAATGGAAAGCTATTTATCATATTTCATTTTTAATTTTGGTTTTTAAAACGTTCAATACATTGTTTATATTATTTATGGATACTTTTTTAAGTAGTTCAAAAGTGTGGTCACACACCATTCCTAATTTTACGAATATTACTTCATTAATTCTAGAGGACAAGATGTTAAACTCGCAAGTTAAAAGTTGCGAATTAGCAGAGATCAACACCTATTATATATATGGATTTGTAATCTATTTAACGATTATTGTATTACCTCAGTTTGTTTTCGACTTGTACTTTTTCGGTCGAAGATTGATTAAGAAATTAAAAATTGCTTTGGGAAAAATTCCTAACAGTAAAAACGGATCGAAAATAGCTAAATTGGGAAATTTTCATTCGCTATTTTTCTTCTTCTATGGCTATTATATCTGTTTTCTATATATAATTATTACAAAAAATTTTTGGATATTTCACTTAGGATTAGTTAAAGTATACATGAAAGAGCAAAAAGTCTTTGATATTTAAAATAGTTTAATAACAAATAGACGTTAAATTTTATACAGTAAATAACCTTTTACAATTTCTACTACTTGATCTCGTTAGTTTATTTTTCTTGACAGTAGGCTTAGATAAATACTACGTGACCCTTCTATAATTTCATAGATAAAGAAAAAACCTTGTGACACATTCTTAGGATTCTCTTCGCTTTTCTTCTATTTCCCTTCCAAGTTAATAATCATTTTGATTGCTCTTTAATGCTACTACTTTAACTAATAATCTAATAAGTATTTTCGACTTCTTGGCATATTCTCACTTTTATGGAATGATCTTAAATATATGATTTTCAAGAAAGGGACAGCTTTACATGTTATAAACTTTCAAAGGATTCTAGGACTTTCTTTCAACTTTATTTTTGGTTTTTTTATAATAATCTTTCTACCATTTGCTTTTGGCTTTCAAATGATTTTAAATAATCACCTATTTGGATTATGTTCACATCTATTCAATAGTTTGGTAGATAGTTCTTACGCTACTTTTCTTATAATGATAAATCTTTTAAACGTTTCTAAAGAAAATGTTGATTCTTCAGCAATTATTATTCCCCTACATATTATGTTCGTTTTTGTAATAAGTATAATATTATTAAATTTTCTTATAGCAATAATGTCTCAGTCAGTTTCTGTGACTGCGAAATACGAGAACGTTTATTTGAAAATAAATAAGCTTGCACTAATTCTCTCTTTGGAGGAAGGATTAGCTATTTTCACTGGAGGACTATATAGTAGAATAACCAAACGGTTTATGGTTAATATGAATAAAAGACAATACGTTCTTTTTATCAGAAATACTAATAATGATTAAAGTAAGTAAGATATATTTTAATGTGAGAAATTGTAAACCGCAATAAAATAAAATTCTGAAAAACTGAACTCACCTTCTTGTCGAATTTCAAATCAGCGGTTTCCTTTATCTCTTCATTATTAAATTTCCATTCATGAGTTGACACTTCTGGACTGGAAACTACTTCTGCAAAAACAACTCCCTCCTTCGTTAAGACTCCACCAATAGGATTTATCGGTCCATACACATTTGGACGACCTTTTAATTGATTATTTATAATATTCTTATAGAAGTTAACGATTTCCTATATCTTACCTCTAATTCTAATTGTCTTTTTGCTGGATATTGATAAATCTTGGAATTCCCAGTCGGGTAGAGTACAAGTTATAAGTTTACCACTATATTTCGGATCTGGCTTGAATTTTTTAAACTTTGATACTAAGGAAGTTTTTGGCACTTGCATACCAGGAGTGTCACCAACAAGCTTAACGTTTGTCTGTAAGATAGTTAAATAATTAAATTTGTGATTATATATAACCATACGATATATATATATAAATACATACCTGTACTTCAAAGTTACCCGGATCGAACAGTTTTTCATTATCTTCGCCTTCAATTTCAACTTTAAAATCCCATTTTATTTTGTTTTTTTTATAACCAGTAACTGAACCTTCGCAGATAAGCTGACCCTCGGACTCATTAAAATTTATAAAGCTCCTGTATAAAGAGAAAATAGCAATTAGAAACTATTCAATAAAGAAAAAAATAAGCTAAAATATTTACGATTGTTTGTTGTCTGCTGTAAAGTTAATATTCAAATTTCCTCCATAAAATGTAATTTCTTCTGGTTTAGCTACACATTTTAAAGTACGATTTAATATCTGTTTAGGTTCATTAGTGCTAAACTTTAGTAATACTTACAGTGAACATAAATTATTAACTTCTTTGTAAAAACAATTTTATTAGCCGCATCGTCTTTAACTTCAAATGTGTAAATTCCTGCATCTTTAGGTTCTACATTAATAATTTTAAAGGGAAACTTGTAAGGTTTTTTGTCTTCTGATGGTTCTGTCAATGTAAATGTAATTCTGTCATTTTCAGCCTTATATTCATCTCGAAGACGACGAGCACTATTGGCTAAAGACCTCCCATATGTGGAAGGGTTTGGCTGTATATCTTTCTCGCCTTGAGCTTTAAATAGTTCAAATCTATAGTCTCTGTAAAAGTTATCCCTAGGCAGTCCATCTGATAAAATAGAAAATTACAGATTAGGATACAAATATTTGTCTGAGGAAAAAGCCTTACCAACTGTAAAGACGTATTCGAAATTTTCGTTGTCAGCTGCTTTAAAGTGATATATATTACCATCAGTCACCACGCATAATGCTGTGTGAATAGAGAAAAGAAATGATTTATTAATAAGATGCTAAAGAAGAAGATTCTAGATGACATTTCTAAAAATGGATGTATACAGCTTGTATTTTTTACGCTCGACTCATTTACCAATTAAATTGATAAAAATACTCTATATACTATTTAAATCAAAAACTACCTTTCTATATTATATCTAGTCAATAGAAAATAGAATAAAAAAGAAACAATCTCTCTGATTTAATGCGATTTTTACCAAGAGAAAATTGGATTACAATTTAAGCATCATCTTTATTATACTGTTACAGTAAGAATAAAAAAAACTGCATAAATTAAAAATAGTTCATGAATAAAAACAAAAATAGTTATCATAAAGAAAGAGAACAAATGTAATTTAGAACAATTATAGTCAGCTATTGGCTAAACAGGATTTTTTATAACATAATAGTAAGCCCGCATAAATATTCTTTTAAATACAATAAGTGAAAAATGGGATAAAAATATTGCTATTGTCATTCAAAAAAATACCAGGGTATTTTTCTAATGTAGGACTTGGGCTAAAAGTCTATTAATAGGTTATTCAAGTTGGTGGTATCTTATAATCGTTTCGTCTTTTTTATAAGCATATTTTAATAATCGTTTAAGGGAAATGTCTAGAGTTTTTCATCAAATTAAATAAACAACGCATTATCCTGTGATGTTTGATTGATGGCTCGAAAAACAGTTGTTAAAGATATATTACAGACTTTTCTTGCTTTACAGAATATTAACGAAATCTCTTTTTACGGTATTCCATTCAGGTCCTTGGTAAACACACTCTTTGAATATTAAACTAGTTTGAAATAATTTAACCACCTCTTTCGAATACTTATCGATTATTATTCATCTGTATAAGTAATCTAATACCTAACAGGTGGTTCGAAGCATCTGCATCTTTAATTTTCTAATCAAACGATCAAAAAAGGAAGGCGAGACTTTGGTTTGATCGTTGCCCCTCACCCTGTTGATATCCCTTCGGGCTAAACAGATACTTTTTGTGGGTTGTAAGAACAAAATATTTTTATTTATACTTTAATCTACACTTAAATGTTTACTAAGAGAAATATGATACTACGCCTACTTGCAAAAGAAATTACATCGAGTCCATCCACTGTTAGGAGGCGTTTAAAACCCGTCCATTTAAGCTCGTTAAGGTATTTATAAAAAGAGCCCATTTGTTGAAAGAAAGAAGCCAGAAATTGGCACAGGAATAACAAAATGTGGATTTTTTATAGACATAAATCTATTCAATTGCCTTCTTTTCCTTTCGATTAAAAAAGAATAAAAAGAAGAAAAAATGTAAAGAAAAAGGAGATAAAGAAACTCGAACTTTTATGAATAGAATAAAAAGAAAAGGAAATGCTGGGCAGTTTGATGAAAGAACAGAAAACGTTGTACAAATACTAAAAATGTATATAGACACACATACGCACGCGCGTGCATATACACACATAAAACCAAACATACATCCATACATACATACACGTATACACAATAAGTGCTTTGAAAAGTACAATGTGTAATAAACAACTTTTAAAATACCAAATGTACAATGTTTTTCTTAACTTTCAATAAAAATTTTCGTCCTCTTTCAAGACTTACAATGTGGTATATATATATATATTTTTTTTAAAATGAACAACTACATTTTTCACTCAGATTTTTGCAATTCTATAAGAATCAGCCAAGGTATAACTTGAATAAATAACTCTTATATAGTTTTTCATAAATTTAGGGCAAAGTAATAAAGTTTAGGCTATTGATTTTTTTTTTATTTAACGTAAGTTGACAAATTTTACGTAACTATGTATTGTATAGTGTTTGTGTTTATACAAATAGAATATATATTTATATATTAGCTCTTTTTATTATTTTCTTTTGGATGGAAAACACCTTATATATAAATTAAGCAATTGTAGAAGACATCTACACTAAACACTCTCAGAGTATGTAATTCTATCATCCTTTTGTCATCCTTTATATAAAATGTTTCTATTTTTTATTACTCGATTAAGAGAGTAAAGGAAATAAAAAAGAGGCCATTAAATATTATAAATTAAATAAAGAACGCAAACCCTTTTCCTCCCTCCCACCTATTTTATCAGAGCATATTTTTAATATCATACAGAAATTCTTTTCCTCTGCTATCTCTCTCTTCATTTTTCTCGAAATGCCAGGAAAAGAATTAATGAAGCCTATGAACTTTGTAATTAAATAAAAATAGATATATATATATAAATCTGTTAGATTCGTAAGATAGTTACGGTTCAATATAAAGTTTCCTTTTCTTTTTCTTTCCTACGAACAATTTGTTTACATTTGTCTAAGCGTGTAATTTAGATAATACGAAACCTTTTCTTTACTCTACGAAAACGTATACAATCGTATTCGTATACATTTATATATATAAATATATATAAAAAAAAGCCTATCGAAAAAGGCAGTGGGTTTGTACGGTGTAGCAGCAGATCTATGTATCATCTTAACCCGGGCAAAGCCAGATGCTATATATGGGTTAGAGAGATAAAGATGTGTACAGTTTTTTTTCCCTTCCTTCTCTTTTTCTCTCCCAAGCGGTGACCTCTTATTAGAGATAATTCTTCCATTTAATGAACTAGAATTGTTAGCCTTTCAGAATCTCTTTCAGGTACAAGATATACGGAAATGGGTTACTCAGTACCTTTTTAAAATACACTTCGATCTTATTTTACTATCTTCTTTTCAAACATAGGTATATGTTATATAGTAGAAATATGGAATGAAGAAAAAAATAGCTTTACAGGTGTAAATTTATATACACAAATATATATTGATCAAAGACTAGTACAAGGTAAAAAAAACTCACCCAAGTAATCATTAAGTTTAAAGAATGTATAATATATTGAAAAAAAATTCAATATTCAAGCGATATTCAAGGTTTGTTATATTATGAAGGAATGATTTATATTACTCTATATGGTTGAACAGGTAAATTTACCTCTTGTAACATAGCATAAACATAAACACGCACTTATATAGACATTATATTTATACAGTTAAACTTATTTTCAAAGATAACACAGATTTAAAAATTTGTCCGATTTGTAATTAGAATATTTGATGTCTTATATTTTTGAAATCCTTAATCCGCTTTATAAACACAACCGTCCCTAAGGGCAAACGTTCGTTTGTTATTTAGGTCAGTAAAAACAAACTAATTACAGCAGAACTAAGACTCACATGCCGTATTAATATTCATCCAACCGAGACAAAGAGATATACAATATAAGTATATATTATAAGGATATATATAACTGGTTGAATAAATGCTATACCAACATTACGAGCAGGAAACTATTCGGTATAAATACAATAATGAAATAATTATCATTGTCCTCGTTCAATTATCTAGAAAAGTAACAGTACCTATATCATCCATTATTATTATTATACACTAAGAATGACAACTAAAATATGGAAAAGGAACAGCTTAAATACAGTTATAAAAAAGGCGCCAAAATATTTTTACACAAAAGAAGCCCTAAACCCCTCCGACATATTGAAAGCTATCGAACAAAACCGGCTACTCACCAAAATCGATAAACAGAAGGGTTAAGCAGATCTTTAAAATATTCAACATTTTCCCACTGATAAGATAAAATGTTAATGGTAAAAAAACTTCTTTTGCTGCTCTAAAATCAATAATCCTATTCCGAGAAATCGGCTGTTATCTGCGAAAAACCGCCGTAAAGTTCTTTCCGGACACTATTTCAAACAGGTGCGATGATTAAACGGGGGCGCTGTTGTAGTGCTCTATCAGCGCCTCCTAGCGCCGAGCCCTATTACCTAAATGTGGGGTATTTACCCGTATTTCGCTGAGTTGTGACTTGAATAATGCCTTTTCAAAGCTATTTGGCCATTATCGATTATAAATTTCGGGTTAAGATGAGGTGCAATAACGGTTTTAGGGATATATTGTAACGAAATAGATTTCCACTTCCTCAACTTCCTTTTACCGCTCAAAGTATTGATGTAGTTAAGAGTACTTTATGAACGATCAAATTTTATATTCGATCAATCCAGCTTAAATAATTATAATACATAGTTTGTCATACTGTTTTCCATAAATTATTATTTATTAATTATCCCCTCGTCTCTTTAAATTTGCCTTAATCGTCCCCTTACCCCTCCTTCAATCTTATTAAAGGGATATTAATTGCTATTTTATTAGTGGTAAAAACTGGGAGAGAATAAAAAAACTAGGTTAATTTTTACCAGTTTTTAAATTAGTACAAATCACTTTGTCTTTCATATTTATTTTGCCCCCAAAAAACAGATTGTGTATAGAGGGATAACATCCGTATGTGTTCTTTAAATAAATCATGATAGAGGGCGTAATTACGTATACATTTCGCAGCTGTCTTTCTTTTTTCCCTCAACTGTTATTCCAATTAATGGTTTTGGTTATAAAAAATAATCGAATAATTACCAGGTAATGAAAAAATCGTTTTTCCAGATGTTCTAAGATATTTTTACATTGTATATTCATAAATGTCGTTTTTTTTTAAAAAAAAAATAGTACACTGTAGCAAATTTTAAAAACTTACTATATATATTTAGATATATGTAAATATATATGCTATATGTATATACTGTATAGTGTATACTTGTTATACGATGCGTTGATTAAGTTATAAATACATATCTTCAGAGCCTTTTACGGATTATCTTTAATGTGATTTTCTGATTTTTGCTAGTACAATAAAAAGTATCATATTACGAAGTATAGAGAAATACAGTAGGAGAGCGACAGAGAGAGAGAGAGAGAGAGAGAGAGAGAGAGAGATAGATTGAGGAAGGGAGGAGAAACAGAGTGAGGAAAACCTTACTCCAATCTAAATGATAAGGTAATGGACAAGGGTTCTTATTTTTGTGAATACAATCTCTCCTCTTTTCCCATCTATTCTTTAAAGGAAAAATGACTCATTTTTAATAATGTTGTAACAAATTATCCTTTATATTAATGAAAATTAAGCATTTACCAAGCAAAAGGAATAACCCTAATCATAATTATTAAATTGCAGCTAATCTCGTAAAGAGAAATTAGCTGTATAACCTTAAAATGACAAGTATATGTTTATTGAAGAACATGAATAATCGGTTTTCTCATTCTTCAAATGTTTTCATTCATAACTTGAACATTTTGTAATTCTAAACTTAATTAGGTTTTTACTATTGAAATGCAAGTTTTTAGCTAATATTATTCCTCTATTTTGCGAAGTGATTTCACCGGAAAATGCTACTTCTACGCAATACGTTCGCTTGGTTCTTTTTAATTAAAAGAGCAATAGCTGACCGACCATGTGTAGGTTTGAGTGCGGGGGTTGAAGGTCGTATAGATTAGATTATTCATTCAACGTAGCTTAAGTTTCATAAAAGCGACAATTGGTAAAGATCTAAACCTTGATCTAACCGACCAACTCCTACATATGTCCCAACCTCAAGCTGAGAAAAGTAGAGCCATTTGTACATCATCGACCTTAGGCAAAAATTTGTTTCCCATGTAATTCCTATCTTGATCTAACGGGTATGGGAATTCATATTGGAATAGGGCAAGTAATTGTACAGTATATAGTATATTTGCATCCTCTGCAATATATTCTATATGCAAAGCATTTCTATCTACTATAGTCAATTTTATAACCCTTTATTTTCATATGTAAATAATAATATTTGATTTATTTACTCGATTAGTGAAATATTAGAAATGGAAAAATAGCAAAATTCGCCTACTATTCACCTGAGAAAAAAAAGAAACGCAGGTGTTGACGTAGCGATTTTTTCCAATGTAAACTTTTTTCTTTTAGAAAGGTCACGCATACTATAATCAATTGGCGTTAAATAAATTGTTACAAATCTGTAGATATACATATATATATATATATATATATATATAAAGTATATATATATACATGCAGCTATGTATAATTTAAGACAGACAAAATTGATGACAATCTTATTGAATATTCTAATAGGAATTCCCATTCAAATAAAGCTTAGTTCATAATTTAGAATAAAAATTCAGAATTATAAATGTAAATTGACTTGTTAAAAAGAAAAAAAAAACTGAACACTATTTATAGAGGTATCCTCCCTCAAATACCTTACATTCTTCATTTTGTTCTTCTGGTTTCAATTTCCGTAGTTAAAATGATAATTAGTCTACATTTTCTTACATTCTTATGAATATTAATAGGAAGCTGTAAGGTTATGGTTACCATCTGGTGAAAAAATGATACTTGGAACCAGCTAATTGGTTCTATATATTTTTTGTAACATTAGAAAACTAGTATGTATAGCAGATGGGAACTTAAGGGATTAAGATTAAAACGTTTTATTTTGCAAACAATAGAAACAAATATTTACTTTTAATTCTTAAAGAAATATTGATAAAGTCATGTTTATGTGGCAAGGGATTTCATAAATGGCATTAAGAAATAGACGTAGCAAGCTTGCGAAGCATACAAACAGTAAAAACCTGGTTAATGCCATTCTCATTTTATGAATAAATAGGAATTTATTCTATTTCGGATAGTTTGTAAGCTATTTCTACGAAATTACAATAATTATATCTTCAATTTTCATTTCTCACCACTTCTCCTACTAGGAATTAATGTATTCTCTTTCAAATCTCTTTCATCAATGTATGCTTTTCTCTACAGAAAAAACAATTGTGTTTAAAAATGAAAAGAGCCGACCCAGAACGTTCGATTGAGTTGACAAATGAAATTCTGATTGTATTGGCATTTGACAGAATTTATCAACGTTTCCTCCCCATTCGCATATCATAGTGTTATTTTTCTATATATCTTATGTATGGAAGCAATTAATTTGTACACGATCCATTGGATGGTTTATAGAAATGTAATGTTAGTATATAAACCTTTCTAATATACCATATTTTCTATCCTTTACAATGTTTACATAAAACATTTAATAATAATCTTTTAATTAACCAAAAATATGGTTAATTTACCCAAATTATTATAAACTGTTGACATTAGTAGAATGAATACCCCTGTCACTTGATCAATTCATCCAGTACTCAGAAAAAAACTTAAAATATACTTGTGCTATACATTAGTTATTAGCATAGGCTCAAAACTATAATCGACCATGAATAGTCAATGTAATAAATAGAAGATAATAAAGCATGAACAATGCCCATTGAGATATCTATTTTCTAGTTCAGAGTTGTATAAAATGAGAGAACTTGTCACATTATCCTCGATAAAAATGGCTTAATAATAATAAAAATAAGAAAAAACAAAGTAGTATTTTGTTAAATAGAATTTTCATTATTGATTAGTTATTTTAATAATATACGAATTTATTTAAATAAATGTATATAAAAAAAGGAAACTGGTAGATACGTATAATAGCAAATATTAGTAACAATAAAAAACGACTAAAAGCAAGAGTGCATTTTCCAGGTGTTCTTTTATTCTTATATTGAAATAAAGATAAATATTGGTAAAAAAGAAAAGACACCAAAGAAGATATCTTATTGCTTTTTAGTGTCTGAGTAATTATTGTAACTGACTTTTTTATGTAGGTGTTTTTCATCGTATAGATTTCTAGAAAGTGTACAAAAATCGTCGTTTATATTGCTTTTTTTGGCTTAGAATAAGTGAATTTACAATGTATACATATATATTTATAGACATTATAAGTATTTATTAGCGATGTAGAACAAAAAAAAGAGAAAAGATATATATTAAGTAGATTAAAATAAAAAATACGTATATGTCTATTTATTCAAAAACATTGAAATAAAAAATACACTGGTAATTTAGCCTTGTTTTAATGAGTGCTTTTTTTATTATTATACTATTAAAAACAATTATTGATTCTCTATTTCTCTTTCTATATCTCAATGTTTTTCTTTCTCTCTCTCTCTACACTTGTCAAAAGAGATATTGTAAATAAAAAGGAATTAATTGAAAGTTGTTAAAAACGTTTTCTTTAATTTTCCTTAAAAAATTACAAGGATAGAAAGAGGTTACCTTCTTTTTAAGGAATAGAAGTAATAACTGAAAGATGTTTTCCTCCTTTTTTTAATATTCTTTCATTCTTTCTCAATTAAAAATTGATAAACAAAATTTTTTCTCTAAATTATTTATGACTTTGAAATGTATTATGAGTAAAAAATGATAAAAAAAGGACCCAGGGGTAATGCTTCAAAGGTTATTGTTCTAAGATGAAAAGTAATAATATCTATAGTAAATTCTATAAAAAACGTATATCTGCTTTATATTTTGGATAAAATATTGGTTTTTGTTTTTCGTTTTTGATACTTTTGTGTTTTTTAAAACGGAAAATAGTTGTTCTCGAAGATGTAAGTAGGCTATTTTATAATTTAAGAAGAGGAGTATACTTTGCGACGTTTCGTAATGGAATTTCCACAGTAACAGTTATGAAAAAGGCCAGTAGGAATGAAGCAGTTAAGAACATAAGAAAGAAAAATATCTGAAATGGGAAAAAATAAACGAAAGGATAGGGAATAGTGCGAGAATAAAGTGATTAAGTATATGACACAATAATCCTTTGGATTACTTTTTAAATTACTTACCACAAGGGAACTGTCCATAATAATAAGGTTTTCCCTTGAATTAACAAAAGCAGAAATGATTATAGGATGAACTAAATAAGCCACAAAAGTTAATCTACTTGGTACTATCCACATTCTTAAAGAGAGGAGGTCATGAACAATGCCTGGTAAAAATAAATAGACATAAAATTGAACAATAAAAGATTATTGAGTAATCTTTATACGCGCATAGTAAGTTTACCTTTTTGAATTGTGAGACAAAATAGAATTAGCCAACTAATACAAATACTCCACAGAGGTTTATGAAGTGAATTAAAAATTGCATTCGTAAACTTAACATTTAGAGTATTTATGGGAAAGAATATGATTAATAAACTTATAAGAACTGCTGCCGTAGATATAATTCTGATAGTTATCTAAATAAAAAAGAAAATTTATTAAGAGTTTTTCTTTTTAAAAAAAAAACTTATGCCTTATTTAATTGAAGTTTTCCATCCGTAAAAAATTTCCAGCCTGTTAGAATTCCAACAACATAAGAACCAATATTTGTCCAAGGTGTTTCATAATATAACCGTGTAAATAGGTCTCTATGTTTTTTTATTAAAGGTGTTAACAGGCTTATATTTTTATTCTACATAACTTACAATTTTTTCTCTTTAATAAAGAAATTGGATGATGGAAAATCGTATTGATATGATATTATAGCAGAAGTTATACATGCCGCTATAATTGTTAATAGATTGAAAATAATACCAAAATATTTCCACCTGTTAGAAATATTATTTACCAAATCTTATCTTGAAATGTAGTTTTTATATACAATGTCACCTGTATAAAGAGTAAATTAACATAGGTGCTAAGACATAAAATTGCATATCAGCTGCCAAATACCAAGTCCATCCCATACACTGTAATAATAAATAAATAGGAATATAACTATGAGTTTTGTTTATACAAACTACAACCGAAATATTATTTATATTATTTATGTATAACAGATTCATCCACCATCCTTTATTACATATTTCTAAGAAGGAATTTTCCTCAACAGACATTGGTCCCTTTACAAAAAATTGATATAATATTATATAAGTTGCCATTATAATTGCGTAAGTCGGCGTAATTCTATAAATAAATAAAGACATATAATATTTTAAGCGTAAGGGGAAGAAAGTATAGAAAGAGGGAGATAAAAAGTATGAGAGAGAGAAAGAGAGGGAGAGAGGGGGGAAATAAAGAAAATAAAAGATATTCTTATAAAAATATAATTATTACCTCCAATATCTATGAATATAGTATGGAACAATTTTAAAACTAGAATCAGAAAGCTTCTTCAATGTTGATATGGTAACCAAAAATCCACTTGTTGAAATAAACAAAAAAATAAACAAGATTTTATTTTCAACATATTTTTAATTAAAAATTACGTATTTAATTACCTTAAAACAAAAAAGCTGTGAACAGCCACTACACTATAAGATATATTTGATAGAAATCCAATGTTCCATTCCTTTAGATATGTAGGATTTGCTATAAGATATTATAAATTGATACTATATGAAATTAACTAAAAATTGAAAATATTTACCAAACAAGGCGGTTAGATCGTATCTTGTATGGATTAAGATAATCCAACACATTGAAAAGAATCTTATACCATGAATACATGATATGTCTTTTGAAGGTTCTGCAAGACTTAATTTTTCCAAATTTCTTACAAACGAAAAGCATGTTGAAATTTCTAGAATTTTATTTAAAATGTTTGAATTTTTATCCTTTTTCTCCTCTAGTAAGAATTCCGATTCACTCGATTGGTCATCTTTCATAGGAGAATTCAGTGCTAAAATATCCAGAAGAGTAGCAACAGCAATAACTATTATCATAGAGGTTAAAGCTAGCCTAAAATTTTAAAGATTTTTCAACTTTCAAACACACTTGAATAAAACCTAATAAAAATAGAGAAAAGTTCAAAAGTTTTCCATTTTTTTCAGTTAAAATCGAAATGATTCTCTTTTGAACTTATCCTTATTTTAAGACATCTTCTATAATTACAATAAAATCCATGCTTTTGTATCCAATTCAATAGTATTATAAGAAAAAACTTTCGATGGTTTAATAGGGAAACTTTTCCATCTGTAAACTATTCAATTAAACATTATTCTTTATAAATAGAGGTACAATAGCCAATGTACTAAGCAATTACCTTTTGTAAAGATTTCTTTTATTTCCCATTTACTGCAAGTGTCTGGCAAACACATACCAAAAGATGGAACAATGTTTATTGTAGTAGTTTTATCAAAATATTCCTATTTTTTAAATAAAATAATATACAATTGAAAAAGAAATTAGGTTATTCAACACTATTTATTTCGTAAGACTTGCTATGTTACCTTTAAAATTGCGCTTATAACTTGAAAATCCAATCTAATATATGAGCTTTTAAATGTAATATCTTTTGGAACTTTTAGCGTTATACATTGACTGTAACTACCCAACATTTTGACGTCTCCTTTAAAAAATCCAGTGGGAAATGTTCCCCAAGAATCTAGCACTATTTTGCAGTTTTATTTTAAGAATAAAAATATAATTCATATTCTATCGATTAAAAATAAATATACAAATAAAATTTATTACTTAAATCAACCCATGAGACTGTAGAATTATGATTTTCCTTTCCAAAGTGCATTTTATAAAGCAACGCCATATCTGTTGAGCATTCCTTGCTGATGTTCTTATCTTCTATAAACAAACTCAGTATCTCCCCTCGATTCAATAATAAATCTCTTTCAGCGAATCCTTCTACTCCTTATCGGCAAAAGTAAAAAAAGTGTGATTTAAATTACATATAATATAGCAAAGTACATTATTTTCTTACATAAACTTACTTGGACAGAATATGATAGAAAGAAAGAATAGTAGAATATACATATTCAAAGAAGAAAGAGAAGAGATACCCTTCTATGAGATACAGATATGTATACTGTAAAGTAAACATCTATTTTCCTCTCCTTATAAAGTAAATGTTAATTCATTATTTTAATTTATTAAAATTAATATTTACTTATAAAAAAACATCATTTTCTCAATTCAATTAGAAATGAATTGAATGAGGGATTTTAATTTTCTACTTTGATTGAACTGGAAATTAAGTTGAAAAGGAATAGGGGTAATATGCAATTATATTATAAATATCTTATTGAAATATGATTATTGCTATTAATGAATTTATTTCTAACCCTATTTATTAGGAAATATACTTGAATCAGATTACTTTACTGGATAAAGTAGTGACTCTTTAAAGGAATTAATTACAGAAAGTTTTCAACAGTTGTTTAAAAATAGTTTTCAAAACGATATCTTCTTTTTTTATTATCTCTACAGTAGATAACCTAACTATCAAAGACGGATGAAAAAGGTGAATGAACAAAAAAAACAAGGTGAAAGATAAAATGGGAAAGGAATTGGATAAAGATAAGCTTGGAAAAGACAAATGGTAAAAAGAGAAACGCCATCTATTATCTAATATAAATATTAAAAGTAGAAATTTTACCATAATACTATAAAACATTAGTGTAAGTCGGTTAATAGATCTCTTCCTATTATTCACTGTTGATTTATTAAATATTAATCATTTTGTATACTAGTTAATTATGAATAATCAATGTACTGATATAGAAATAGTATAGTTTTATGATAGTGTAAAGAAAAGTAAAGAAAATCAGAATATATTTAATTGTTTTATATCGTTGAAATATTAATTAAAAATCATAAAACTATTGTTATTTCAAGCTATTTTTATTTGAAATTCATTAATTAATGAAATATTAGACATAACCTTGTATTAAAATAATAAATTAATAGGTTATTGATTAATTAGAATATGTTTTACTGAAAGAAATTAAATCCAATAATTTTAAACAAAAGTAAAAAAAATTGACTTTCTATCGATTGTAATTAAGTAATATTTTTTATGTATATAAAAAAATTGCCTACCTTTATTCTTTTCTGACTCTCTTTAAATATAGATAAAGCATTGGGAAGTTTTTATAATGCAATTATAATAAAATTAGTTAAACAACTAGGTGGCGTTTACATTGTTTATATTTATAAGCGAGAAAAAAAATAAGAACATTATTAAAGCCTATGTTTAGAAGGTTGTTCATTTCAGGCTATGTCTTCGTTATTAGCGCCGACAGCTTTAGCCTTTTACAGACACCGTCAAAACTTAACAGACTTTGACAAGGAAAGACCGAAAAATCTTAATTCAATTTACAAGGCCGTTCTGGATAAAATAGACGTTCTAAAGGACAATTTAGATGATATTGAATTAGAGTTTTTCGATGGACGGAGAGTTGATATCTACTTACGAACTTTGGTTCAGCACTTAAAGCGTCTACAAAAGCAGACAAACGTAAACAATTTGAACGCCGCATGGCAAGTTGACGATATAGCGACAAAAATAGCAGCAAATCCGGGAGAAGATTTTCAAAATAATATATTATCAATGAAAGTACTCAGGGAATATCATAATAAATTATTACAATTTGTTCCGGATAAATTCGAAAGTGTCTTGGAAGATATCGGACACATTTTATCGTTCTTATCAAGATATTGTCTATCATTTTACACCGAAAATTACGATTCGTATTTGGAAACTGCGCAACATTACAACAAAAAACAGACCGAATTCAATAACGCTATTAAGGATCATATAGAGAATGTTACGTCAATGTCTAAGTCGTATAGGTCTCATTTGGGTCTTCAAGCGGATCAATTTGGTTTAACGTCAAACGACTATGCCAGACGAATCGATTGCGGAGAATTATCTATAGTCCTTGTAATACCGCAAGCTTTAGCTAACCTAAGAAACGCCTTAAAGGTTAGTATTAAAAGTTCATTTATCAATTGATTAATGATTCAATTGTTCAGTAAATTATCTCGTTGTTGGAGAAAATTGCTACTATTCTCCTCACTTATTCAAATCAGAGTCATAAATATTTATAAGTTAAACGATGTATAAACTCAATTTTTTAATTATAACACCAATATGGCTTAAATTATAATTTACCCCCCGTTTACAATTTGGATGTTTCAATCAATCAGTAAGGCCTATAATGTTTACGATTAAGTAAAGTCTCTACAGTAAATATTCTATAAATATCTGATTAATAAAGCAGACCTTTTATGCTTAATTTAACAGGGTATAAAATTATGGATAGAAGCCGATAGGGAATATGCAACTTATATAAAACAAGATATAACAGATTTAGAAGGAAAATTACAAGATCAGTTAAAGATTGTTGAACAATCAAGAAGAAGATATTTTCATTCCGATGTCTTATTTAAAAGAGCTACAAAAGATTTTGAACAACAAAAACAAGAAATGTCTAAAACAAAGGAGAAAGAAATAAAATTAACAAAAGAGTATGAAGAATTGTTAAGTGAACATAGATTTCTTCGAATGGATATTGATCTATTGAGAGAAAGAATAGACGATGTGAAAAACGAGGAAGCGGCTATTGAAAAAGTTGAAAAGTTGACAAGTGAAAAATTACAATTAATTAATCAAATTCCATTATTGGATAAAAAATTTGAAAGGAATAAAAAGAAAATGTACTATATAACAGAAAGGAAAAAATTGGTTGAATTGAAAAATGATGAATACAAAAGAGCTAAAAAATCATTTGATTTAGCTAAAAGCGAATATGAAAGAGATGATTTTGAATTGAATAGAATTCAAAATTGCTTAGCTTCTTTAAAGAATATATATATATTTAAAACAAATGCTGCTTCTCTAAAGAAGATTTTCCATAATATGCCTGTAACTAATAGAAAAATATATAAAGCTCAAAGTCATATACAACCAAAGATAATTCCTCATATAACGACAAAAGAAGAATCTATCGGGAAACAGCCGAAAGCTAAAGGTTGTAAATTTTCATTGCTCTATTTTCATCTTTCTTTGTTCTCAACATTTTCTCTTTTCTCTTTCAATTGATTAATTTTTTTAACAAGTTTTTCTATAATTTAATTAAAATTTTATAATAAGTAAGTGTCAACTTGATATTTCAGACACAAGATAGTTTGAGTATACTCGAAACGATACTTTAAGTAGACTCTAAAATCTGTTCAAGTGTTTTATTCTGAACGTAGAATTATCTTGATTAAAAAGGGAAAAAAGAAACTTCTATAGGCTCTTGAAAAAACTTTCCTTTTAATAATAAAAAACTCTTCATTATACACAAATATTCATATAGTTGATCTATATTGAGTATATGTATATATAGACAATTTAATTGTAACATATTTTAACCTTTTGTTGACCTTTCTTTCTTCTTCTAGATCAATTTGATAAATATTTGAAGTTTGTGGCGAAATTGTTACAACAAGACTGGATACGCTTGTACAGAGTATTGCCTTTTTTTCCACCTAGGGGAGAGACAACAATAGAATCAGACATTGATAAGATAAATCAAGAATACTATAGGAATTTAGTTGAATATCAGGCTCTGGAAAGTTTAAGGGTAAGTTCATTCAATAGAGGAAGGCAAACACTACATTGTGAGAACTAATTAAAAGATTAATTAATTTATGAATTAACTAACTCATTAATTTTGTCTTATTTATCAAATATTTTATTAGTTATGGAGGAGAGTACATTCTAGAGCCAGTTTACACGCTTTGAAATCGAGCCTAATAGAAATCAATAAAGAAAATATTGCACAGCAAATTGACGAGAAAATAGAAGATATGAAAAAGAGAAAGATGCTTAGAGAAGATGCAAAAAGTAACTGGGCAAATATTAAACTAAAAACATTATTTGTCGGTAAATTAAAGACAATTTAAAAAGTAAAAACAAGATGGTGGTCATATACTTTTCATTTTAAAAGAGGATAGCTTACCAGTAAATATATTAATTAAATATTATCTATAAATAATAAGAGGTAATTCAAGGAAGCTCTAATCTTCTTAGACTGATAAAGAGATAACAATAACTTTTATATGTATATGTATAGTTATAAGATTATAATGAGGCATAAAGAGAAAAAAAAGGAATTAAACCTAGTTTAGCCTTTATTTTTTATGATTTACAATAAAACCTGCATATTTTGGGAATAATATAATAAACTTCTTAAGTTTTTTATATGAATTTATTGCTTAAAAAATGAATACAAATTATTCTCTGATCTTTGTTGAATAATATAAATATATATTTTTTCTTTCATTTTTTGTTTTTTTAAAAAAAAAGTATAAAAAAGAACTATAAGACACGAACGGGGGCATAACAAGAATAACAGTGTATTTCGATTAATTGACTACATAACCAATAAGAGTTGCTATTTAGCAGGTTTTTATGTTTTGAGTTGTTCAATAATGAAGATTAGCGATTTTTTTCTAGATTGCCCCGATCATAATATAATAATGGTGAACTATCGATTTGAAATTAATCAATCCCAATTGTTAAGGTTATTCGCAAGGAGTGTTTTTATTCTTTGAGTTCTATTTTTTAAGATTTCTCCTTAAAGATTTATTTAAAGGTTAAATAAGACAATTAATTAACATAATATATTCAAATATTATATATACAGTACGTGTATGACATATATAAAATACATTTTCAACTGTTGAAAATGCAGATATTAATGAGAATATATTTTAATATTTTGTTTTTTTAAAAAGACAAATTATATATATAAAAAATGACATTAAAAGAGAAAAAGATTAACAACAATTGGATTAGTAAAAGATATTTTCAATTAGATTAAAACTTCTCTTCTCTGTGCCCCAGTCTTTTTTTTTTTAATGTTTTAATTATATTTTTAGTCTATCTTTTGTTTTGTTTTATATGTTTAAAAAAAAAAGACTTTGTCATTGAAATAACAAAAAAAAGCTTGTTTTTCTTCAAGTATCTTTTTACAATCACTTAAGAGTTTGGTTTGTTTTTTGTACTTTAAAAGAAAAAATACAAGAGCGCATAAATCTATAGTTTTACACATATAAAATTATCATTCAGATCGTCAATATCTTCACTTAAATTCTCCTTCTTTTCTTCTTCTGGTTCGATATAATCGACATTATAATATAATATCTTATTCCTTGTCCAGCTGTGAGAGTTATCGAACTTTATTACGTCTAAAAAGGACAATTGAAGAGATTATTTAGTTTTTTTTTCATAAATTTACTACTTGAAATATATTATTACTAACATGTTCCAACTTTTTCACAAGTAATAGCGCCATCTTCAGGAACGAAATGAGAATTTACTCTCTTAAGAGGTAATATGTGTTTAATTTTTGTATTGTCTTGAAGTGTTATTCCAAATGCAATATCGTAATCTTCGGTTTTAAATTCCCATCTAAATTTTTAATAAAATGATAGATAGATTTTAAAAACTTGCTTTTTCAGCACTAATTAAATATGGCTGCTGGAAAAAAAAACTAGGAGAAATAGCATACATGAAATTATCTTAGGCTAAATGACTATTTTTTTATATAGCATAGTCTAACAGAAAATGTTTCTGCGATTATTCAAAAAAAAAAAAGAATGATAATCATAAAAGTTATCATCTATAAATAGATATTTGCTGGAAATTGGTAAAAAATCTTAATATTAATCATTTATTTCGCGGAAATGTTATGCTAAACAAAAATCTTATTTACAGTATTCGTGACAGATTAGTTTTTTTAATAATACAAGCATAATAAAGCATTCTTTATATATTATATACTATGTATAATGTATAAGTAATAAAAACCTTAAAATAGTGCCAATTTTTTTAATATCAAGTTTAACATTGAAATCTCCTCCGTTAGAAATAGTAACTTTTTGCATATGGCTTATATCCATTTCTTTTAAATAGTATTTTTCATCAACTTTACCATTTTGAGGAATCTATTTATAAATATATTCTATTAGAAAAAGAAAAGAAAGAAATTTAAAGATAAAATGATCTTTTTACCATTAATTTACATCTTGGATCGCCGTTTTCGTCTGTTAAATTACCACCAAGAAATTTTGGTAATTCGTTAACATCGATATATTGTAATAATTGTTCTCTATAGTTTTCTATACGTTTTATAAATATTTTAATACTGTAATGAAATAATTAATAGAATTAAAATATGTATAACAAACTTCCTAAAACTGATATTTTCTGAGCCATTTCGTCTGTAATAAATTTTCTAAATATTCCCCATAAAACCGTAAAGAATGTTGGAGCTGTTTATTAAAAGAAAGAAAAAGATAATAGAACTCTGTATGTAAATTTAGCCTAAAAAAAAAAAGAACAAATTTCATCTAAGCGAATATAAACATGCAAACATAAGAAAAATACTGCTGATAAAAAAGAATTCTTCTCTTTCTCTCTTGTTTTTTTATTAATATTTCTTTCATTAGTCATTAAGATTGAAACTAAAGCTTATTCAAAGGGTAGATTAAGTACAATGATTAAAAATAACAGTAAAATTAATATACTAGACGCTAATAAAACGTGTAAGCGTTACCAAAGATTTCAATTATCTTTTCCTGGGTATTGTAATAATTAACTTTTATATATTTGAAGATAATTGCAAAAATACATAACTATATATCTATACAAGTATTTTAAGTAAACATCATCAATAGCAAACAAAATTATCTAGTACGTAAGACTCCTTTCAATTTTAGATAACTGACTTCCGATTCAGATATCTAGGCTTATACTTGAGCGTTAGCTGACCTTGCTTTTTCCGGTATTTTTTTTTAAATAATGAATATTTTATACATAAATAGAACAGTTATAATATAAGAGATGAATTTGAATAAATATTATTTACCATTTATTATAAACGTTTTTTTCACGATTTCTGGATAATTATCTTGACTAAGTTTTCCCAAATGCGATAATAATTCAATGCCGGGCATCCATAAAAATGATAAACCTATTCCAGAACAATCAAGAATAACCGTTATTCCATCAATCGGTTTATCCGACTTAAAAAAAAATATGTTTAATTAGGTCATAATAATAGTTTAAACTTTTAAATAAAATATCTCTGCAGTATTTCTACCTTTACTGATAATTCGGCTAATCTATCCATAATCCCTTCATTATTTACAATCCATCTTTTTTCAAAATCTATACGCTTTGCCGAATATATTAAACCTCTTAAGTCGTATTGTCCGTAAAGTTCTACAAAAACTGGTGATCCTTCTTTGTCTACTCCAGCAAATCCAGCAGGTATATACTTTTGCAGAACCTTGAATAATACATCAATAGCCTTGTTAAATAATAAAAATCTACAATCATTTTTTTAGAATAACCTGCGGTATAGAGTAATTATCCTTAATTTCTTTCGGTTTTACTTGATTCCTCCATATCATACTCTATAGAAAAATGATTCAAGAGAAAAATAAACACGCAATAAGTAAAGTTTTCTTGTACATCATACCATTGACAAATAACACTGAAATAATTTCTCTTAAATAGATTATTGAATAAATAGAGGAAAATAGTATAGGCTTAATATTAACAATTAGGAGTTTCCTCAACAGAAAACACGTGTACGTAAACAATAGGCCTTTTGTCTATATCAAAATTTATCACAGTTTGTTACAAGTTTGTACAACAATACATGCAATTCTTATATAACAAAAACGAATATTATAATAATTGAGAAGCAAATATATATACATTTTGCTATGGCTTTTATTTAAAATCAATAGCGTTTTTGAATTATTAATAATTATTAGAAATATTTAAAATACTTGAAATTCTAACCTTTCTAAACATTTCTTCGGCTTTTTTCACATTATAATTTCTTGCTAAGACGCAAAATAAAATGTATTAATTAACTCATTAAAAATAATTGAACCTTTAATCCATCTGAATAAGGCCTCGTCATTATTGAACTCTGGTGTAAGAACGTCCTCAATTCGTTTCTTAAACTATTATTAAAAATGCTTTGTATTCTTTAAAAATATTAAATCATATATAAGAATTTATCATACTTCCTTAATTAATTTCGAGTTATCCATTTATTTTGTAGACGATTGTAAAGTATTCTTTAATAAGATAGCAAGCTTGTTTATGCTTTATATATGCTGTATATATACAGTATATATATATATATATATATGTATATATAAATAATAATATCGAAAATTGTAGATAGAAAAGTTTGAGGTATACCAACTTTACAATACGACAATACCGTGTATTGCTGAATAGAGAAAAAAAGGTATGTCTCTTTTGGCGCCATCTGTTGTGATAGCTTTAATATCTCTATGATTCGCCGTAGGGAAAAAACTGTCTAGAGAAATAAAGATAGAGAGTGATAGAGGGAGAGACAGGAAGATCAACTGATAGAGAGATATATAGAAGCAGACAGAAAAAATGCGAAAATAAGTTTACATTTTTTACAATTCCATAATTTCCTTGTAATTGTTATTCGATGCTTATAATCGCATTTCTGACAAATATTGGAAATTGATGATTAAATAGACCTAACTGAACCTTTTAAGTTGATATTTACGTATATTGTGTAATATTAAAATGAAAAACAGGTTGATTTTTCACAGATAGAAATTAACTTCAGGTTTTAGGTGATATCGCATTAAAAGTCTTATTGTTACCAGAAGGAAAGGCGGTGAAAAAACTATCAGATAACCCGACAGTTTTAAAGAAATTGGCCTTGCAAGAAACGAAAATTCGTTCTAAAATTCTTATTTTATACTATAGTCGGACTAAACAAACAAGAAAGAACATTTTAAGAAATGGACTTTGCGAGTCCTAGCCGGGTGGCCATTGAATTCAAGTAAACGTAGGATAACTTTCCATATCGAAGTGTATTGTCAGGATTTACATTTAGTTTCTTGTAGGAGCTAAAGATGGCGCTTTAGAAATAGTTAATTCATCTAAACTTGTGCGATGAACATTCTGGCTTTTTTATGATTATTAATAAACGGCGTAATAGGACCTTTGAATACCGTTAACCACTAGGGTGCCGTCCATCGTTAATGGAGCGAAATGCCCTTCTTCAATACTTTCCCAATGCACGTGACCTTTTCCTCTGACCTTATTCTACTATTAATTGTTGAAATTCTTGAACCAAATGATACTTTTTGGCACATATACACTCTTCAGTATTATCTTTAAAAACGGCATATGGCTGATTCAGCGTTACTGTTAACGACATTTTCTCCGTCTTTTGAAAGCTAATAAATTTCAATCTCTTTCAACAAATACTGTGACGCATTGTCCGAATCATTGTAAACTGCCCATTAACTCCTTGAGTTAGGTCACCTATATTTAATTGACCTATTCTTATATGGCGATCTTCTATTACCCTCACAGTTGCATCCATCGAAAAGCACTTGGTGGGGGTGGGGTATGATGCCTTCGCACAAGTCCATTCATCTTGTCCCAAATGAAAAGATGTATTAGAAATGGGAGTAAAAATAGGGAGCTATTGCTTAAAAATGATTTAAATCAAGTACCCAATCAATTTCGTGGACAGCTGCTCGCTTTTAAAAACGCTAACCAATTTTATTGTCAACTAAGAAAACAATATAGATGATCTTTTATGAGATCGCAAGTATGGTTGAGCGGACTTGTAAAAATGTCAAGCGAAAAATTATTAACGTTTTGAACATAGAAACGAAACGGATTTATCAATGCTGGTTTAAGTCTATAAGTTCAAGAGGAACGCACAGTGTTGCAAAAAGTTTATGTAACAAGATTTTAAAGTTAAAACTTTTAACAAGGACAGTGAAATCATTTTTCTATAGATTCCACTTGATGATCTACCTTCGATGGCTATTGTACACGTTGAAGTATCTAATCAATCATCAACATACACGAAAAGAGTGCATTGATTAATCGAACTCTTCTAGCTTTTCCTCTCAGGTGTTAAAATGGTGGTGCACTAACACTCTACGAACTGCAAATGAAAATATTCTACAGAGTGCTGTAGAGCTTACTTCCGAGATGAAATTGGAAAAGAGTTTTATCTTTCTGCGTTTAAACGTTTGTTTATAAAACGAGTGCAGCTCTTCAAAAATGTTGCACAACCAATTTAAATATCGTTTAAAGGATCCTCTTTAATTATACAACAATGTAGGAACTTACTCTGTAAACTCTGTTTCAAACTTCTTCTTAACTATAGTATAATGGAATGGTATAATGCTTAGTAAGCATCTTTTGAGGTGACTGATTGCTAAAAGTTTCCAAGTTAAGACTTTCATTAACTTGAATATTTAAATCTTGTATAATTTAACGAAATGAAAAGAAACTTTTTTTTTAAGGCTATACAAGTACTTCTAATTAGAAAGAGAATACATTTATATTTACGTTAATGTTACTAAATCTCTATCATACATCATATCTATTTCGCAATTTACTTGTAGGTATTGTCATAATACCGTTTGTTAAAATTACATAATTGCTCACCTTTCTTTTTTTTGTAGGTTTATCATATTTAAAAAAGAGCGAAAAGTTTTGTATGAAAAGGACCGGAAGGAGATTTCAATACTGATTAAGTCGAGTGTATTTACAGTAGGAAATTCCATTATTTTCTTAAAAGTTTGTATAATGTTAACAACGTCTCAATGAATATTTTCATTAATTCTTATTATAGAAACTGAATAAATGAGTATTATTCAAGAACTAATGGATTACACGAAAATAACATTTAAAAAAGTTGGTATACTAGCTAATTAAATTCCTACTGCATTGGCTATGTAAAAAGGAATAAGAATGGATAAAATGGATATAAGATTAGTTTGTTAGTATAATTAGTCAGGATGTAACTGGAAATATTCTTTGAAAGACAGGTAGCAACCATGAAAACTATATTGATTATACCATAGAAACGACTGTTTGCCAATACATTTTTAAAGGACACTTTGTAAATATTAAATCGTGACAATCATTCATTTTTCTTATAGACGCCAATATAACATTTTGAAAACTTTCTTTTCAAAAAAGAATGATTGTATTTAAAGATAAATTAAGTCTTCTCATATTGCACTTCCTTACTTTTCTAATTTTAGGCTTTTATGGAAAAGTTTTTTGTGAAGTTTTATCTGGTTCACTTGAAAAAGCGATTCTTGATGTTCATAATAAATTAAGAAGACAGGAAGGAGCAGCTGACATGAAAATTATGTCTTGGAATGGACCTTTGGCTAATCAGGCTTCTAAATGGGCCGAAAAATGTCATTTCGAACATGGATTCGACAAGACTGAAGGTGTTGATGGCAGTGCTGGTCAAAATTTGTTCATTTCTGGCGGTTCGGGACAATATACTGATATGGAGGCAGTTGTTAAGGCTTGGTATAATGAGAAAAAAGATTACAATTACAATAAGCTATCGTGTAGTAAAGTTTGCGGTCATTACACCCAAGTTGTTTGGGCAGACACTAATCGTCTTGGTTGCGGTTATAAATACTGTTCCAAGTTAACCGAGGATAATGGAAAAGTTAAAAATAATGTACACTATATTGTCTGCAATTATTCTCCACCGTTAGTTTTCTTTTTGGTGATAATTCTTAGTTGAATTTATTTAAATTTTCTCTTTAGGGGAAATTTCAAAGGGCAAAAACCTTTTAAGAAAGGTGATGCATGTTCACTCTGTTCATCAGGCTCTGGATGGTGTCGAGATGGTTTATGCGGTAATATGAGTTGATTATTTATGGTTTATTTAGAATAATAAAATCCATTAAAACCATTTTGCAGATTCTTGCAGTTCTGCTTCCGGTGATTGTAGTAAGTATTACAGTACATAATCAATTATTAATAAGCACACAAAGATTCCATTGATTAATCTCGCCTTTCTAGCTTGTCCTCTCAAGTGTAAAAATTGTGGTACACTAAATTCATCGAATTGTAAATGTAAGTGTTCTACTGGCTGGACTGGAGGTGATTGTTCCGGTAAATATAAAGTTTTCCGAAGCATGTATTGAGAAATACTTAATATTTCTTTATTTAACAGAGGATTGTAAGGATAATCATTCAAAGTGCGGTAAAAGTCCTGGTTATCCAAAGTCGGTATGCAAAAATCCGACAATAATTGACTTTATGAAGTCAAATTGTAAAGCATTGTGCGGATATTGCGGTATAGTTTCCTATCTTCAGTCTAATTATTTAAAGACAAAGATATTGATAAACTAAATGCAAAATATCATTTTCTTACAGATGGAGGACAGAAAATCTGCAATGATGCTTCCGAAATGAAAATAGGAAAGATTGTCATCATTTTGTCCATTTTATTAGCATATATTTAGGTTAAATTATAAGAAATCTTTAATATTAGAAATCAAAGAGTTACAAAGATTTTAGTTATTAAAAATTTTTAGACCAAAAGAGTTTTAAACTCTTTTAAATAAAGAAATGTTACAAAAATTTACCTTTATAAGTAGATGTTTAACTTGAAATATACATATTACTTCCAATTCTAATTAATTTGACGTCTATTATAATTAACTGTTCAATAAATATTGTATAATATAGATTAATTGTTCTCATTTTCATATATGAATTATTAATAATTATATTTCAATAATTTGCAAAGCAGCTTGACTTTTATCAACTTTTCATAAAAGTATAAAAGTTTAATTCCTTTAAAACACACAATTCTTTAATATTGAACTTTTTCTCTAACTCTTTTACAGTTTTACTTAAAAACAGTGACAAACTATTAAATCTCTTTGAATAGCTCAAGGAAAGATTAAATATTTATACAATTGACGCAAAAGGAAAGAGATCAACACAAAAAATGCTATCTCTATAGTAACTAGTAATAAACAAGATCACGTTTGATAGCTTCTTAGTTTTTAATGGAAAACATTAAAAAATCGTTCATTTTAAAGTGCTGTAAAAATTTGAATAAAGACTTAAAACTCTATAGTTTAATGATAGTAAAACAGGGGGATTTCCTCTTTTTCCTGTTAGCGTAAGGTTGATGATTAAGTAAATTCCTTCTAAAAATGACTCAAAAAATAATCGTTGAATGTTTAACGATGATTAATAAAAAATATATTTTATTAATACAATTACAATTCAGAAATACAAATAAAAGAAAGAATAAGAGTTTGTGTTGAATTTTCATTTCGAATAGCTCTAAATTCAACAGAATTTTGTACTCTCTCTCTCTCTCTTTCTGTCTTATCCTCTCTTTGAAAAGTTTGAAAGCAGTAGTGCCACTTAATCTAATTTGTTTACAATATATTTATAAATAATATAATCTGTGTTTCGTTACTATTTCGCCCACTGGTTTTTAGCAAATACTTTAATAATTAATAAGACTTTTAGATACAGATTTAATATTGGTAAATAATTCTTTTCCTAATAAAAGATCGATTTAACGATTTCATATTTTTAATATTCTCTTTTTTTCTTTTAATCTAAAAATATTTTTTGATGCTTGTGAAAAACTATTGGCACATTTCAATCAGTTCTTTTCAATATATCAAATTAGTTTTAGTCTATAGAATTTACAGCTATAGCCTTCCGCTGGAGATGCTATTATCAGATGTAAACAATACTTCTTTGTGTGACGATGAAAAAATCTCTCCTAGTAAGATCTTTGATAAACATGCAGAAACGACGAAACGAATGTTGTGGAATACAACGATTTCTTGAATGATAGTAATGCTTTTAAAAAGTTTATTGTAAAAGAAACAAGATTATATTATGAAAATATGTTTCTCGGAAGTGATCCGATGTTTGCAATTTAAATTTTGCAGTTGAATTTGCCAGGCAATGCAGCTATATCGATTCAACTTGTAGCTATCAATATAAAAGGTAATTTGAATGGTCAGAATTTTCAAATGTTGTAATACTATGATGGTGATGAAGATCGGATCAGTAAGAATTAACAAAGAAATCTCAAATATATAGTGATCCATTTGATACGATAGTTGAGAAGTATTAACAAAAATGAAATACAATTTCAGTCATGATTCATTTCTGCATTCAAATGATAATTTTGTTGAACTATTAAAAAAATTCTAACTATTCGTTAACGACGAATTAGCAGTGACTTAAGGGTCAGAAAACAGTACATAGACTATTTCAATAGAAACTTGTCGATTCTGTTCTCCATGAAAAGGAACGTAATTTAATATTATGAGAATGAATTAAAAACTATTCTGAAAATTTCAAATTTGTGATATCTGTGTAAATTTAATATTTAAGAAAAAAGTCTCTAAAGAATAAACAGCAAGGTAAAAAGAAAGTCAATTTTTACTATAAAAATTCAAGCCATATTGCAAAAGCTTTTACAAACAATATTAAATTCAAAATAAAATCGTCAGATCTTTTGAAAAAAAGAAAGAAGAGATATTTGTCTTTAAAACATACAATTAGATATATGTTGTACTTGAGATAAATTTCCACTGGGAGGGCTTACTTTATTGAATTTTTCTCTATCAGAACAGAAAGATTAAATGTTTACAATATTCTTTATAAAGGTAATCATTCATCTTCATGTTGATATTATCAATTTTTGTCTAATAATTTTAACCTATTTATTAAACTTTTGATTGTATAACAAACATATTAGAAAAACAAGCCTGACATAGTTCTAATAAATTTGGTTTAAAAACTAGTTGACCTAATTAAAAAATTAGAGTAGAATCTTTCTAAACAGTTTTTTCAACTAATAATCAGCTATTTTTAAATGAATAAACTTAATGTTGAGGATATTTTGGAATATATAATATAATTGAAAATACATGCATTGGGACAGGTAAGCAGAATTCTGCTTCCTGAATTGTTATATAGTTATATCAGATACAAGCGTGGGTTATTTAAATTTTGCCTTATACTTGTAGCGAAATACTCATCAGGCTTTGAAAAAAAAAAATTGCAATTTCAGCTGTTCAAGACACGAAGACACGCTAAATTTTCTAAAAATAGCATAAATGTCGTAAACAAGCTTACTTTTTTGGTTACTGGGGCAAAATGAGAACCGTATATAAGTAAGTAAAAGTACATAGTGGAACAGAGTTCCTTCAAGTAAGGAAGACAGAACATCTATAAAATATATAATTTTTAAATTGGCAAAAAGAAGATATGAAGGCATTAATTCTTTTATGCTTTATTACGGCTGTAATGTCTGCTGCAATTAAGGAGAATCTGGAAGAAAATAATTTGGTTCAATCTAAATTAAGAGAGAAACGAGACTCATCTACTCGTATCCTTGCAGTTAAAAGTGAGCGTGAAGCAAGATCATATTTGCAAAAGTATGAGCATATGTCCAAGACTACACACAATCAAACAGATGATTATGCTGAGGGTCTGAAAAGATTTCAAAAGGAAGCCGCAATACCCGTTACTGGTAAACTTGATGCAAGAACTTTGTCACTAATGAATAAAGAACGATGCGGGATAGTTGACGATGAATTTAGAGCTCCGAATACTGGCAGACAAAAGCGTTATGCATTATATGGTAAAAAATGGAATAGGAAGAAGCTTAAATGGAGGTTGTATAACTATACACCTGATATACCAAATGTTTCAGTGGTTGCTGCAATAAAATATGCACTAAAACAGTGGTCTGACAATAGCAAATTGAAGTTTACAAGAGTTTATTCTGGAAATGTCCATTTGAAATTTAGATTTGTTAGTGGTGCACATGGAGATGGTTATCCCATGGATGGACCATCTGGAACTTTAGCCCATGCTTTCTATCCAAAAACCTCAAGAAAGGGTCAAATCCATTTCGACGAAGCTGAAAAATGGAGTACGTCAAATAATAAGATACATCTGTCGGTAGTTGCTTGTCATGAACTCGGACATGCTTTGGGTTTGAAGCATTCCAGTAAGAGTCAGGCAATTATGTATCCGTACTATTCTTATAAGGGACAGAATTATAAACTGAATTCAGATGACAAAAAAGGTATTCAAAAGCTCTATGGAAAATCATGTTTTTCTGGTGAAAGTAAAGTTGTACTTGAAAATGGACAGACGATTTCAATGAAGCAATTAAAACTTGGTGATTCTGTTCTCTCTTCTAAAGGTCGTTTCAGTCCAGTTCTTACTATGCTTGATAGAAATACACAAGAACCAGCACTATTTCTTACTTTACGTACAAAAAGTGGGCATTTTATTCAACTTACACACCAACATCTGATCGCTGTTGAAACTGCTGATGGTAAACGCTATATTCATGCTGATCAAGTAAGAATAGGACAAAAGTTATATTCTCAAGATAATGGAATTGAAAAAGTGACCGAGGTGATATCTATTGAAGAAATACAAATGAATGGGTTTTATGCTCCAATGACAGCTGATGGAACAGTGATAGTAAATGGGATTGAAGCATCATGCTACGCCGTAATCAATAGTCATGAAATTGCACACTTGGCCATGGCTCCACTTAGATGGGTATTGCAATTATATAACTCAATAATTGGATTGAAGTCTAGCATAGATTCCTCTGAAGGAATTCATTGGTATGGTGAAATGTCACAAAATTATATTCTACCATTGGCACAAAACCTCGGTTTTCAGCTATCAACTTAGAACTTATTAGCCATTTTAATGAAATACGTGGTAAAAAGACAATTTTATACCTGAATATTTTAATATATTTTTTTGCCATAAACAATTTTTCACTCTTTAAGAAGTGATTGGCAATTTACTGAATTTTTTTTAGCTTAGTCATATATTAATGTTTTAAATCTGCTACTTGTGTTTAATTCTTTCTGTTTAATTTTCATTAGCTAATTAAATAGTCTAGCGGAATAAAACTAAACTGTAGATACATTTTAAAGAAACAATTGTGTTTTTTTTATTATCAAATTCATGTAGATAAAACATTCATGTTTCATAAATGAAGCTTTTTCGATCTTCATCGATATATTGCTTTCGCTTAAAAATATTCGATTATGAAATGTATTCGAATTGATACACAGTTAAATGACGATTTATTTTAGCCGGATATGAAATTGAATAGGCATAATTTATGTTCAAGCAAGTCATGATTTCAGTCGTTTCAGTAGCTTTTAATCACGTTTAAATTTAAACAACTCAAGAAATATAATGTATTGTTTCTCTGCTATACTGTTCAATTTTCACTTCTGTGTTATTTTTGTTACTTAAAAGAGAAAATATTCAGAATGTAACGAATAGATATATCTTTTATAAGTTTTCTTGAATGATAAAATTGAATAGGATTTTATGTCGAATAGCTAGAGAAACCATTTTGAAACTTACATGATGTATTTGAATACATATTTATGGTAAGTTCTAGGGCTACGTTTCTAAAAACTGTCTCATCCATCGTACAGACTCTTATGGCATTACGTATTAAATCTTAAATATAGTATATTCAATTCTCGATCGTTGCTTTAATCATTTATTCTTGTATCTGTTAAATATACAGTAAGTCCAGTATTACAAAATCTCCAATTAAGTTTTCATATGGGAAATTTCCATTTTAAGGTAATGAATTGATTCATTTTCTTATGTATTAATATAATAAATAAGATACTTAACTTCTTATCTTTTATCTGTAAAATTTAACAATCAAGTAATTCCAAAAACAGTTAATTACACTAAAAAAACGTAAAAGGATCATATTATGCGAGTTTACAAGATTGCTAATTTTTTCAATCGTACTCCTATTATTCCACCTAATTAATCTAACATTTCGCAGTGTATTTGCAACTAGGAATATGTAAATTTAATAATGCTACTGCCACTTAAATATCGTTTAGGAAGTAGGAAAAATACATTTCGAAAACTGATAAAGCAGTAAAGAAAAGTTCATTATTCCTTTTTGGCGTTGAGCTAGTTTTTCTAATAGAAATTGATTATAATAAAAAAACTGACAAATGTTTAGTTATTTAACTTATGAAAGGTTAAATTTTATTGAATATTCAATATTTTAATGCAATAAGAATCAACCTTACAAAATACCCAAGTTCTTGGCTATTGGTAATGCGTACTGCTTTGATAGTCTTCCATACCAGTGGATACCTTCAAAATCTTCTACTTTTGATACGGATAGCATATTTTTAATATAGGATAAAGATCTCAATGGAAACATTGACCAATGAGATATTGATTGACTTTCCACCTCTGCATAACAGGAAGCCTGAATGCCATTAATAACTATTGTTCCATGAAACGTTAATGGTGAATAATAGCCTTGATATGTTTTTGAACTTATCTCTATAACTTCATCTTCAATTTCTTTTCCATCAACAACAGAGTAAACTTTGCTACCTAACAAGACATTTTGAGCGAAAACGTAACGTTTTTCTTCATTCTCAGATGACTTAATGGGAATTAGATGTTTTTTTGTCAATTCTATAAAGTTTCCACTTTGTGTTCTTAATCTTATAAATGTTTCAAAAGACTTTTCATTGCGATCAAGCAGAGTGACGACGCGACTAAATGCATTTGCAGACGTTTGCACAACGTCTCCTATCCGTAAATCTTTCATGAGAACAGTACCACCATCTCTGAGTAAAACCTTCCCGTTTGGTCCAAAACAACCGTTATCTTTTTTCTCACCAAATAATATTTTACAGGCACTTTCATCGTCTGGAGTTATGCTATAGTCTCCTCCCAAATAGTTATATGAGGGATACATGATAGCTAAAGGATCTGACGAGTGCATTATGCCAAGAGTATGGCCAGTTTCATGAGTAACAACGTACTGTAAAGAGTGTCCAGCATTATCCATAGTCCATGATTCTGAACTATCATAAATTTGTTTTCCACTATTAGTATAACCTGGGTAAAAAGCAAAGGCTAATGTTGAGCCAGGGCTATCAATATATTCAAAGTGAATTCTTATGTGAGCATTCTCAACATCAACCCTATGAAACACCAGGTCACATTTATCAGCCCATTTTTGTAAACCCTTCTCGACTGCTTCGTATTGAAGGTCTCTAGGTAATTTGTCTAAAAATGTTACAATTGTCCAAGTGAAAATCTTCATATTTGCTGCAGGATCGTGAAGCTTATACATCATATCTGGCTTTCCCATGGACATTGTCATATTAATATTACTCATTTTGCATCTAGGTTTAGCCATAGCTGTTATTGTTGGCGAATCTAGCATTTTCGTAATATTCAGTCCAAATTCTATTTGAAATGATTCAACAGCACGTTGAAGGTCATTCATATTGTTACCGGCTTCCACAGACGATAAATAACCATATTTTACTAAATACTTTACCGCTTGAGCTCTATTTTCTATAGGTGTGTATACAGGGGCACTGTTAACTATGTCAAATAGAAAAAGATTGATAATCAAAAGTAGCTTTAGCATAGCTTCCTAAATGAGTCTTCAACCCTCTACAATAGAAAAAAGTGATAATACAATACATTCAGAAGATTAATTTTTATCTTATGTTTTTAAAAATGAATATGAAAAGGAAACTATGGTTACCTTTCAAAATTCAGCACAATTTAATCAGTCTCCCCTCTCTTTAGAGATAGAATGACATTTGTAGATAGTTGTATAGAATATAAAAAACAAGGTCTTGAGTAATTACTCGATATATAGACTATACTGCTCTCGATACTTGTCGTACATACTGATGTTTACATGTATATGCTATTCTGATTTTGTCCTAATAAACTGGTAAAGCAGAAAGTGTTATTTATGATTAGAGTTAAAAGTTTATTTAAAAGAAAAAATAGTTTTTTTCATCTAAGGCTATGTTTAAAAGAGTACGAAAATAAAATATCTTTACAATAAAATATACAATTCTATAAGCTTATTAACCCAATTTTATCAACAATGGGTAATAAATAATTGTAAGACCAGCGACCATACCAGTGAATGCCATCTGTTGGATTTTCGTCGAAACTCTCACTAAATATCATTTCGTATATTTGTAGAAACCATCTTAAAGGTGTCATCGATAGATGAGCTAATTCTTGATCTTCAATTAAAGCGTAGCACGATATCTCGATACCATTGACTATGAGAGTTCCTTCATTCGTCAGAGGAGCATAATAGCCTTTTTCTACCGTTTTTTCAACATGTACAATTTCATCTTCAACCTCTTTTCCGTCAATATGAACATATACTTTTGAACCATTTTGAAGTTTTTCAGCAAACACAAATTCTTTTTCAAGTATATTTGATTGAACGGCAATTAAGTGTTTAGGTGTTAATTTCAAAGAATTTCCAAGGCTTGTTTCAATGCGAATAAACAGTGTAGGAGTCTTATCATTTTTATCTAGCATTGTTAAAACAGGACTGTACGTTTCTTCAGATGTCTGTATAACATCGCCAATTTTTAAATTGCTTACATTGACTCGATTGCCGTCCTTTAATATTACAATTCCATCGCCCGAAATACAAGTTTCTTTAGTGTCATACAATTCCTTAATAGCTAAAATATCATCGACATGTAATTTATAATTTGGACCCTTGAAGCTGTACTGTGCAAACATCATAGCATCAGGTACTTTCGAATGAAGTAAACCTAAAGTATGGCCTATCTCGTGAGCAGCCACTATCGATAAATGAGTTTTATCATCTGCAGTACTCCATTTCTCTCCTTCGTCAAATCTAATGGTGACGTTGTGGTTTGGAAAAATTGGTAGTTCGGCGGTACCCAGTATGCCATTCTCGCCATCTATATCTGTAAAGTATATGAGAATATCTGGAGAAGAATGCACCCTTACGAAAACAAGTTTGCTCGGCAAGCTCCATTGTTCAAATGCATATTCAAATGCCTCAACTTGTTCCTCTATCGTTAAGTCTTCAGTATAGTTCAAGAAATTCCAAGTAATAATTGGAGCCGTCCAACTGTATGACGAGATAACAAAGCGCTTTTGCCGTCTTTTCTTCTGTTGCACATCTGGAAATCCGCAACGTACTTTATTCATATCACTGAGGGTTTTTGTATCTAGTTGTCCAGTCTTAGCCAACCCGTAGAACTCTTGATATTGTTCAATAGCATCTGTAACTTTATCTGTTGGAATATACCCATCCTGCTCTTCCATAAAACCAAACTTTGTTAAAAAAGTGGCTGCATCATCCATAGTTTGAACTGGAATGATTTTTTGTATGGATTTAGATTGACCTAAAATAATAAAACCCAATACGATAATTGAAATAGCAGTAATTTGAAAAAGCTCCAAGCTCCTCATACTTGTCCTCCAGTTTATAAACAACTTAATAAAAGGTTATGTTAAAAAATTATGAATCTTTTCGATCCTCTCTCTTCGTGATTTATAATAAAAGTGCCAACTTACAAATAGATACCTAGCCATGAATAGTTGAGTACTTGAATATTACTTTCTAAGTTCTTTCAAAATTGGCTAAAAAGTACTAATCAACCTTTTTCGCATTGAAAGCTATATTTAGAATATGTTTGTTCAAATTTTTTAAGTAGAAGGATAATTAATCGTTTGTTAAATAGAAAAGAAAAGAAGAAGACATTCCATGCATATCTTTGTCTATTTTTAAAAGAAATGTTACATTATTTGTTTTTTACAAAAAAAAGAGAACATTTTGGTGAAATAGAGGAGTATTTCTTGTTTATAAACTATCTAGAAAGAATGTAATATATTATCATTTTTTAAAGATCATTATTCCATATCCATATTCATAAGCACATATATATATATAGGTATTTGTACGGTGTATGTTTTAATTTTTATCGATTAAGTCGAATTAATTTATCAGTCGAATTCAATGTCAAGGACTCTTATGTAAAACTTAATTGGGGTGAAATTGAAAGTGATGCAAACCTGCTATATCAATAAGAGAAAGTCTGTTATGTAACTAACTAAATATCGGTATACCGCTAAAAATCTTCCGGCTTACAATAAAAATTACACGATTTATACTGTAAAAAACGTTTTTTAACGGTGTTAGACTAGTTTCGAATTATATTAAATAAATGCTATAAAACCATTCATGATTCAAGTTAATTGAGCAATAAATAGACTTAAATTAGAAAGACTAACCTAAATATTTAGCCTTTAGTATATGAAAAAGAGGTATATGTATATATGTATTTAAATTTTTTCTACTATACATCATATCAATAAGATTTAATACTGCAACAAAAGTTTATTACAAATGCGTACTTAAATAAAAAAGGAAGTCTTTATGTTAAAGTAGAATGTCAGTAATTTTTATATTTGTAATGTTAAGATATGAATTAATTATATTATTATTGTTATTATTATTATTACTACTATTATTAGATAGCTTTATTGTACGTCTCAATTATTCTATTTTTCTATTTAAGAATATTATATCTTTTCTCTCTTTTTAGCCACAGACTGACTATATCTGGTTTTTTTTTACTAAATTTAATACAATTATGTATATGATATTCTAATAAGTAATTCTTTAACGCCATCTGCAAAAAAAAATGAGTCAAATACGCTAATGAAAAGAGATAGTCAAAGATCAATGTATTAAAGAAAGCTTCTACTAAATTAATATTCCAGTATATGCGAAGAAAAACTGTTTCTTTTTTGGTTTGTAGTTTTTACATAATGAAAAAAGAAATGTCCTATAAATTTGCCTTGTACTATTTATTCTCTTTAGTTTTTCACCGCATCAGTGTCTTTTTAATTGTTAGAAAAAATTCACCAAGGAATGAACAGATAGTTAATCTTTACAGAAAATATTCTAAATTAAGTAATATAGTAGAAAGCTCTGAAAGATTTACTATATCTGGATAAAACAAATATATTAATATTCATCAAATAAAAATCTTTCAATGACAAGGAAGAAATAATTCAAAAATAGAAGTCAGAATGACCTTCAAATTGTAAGAAGCGTAAGAAGAAAGGTAAGATAAAGAAGGTAGATAAAAGAGAGAGAGAGAGGAGGGAAGGGGGATAGAGGGATGGGAGGAAGGAGAGAGAATGAATAACTGAAATTTATTATACAAAGAAAAAAAAACAGGAATCTGTTGATTGTTTGTCAATAGTTTATTTTCGAAATTCTAAACGGGAAATTTATCTTTTATTTTGGTAATAAATTGATTACGCAATAGCTAAAAAAATATAAAACCTTCATTGTTTCAGTAAGCTATATAAATAGCATAACTACAATATAAAATTGTATTAAATAAACTTTTTTTTAAATCAAATCCTTAGTCTCCCCAATATTAACGTGATTAACTCTAATCAGTGCAATTTTTATTAGCAATATCTTGTATTTGAAAAAGAATTAACAAAGAGTAAAGAGACAAAAAGGGAACGAGGGTATACAAGAACAAGAGAGAACAAGAAAAATTAGGCAGATAGAGAGAAAAATGGAAAAAAGAGTGCCTATATATAAGAGCGAAAGAGCAAAAGAGAGAGACATACAAATAGACAGACACACAGACAAGTAGAGAGAGAAAAATAAAGGAAGAACAAGTTTGAGAAATGTGATAGAGGGAAAGAAAAGGCAAGATTTCGATAGGCTGATATAATGTTAAAGTCTTAAAAGGAAGACGCAGTAAAAAGTAAAGTTACATTGTTATCCTTTTCGTTTTATTTGAAGAGATACATCTGAAGAATGAAAAAAGGTCAGTAATTAGAGTTTTATTAGCTGACACTTAGGCTGTTTTACTAAAAATGATAAAAATTATCATCAATATCTTAATTAACGCGTAGTAAAATAAATAGTAGTAGGATATAGAATTCAATTTGCATATAATTACAATAGCGGCAAACGTCCCCTAGTAGTCAACGGAATCGCCTGTTTACAATTTTTGTACGTCTAGATATGATGCACATAGCCAATCCGCTTCTTTTCCTTGCAACGGCTATTATTTGGAATTTATCAGATGGAAGGGAAGATTGCAACAGCTTTCACAGATTGCAAGAAATAAGAAGGTTTTGCAAAGGGAGATTTGGTTCCATAAGTGATCGTGAACTAATATTTTGCTGCAGAAATGAAAGAGAAAAGGTCAGTTTATAACTTAAGAGCCTGCCTGTAGTAAATATTTATGCTTTCACGGCATCAGTGTGAAAAAAGAAATCGCGAAAGATTCAATCAAAACTCAATAATTTTATCTCATGGGTATGTGTAAATTTATTATTTAGTATTTAAATAATCTGTAATAATTCCTTTACAATTATATAAATAGTACAAGGTAAAAGATGTTTTTATATAAATATCTTGAAGTCTTGAGAAAGAGAGAGAGAGAGAGAACGAAAGAAAGAGCGAAAGAAACTGTAATTAAAAGTTTGTCCAATGACATTAATAGTAAAAAAAAATATTTCAAGTGGTAGAACAATTTTCTCTTTTTTGTTTATATTTGCAGTCTGACCACATCCATCAATGGTATAGTGAAATACAAATTAAGTGCTACTTTTGTTGTGGAATACAATTTCTTTTTTCGCTTAAACACAAAATCTATGCAATCCCTTTTGCAAATATCCATACCTAATGCACACACTACACATCCATAAACAAAAATATTTACAGAATAAACAATGCAACCTTTTAGATCGCCAACAAAATCCTTTTCAAAATTACTATGTAAAAAGAGAGTGTAAATGAATAGAATAATCAAGGAAGTTACTAATAATGTAATTTATTCTTTTGAATGATAACAGTAAATAAAGTTAGTAAAGATAAATATAAGCAGAAGGAGAGAGAGTGAGTGAGGGAGAGAGAAAGAGAGAGTGAGTGAGATCGACTGAGTGAGTGAGTGAATGAATGAATGAGTAGGTTGGTGGGTGAGTGAGTGGGAAAGAGAAAAGACAAAAAATGAGAGAGTGAATAAATGAAAGGGCCGAGAGAGTGTAAAACAAAGAGAGAGAGAGAGAGAAAATAAGGGATAAAATGTACGAACAAATGAGTAGGTCTACATCACAAAATAAGAAGGAATACATTCACTAAATTTTTTTTATATAAAAACAAAACAAAACAACATAAAAAACCTTTGAAATAATAGGAACAGGTCACGTGGTAAAATCAATTAATGTTTGCTTGTTATTTGGTATAGGACAATTGAGCAGTAAAATATATTATTTGATTTCTGTCGATTTCTTAAACCTTCTCATTTGTCAAGATATATTTGTTATCGGATGGTTGAAATCGAGTTCAACATGGCGACCATAACTTAAAGAATTTTGCTTAAACTTGAACTTGATCTAATTTTATTATGCCATAAAAGAAGTAGGACTAGCGTTTATCTCGTTCTGTTTTCTTTTTTTATCGCACAAAAGGAACGTCAAAGAAAAAAACAAAGACCAACAAAACTCTTAACTAATTAAAGTAAAGTCAATTGTCTTTTCCATTAAAATTCATTTGCAAAATAGGCAAAGAATAAGTATAAATACATAAAATATCTTGCTTGTCTAGTTGAAGTAATCTAATTTAGGTATGAGCAAAGTTAGAGGGAAATTGATACGGACTGAAACTTTAAATAGCGAATGAGAAAAAAAAAGTGGAGGGGGAGAGAGAGCGAAGAGAGAGAAAAAGGGAGTATATGTGTGAGTGAGTGAGTGAATATGTGTATGTGTGTTTATATATATGTGTGTGTGCTTTTGAGAGAGAGTGTGTGAGAGAGAGGAAAGGGAAAGATAGAGATAATATCGGGAGAAAATAGTAAAATAACAAAATTATGATGATGATTACGATAACATTCCTAATAAAAATATTTATTAAGATAAATAGAAACAATTCTGGTTAATTGATCATTTCTCTTATTATAATTTAAATAAAGCTAGTTCAATCTTTATTAACCGGAAACTAGGACACTAGAAAATTATATTAAAGAAATGTTAAATTAGTATTAAAGAAAAAGGCTTTTCTTCTTATTGCTTTTTCTTTTTTGCAAGATATCTGTCATTAAATAAGAGATTAGCTTATCAAAATTTTGACATTTTGCTATGCAAGTAATAAATGTAAGTGTTGATTGCATTATCCTTTAATAGGTTTATTTTTAATATTTAATGGGTTTATTAAATGAATAAGGCAAAAGTCTCTATTGAATTCAAAATCATCCAAGTATATTATTAAATAGGCGTTGGAACAGACAAGAGAATAGAGAAATGGACGATAATACCTTGTCGAAAAGGAGAGAAATTAGAAAAATTCTCCGCCAAACTTGTTTGTATATTGACCGATATAGCATAACTATTCACAATTACGCAACTTATCAGTACCAAAAATTGATTGCAGGCAAACTCTCGAGAAAGATAAAAAGGAATTTCAACAAGATGTTCTTCGGCTTGGATCGATTAAAAAAATTCGAACATTTAGAAAAGGCTCATCTTAGAATCAAACGGAGAAACAATTCAGAAAGTATGACAGTTTAAATGAAAAAATAAGCAAGTTCAAGTTAAAAGTAGGGATAGGCTATGAGAGTACTAAATATAGATACAGTATATTCTGCCATACAAAATATATAAGTGCAACATCTTACATATTTGCAGTACGGTTCCAAGTGGGTTTAAATAATATAAATACCTCTGCAAAATGTACAATCTAGATGTATCCTTTTGTTTTATATATAAATAAATCATTATCCATACAGATGCATTCAACTTTTTCGGATGTAAACATACCGGCTTAACAACTATAGAGATAACGCCTATAAACTTAACAAGCGGTTAGTTTAAATTTATTATCAATACGCTATGCATATTTGAAATTATCTTTATAATTACGTAAGGAATGCAATTATAGTTTTCGCCTTATACCCTTTCTAGGTACCATTAAGAGGGAACTAGCAAGAGATTTCATTACCTTGAAAATTGAGGAATTCTCTGAAACCGATCAACAGGGAATTGATATTACTATAGTTTTTCACCGAAAGCTGAAAAGTAACAAGCAAATTATTAAAACGAAAATCTACTTGAAACTCAACTATTGCCATCCGAAGGCATCTTTTCAATTTCAACAAGACGCCGAATGTTTTATAAAAAGAAGAAACTATTTCTCGAAAAAGAATAAAACTTTCTTAAAAAGTTAAACTTTTTACATAAGGAGACGATTAAGGAAAGATCCCTTCAAATATAAATATCTTCTGTATTATATTCATTCTGTACAGATTACACACTTTGAATTCTGTTGTTCTATTTATCATGTTACTTGTATCATTATTCCTATTATTACTTAATTGGTTAGATATACAGATATGTTGATATTCTCTTTCATACTTTGTGCTACCTCTTAATAAATTTAACATATTTCAATTTATCTATACTTTAAACTTATTTAAAAAAAGAAGAATTAAGCAAATTAGTTAGGTATCTTTTCGTCTTTTTAACATCTTAGATATAAAATTAAGTTAATAAATTCATTCGTTTTCTCTCTCTCGCTCTCTCTCTTTCTCTTTCTCATAGGCATTGTCTCTTTATTGGCATTTGTTCACAATAAACAACATTCAAAAAGATGGAAATTGTAGAATACCTTCATCTACTGCAAATTTTCCAATAACATATTATATTTACATTATGCAAAGTAATTATCAGTAGAATACAACTCAATTATTAGCTGTACGCCTGCGCTCCACTGATTAATTTAATATATTATTTAATGAAAGATAGGAAAAAGACTCCCAAAAAAATGCGTTTTTTTTTAGATAAAACTTGTCAAATTCAATTAGAAATAAGACTCAACTTTTAGAAAAGTGTTAGAGAGAAAATATGCTGAGAAATATCTGCTACGGTCTATCTTCGAATTAATTAATTAATCCCCTAGAGGGTTATTAGCACACTTTTCCTTAATTACATATTAGTAATAAGATTTCTCATCATTAGGAGTGCTATCTTCTATATCCTTTACTTACTTAGAACATATTTCTAGGAAACAGTCTTTATATCTTAATTATTGTCTTAATTGAACAGCAGATGGCGTATTTTATATTCTGTGCTGGACTATGAGAAATCTTGCAACAAGTTACTGTACAATATTGTCTTCTGTAATAACAAAAAGAAATTTGCGAAGAGAGGTCAATGTATGCATTAAAAATTTCCTGAAGAGTTATTTTATCATACTGCGCCGTAAAAATTGCTATAATACATAAGAAAATATCCATTGAAAGACGTTCCTTTAAGAAGTCTGAAAAGAAATAAAAGTTTTATCGCTAAGAGTAAAACTCTAATAATTTATCATTATAAAGTTAATTAAAATGTTTATAGTAATGGTTTGTCATGTTTGTGTCAAGAAGGAGAGAAAAAAAGAGTGACAAATTCCATAAATTCCTTTGAATTTTGATAAAAAACTGGTAATAAGATGGTTTAAAGGTTGATTTTTATTTGATTTATTAATAAATTATTAATACTTTTTAGCAAAAACATATTTGAAAAAGGTTTAATAAAACTTATAAAGTAAAAACACCAATGTGTAAAGGTTTTCTTTTCTTCTTCTGCTAGAGGTTTTCTTCCTTTTCTTAATTATATTTTTGACAAGAATAAGCAATGGAACACATACAGGAAAAAATATTATAACCTTTGACCGTTTTATGTAACATTAGTAATACTTAAAAATATACCCAAGTATAAATATTAACACGGCAGTAAATATAAAACCTTGAGGTGTCTCTAATATATCTATTTCCCGAGATTCTACTTCAAATTTTAAACCCGAAAGTGGAATATTTCGCGTATCGACAATAACTTGATCACTACCGACCATGTTCTTAGCGCTACAAGTATAATTTCCATGTTTGGTGATAGTAAGAACACTTTTGACCATGAAATTACTTCTAGAAAATGGACTATTCGTTACTAATAGGGTTACTCCTTCAGGTAAAACAGTCCAGATAATTTCAGGAGGAGGATCACCGTCAGCCATACAAACCAATGTTAAGCTATCACTTCCTATAGTTGCGTTAAAAATTGTAGGAGGCCTACATTGAAAGCCATAGTTTGAGATTAGAGTTATGTTTTTTTGAATGGGGGTAGAACATTGTATCTTTTCCAGATGTTCCACTTTATCTCCAAAATTTTCCAGCCATTTTACAAACCAACGCAATTCACAATTGCAATGAAGAGGATTTGCGTGCAAAGTGATTGACTTTAAACTCTCGAACAAAGGCTGAAACGTTTCAGGAATTCTACGAATTTGATTTCCATCCAATTCTAGAGTCTCTATTGATTTTAATACCGATAAAATCGTTGGATGTAAAACTTCGATTTCATTATTAGACATATCGATTTTGTTTAGCTTTTTTAGTGTAGCAAATATAGTCAAATTTAAAGTTTTCAAGCGGTTAGAATCCATATAAATTTCTTGTAAATTGTTGAGATTCTTTAAATTCTTTTCGCAAATCGTCTTTAAGTGACAATTATTCATACTAAGAACAACAATAGATTTTACGCTTTCGACGTCTGAAAGGTCGAAATCTTCCAAAGGATTATCATCCAATATTAAGATCTCTGTACTAGCCTTTTTTAAAAAATAGAAAGGATTTTTAAGACCATTGTTGACCAAAGACAGTCTTTTAAGGTGAAGGCCATCAAATATATTAAAAGGCAATTGCAAATTTTGTAAATTATTAGTTATATCTAATTCATTAAGGCTGCTTCTTATTGGTAGGAATGAATCGTTTTCCACTGAAAATAAATTAGCACGGTTTATAACTAATTTTCCAATTGATGAATCTTTAAAGGCTTCCTTAGAAATATGAGTTAGAGCAGGATTATTTCCGAAAATTATTTCTCCAACATTCATAGCACTGAAAACATTATTACCAACGACAGTCAACGGATTATTGGATAATATTATATATTCCATTGTTTGTAAACCTTTAAAAATGTGCTCATTGATACTAACAATCCGATTATAGCTCAAATCTAATCTTTTCAGATTTTGTAAATCTAAGAAAGTATTTGGTTCTATATCTTCTATACCACATTTAACCAATTTTAGTTCGATAAGTAAGTGTAAATTAGAAAGATTTGATCTCTTTAAGACGCTTAAATGATTTTCAAACTTATCGAGTTTACTACCCATGTGTAAAGACACGGATTGCTTTGATATATCTTCAGGGATGCTTAATAATCCTTTAATTGTACATACGGTTTTCATTGATTTTTTATCAAAGTTACAAGCTTTCTTTGTTGAATTTACTTGCAAAAATACGAGAAAGAAAATGAAAAATGCAGATAAGCCAATTAAAACTGGAATCATTCTATCTAAAAAATTAGGAAATAAAGTAATACAATACTCTTGATTAATGGGAGAAATATTTCAAATAGTTAAGATATTTACCGGCCAGCATTTGCCTTCTTTTCATATGTTTATTTGTTAATTCATTAACCATTTCTTTCTCTGATTTTATTACAGGTGTAGATATAGAACGAGGTAAGCTCTACTGAAAATTTATGATAAGCGACACCTGTCGTTTATTGGAAGTTGAATACTTGCCGATTCGTTTATCTTGGTTTCATCCATTCTCAATTTATTCCTTTTAAGGACAAAAATTTACGAAATTTCACTGAAAAATGATCTTAAAAGCATATCAATGCTATAGAAGATGACTGCAGCAGTTTCCTGTATAAATGTTACATTTGTCACGTGGTGCCTAGACGTTGCCATGGTAAGAAGCATCAGGAAGGAATCGATTAATGTCTTATTGATTTCTCGAAAAGCGGTCTCTTCTAACTATCTTTGGACATTATAAACAATTTGTTAGTACTTAAATTTCCCATATTCTACTCAATTTGCAAATATTTTCGAATAGTTGCTACTTTTCTCAAAGTAGCTTCAATTAACTCATCGACTAATTAACTTAACAAGGAAATTGTGCCTTTTCATGAAACTATTGACGCTTTTAAAAATATTTATACAGTAAATACACAAGTTAATTAGCTTCAGTTTGACGCTGAGTAGAGAATATTTAGAAAGATAAATTAAAAAGATAGAAAATCAGTGATTTAAAGAATACTAGATAAAATATAAAGCTTTCCAATATTTTAGTTAGTTTTTATAGGTCTTTCTTAAGTTTCATTTCGCTTTTATTGGATTATTAAAAGAAGAAATTTTAATTGTCGTATACAATAGAAAAAGTAATGAATAAATTGAATAATTCGTGCTTTAAAAGCTGAATTATTAAGTAAATATGTGTAAACAGAGTTTATTCCGTTTAATTCAGTTTGGAGTATGTGAATAAACAAATCGATGGATCGATTAGTTCAAATATATTTTGTGTATGTTTAAAAATAGTCAAAATTACGAAAATTGGTGCTTAAAAATAGCAATTTATTGGCAAATATCGTAATTTCCGTCAATATCATTCAACCAATTGAATACCAATAAATTTCTATGAATTCTACCTAAAACTGGGTTTGCGTCGTTTAGGTTCTTAATATCACTGATTGAGAGTCTATGGAGTTTGGGTGTACCCATTCTCTTTATAATATCATATTTAACTACTTGGGCAAGTTGAGGAGCGACTTTTAATCTTTGGGGGTAGCGACATATTTTGGAGTAGTCTTCTGCAGTATATCTACCAATTTCCTCTGGATTTTGTCTACAAACATTTTTATTATCTCCGAGTCCAGTAATTTTTGATAAGGAGTTAATAGTTTTCGATAGTCTTTGCCTAATTTTTTTACGATGTTCGGGATCTTCAAAAGAGAAATTAGAGGTTCTTGCGGGAGCTGTCGATAGATGGGCACGCTGAGCGTCCAGATCACGCTGGATGCTGGAGTTTACACTTCCTAACTCTACGGATAAAGGTCTAGTCTCTGGTAACTTAAATTCATCGCTATAGTCTTTAAAACTCTCCATCTGCCATTCGACCATTTCGTCGCTATCCTCTATGGTCGATAAAACATTTGCTGTAGACTTACTCTTTTCTCTACCGATTAAACCTTTTCTCTTAGAACAGCTTATAAGAAGTTCCCATTCTTCATTTGAAAGATGATCCTCTTTCTTACCTCCCATTAATTTATTTAAAATGCTATTATTCTTTTCTCTAGCTAATTTTTCCCAATCTACTTTTGCTTCCTTGACTATTGTTGGCTTAATAGTCTTTGGTTTCCTTCTTCTCTTCATTGTTGTCTTCAATTTGACATCTGGTGTATCTGCTTCCACAGTAGTAGCGTCTGAAGTAGAGAATAGAGATAAATTGGTTACTAACGACTCGGTTGAATCTCTTCTGGGAATTCGAGGTTCTGGATAAATTCTACCAGAGATTTGAGGATAATTTTCTTCCTCTTTATCCAATTCAATTTGCCTCTTTCTAAGAATTTTTATTGTCATTTCAGCACCCCAATGCTCCCAAAATTCTTTGGTGCGAAGCGCTTCCTCCTCGGCTGGTGATAAACCAAAATTGTCTTTTCGTTTCATCTTTTTCTTATTTTTATTGTTATTATTTCTATGTTTATCTAATTTTTTCAAGGGTGGTGTATTTAATGTTCGACTGGATGATGTACTTCTTCTAGATTGTCTTGATAGCAGTCTCTCGTCGGATAAATCTTCACTTGAATTTTTTTTGGAATTCTCATACTGTTGAGGTACATTAATAGATATTACACTCCTTTGAGATTGTCTTGATAGATTGATCGATTGCAATTTTTCTTCCTCCGGATCTTCGAATATCGTTGGAGTACTCCGATTCAAATGTTCATTTGACTTTAAGATTGTCTTTAACATAGTTGATTACTTTGATCAACTTTACGTAAATAATCTTTAATAAGCGTTCTTATCATATTACAGTTGTCAAGCACAAACTGCAAACACAGTCAGCGAAATGAAAGCCATTGTGAATGCCTAACAAAGAGGATTATCTACCCATTAATAATACAGATAGCGTTCAATAATACGAATGGCCAGGTTGTATAAGGTTCTATTTGTATAGGCTGACATTTGTAAAGATCGCTTTTTAGACATATTGATGAATCAAACGTTTTTGAGGCCTTAAAAACCATATTCTATATTTTCTCATGTATGATTTAATTAGATAAATTAAAAATAATAATAATTTGAAAATATATTAATATATTTATTTGATATAAATTAATTAACAGATAATAAATGATTAAATATAATTCTTCAACAAATCCTCTCTATTAAGTATAATTAATTGAATATTCAAGTATTTTACTATAGAAAATAAACAATTGAATATATTTTTACTTAAGTAGAGAGCGGAGAATGGATATAAATAATTAGTTTTCATGTTTCTTAATAATTAAACGGGTTTCCAAAATTCAGTTCCCATATATGTTCAAGTTAATAAATGGTACACTAATAATAATATTTAATGTATATGGAACAAAAAAAGAACGATCAAATATTGAATAGGAAAGGACGAAGGCTGAGAGTAAAAGAACAAAAACAACATGATTAATTAAACGACAAAATAGAATTTCATAACAAGAAGCAACGAGAAATTATTGAGCTTGTAAACAAACTAAATGAATACAAAAGAGTCTTGGCGTTCATTCTTGAAAAGAAGGGAAAAGGAAAATAAAAATTTATTAAATCAAAACGCACTTTTCTTTATAAAGTTCACTTTGATCGTTTTGAATGAAGGTGAAACTGTTCTATTATTGAATTATTAGAAAATTGATCTTCTATTTATATATTTATAATATATTTCAAACAAAATATTTATATATCTCCTATTTCTATTCTATAAAGGTTACAAACTTATCTTTTTTTTTAAGTAGCTTTTTCAACTATTATTCAATCGTTCTTTTATCTCTTCAAACAGAATATTTTTGAATAGCTCTATATCATTATATGCTGTTATGCACCTATCATATTTATCAATATTTATGAATCCAATATCTCTAACAATTTCGCAGAACAATTGAAAGTGATTTTCTTTTTTGTCACATTATTAACACGATATATAAGGTAAATATAATATTTCGAACAAGAAACTTGACAATAAAATACATTGTTTTTCAAATTCAACATTCTCTTTAACGATTTAGGGTTCTTTTATTCTTTCACTTTCGAAAGATGATAACATATGTATCATCTTCATATATGTTTAAAGTTTAATGCTGATCTTCTTAAGTAAGGTAAGAATTTTTTAAATCATTCTTTTTCCTTTTTAAGATCAAAGTGTAAGAGTAGTGAACTCTGTTGGATTTTACTGAAAATAGAAATCCAAGAAGAAGCCTTTAGACAATGTTGAATTCCCATTGAAATATTAAATAGAGATATCTCTTTATCAAAGTGTATTTTATATGAAGCATTTATTTTAGTTTCATCTTTTTATTAGATTCAGACAAATAGACAATAAAGGATAGTAAAATGTCTTAATTTACTCATATGCAAAAAAACAGATTAACAAAAAGTAATGCTGGTTATATCTCCCTTATCAATGTTTTTGCAAAAAAATCCACAATTATCTAGATAGAGCGTTCCAGTTTTTGACTTCTAAAACTTTAAGTGTTTTGTAAGCTGATAAATCATGAAAATCAAGTGTCCAAGTTTGATTTTGATATAATTTTCAGTAGACGTTAAAGCCATGGGAGAATGGTAATAGTGGAAAACGATATATTCTTCTTTGACTCTGAAAGAATTATATAAACTATTTAAAATAGCGTTGATCGTTGTTGGTTTCCATATCTGAAAATAAAACAAAAGAAAGAACTTTCTAAATATAGCCTACAGCTATCTATGCCAAGGAGGAAATGTAAAAAGTTTCAGTATGAAGAAAAAGAATGTAGGAGAATTCTCCAGTTAGATAACTGTAAATAAAACATGTACTTTCAGTTTATTTAAAATGTTTCCATTTTTAGAATATGTTAATTATAAATTAATGTACACAATAGTTAATATAAAGCTTTTATTCATATTTCTATATGCTTATTGATATATCTCTGAAAAAAATATTTAACAATCAAAGAATTAGGAGTAATTAGTCAATTTGTCAATATAATTTCAAAAATATTTGTAATCAGATGGGTTCAGCAGGTTCTATCTACTTCCCCAAACAGTAATGCGTCTTAGCTGCTTTGTTCGGTTGGTCTTATGAGAATGTCGTTGATCTAATAATAGATGTAATAATCGTTTTTATTTAATCATATATACATATAGTACTTTAAGATTAACACGTACCTCAACATGAGCAGGAGCTGTTAGAGCATGAATAACACTGCTGCTAATATCTTCTGCTTGTAATGCCTTTAAATCAAAATAAAGTCAAAAGGAACATGGTAAATAATTAAAAGTTATATACCATTAAATTTTTATAAGTTTGACTATCAGGTCCTGTAAATCTATAAGCAAATTCAGTTTCGACAACACCAGGGCTAACATGAGTAACTCGAATATGACTCTTTGCCTCGCGAAGTTCTTGTCTTGTACCTTCAGTCATGGCTTTAACAGCAAATTTTGTAGCACTATAAAAGTGGCCTTTGCTGGATGGTATAACACGATGTCCGGACATGCTATAATTAGAAAAATTTACAGAAATCCGTATAAAATTTAAGTATAGCAATATTTAACAAAAGAGAATAACAAAAAAGAAAAAAACACAGTTTTGCTTGTAAGAATTAAATAAAAAAGCAGACGTGGCAAATAAAATTTTATTGTTAGAGTGTTTTTTTATCTCTAAGATATCTTCAATCACAAAGAAACGTACAATTTGATGAAACGCATTACTTTATAAGAAGGAAGTATAAGGTTATAAAATAAAATAAATTAATGTGTATCAGATGAATTATTCTCCACTGTTTCGAAATTATATCCTGTCTTCTTTAGATAACGTTGAATTGTTGACTGAGATATTTTTTCTGAAACGTTCTCTTTAATTTTAGCACTTGTTACTTTTTCACCTCGTTCAAGTAATTTCTGACCCTCACTTAAAATATATTCAGCTACTTGTTTTGTAATTATAGTTGGTCTTCCCGTTGATTTTTTCGGTTTTACTCTTCCTTGTTGAACAATTCCCTGAACAGTTGATCTGCTAATCTTAACATTCCTGGCAATTTCGGCGTACGATAATCCTTCGGCTTTTTTTAATAGAACCTTTTGTCTTATTTCCATAGAATGAGGCATTTTATCTCCTGCTTATTGCTTGAGCAAACTCAAACTTAACCAACTAATTCTTCGATAAGTATTGGTGGATAGTAGTACTCAATTAGAATTTACTTTATAGACTAAACCGGTACAAGAAATGTGTTGAAATTAGATTAGATAGCTCCATCTACTATAAAAATATCTAAGTTTCATAAATAAAAATTGCTACTCAGAAGTTTCAGACTATCTATGCTAAAAAAAACTTGTTCTAAAACTAAACTTATTCTAGTAAAGATAATGGTTTTAAAATAGATAAGAACTAGTAGCATGGATCAAGTCGAGCTTACCTTCCAATATTAAAAATATGACCGTCGTCTATGCCTCTTTCCTTCATTGATTTATATGCTTCCCTTGAGCAAATTGCTATGCCCAATACATTAACCTAATAAAAAATTTAACGTTTTATCATAAGATTTGATGAAGCAAGAAAATACAAACATCCAGCATATTCTTCCAATCCGAAGTTTTACTACTAGGATCTAATAGAGGAGCATCGTGAGCTAAACCAGCATTGTTTATCAATACATCAACACCACCGTAATTTTTCCTAATGTTGGCAAACACTTTCAAGATATCCTCTTCTTTTGTTACATCGCATTTCATTGGGATAAGCTGACCTTTAGCTCCTTCAAGTTTTTTTGCAGCATCCTTCAATTCAAGAATTCTAGTTTTCTTATTGCTTTTTTAATTTCAAAGTATTTATTACATACAGCAATTGCTTGAAAATTCCTCGCAACACCAATTACCTTCATTCCACCTTCAACTAATTTTTGTGCTATAGAAGCTCCAATGCCAACCGAGGCTCCGGTGACTAATGCAACTCTTCCAGTCCAACGATCCATGATCTGTATCTGTATAGTAATGTATAATATGAAAATTAATACTTGTTTTTCAATAGTACAGCTGTCTGAACATAATAGAAAGCTATGGATATGGATAGTTCGTGTTAATCACAAGACAAAATCCTAGAAATGGCTTATGTAGCTCAGTCAAATTTCAAAATAGCGTTAAAACTTGGATATTATTTGCTATTGCTCTATTTCTGAAAAGTAAGCGTGTTTGAGATACTATCTGTATTATCAAATGACCTTTATTAATTTATTATCGCTCTATTTTTCTTAATATCCAATTTATGAATGAAATATGAAAAACTATTCATTTCTATAAAACCGTCTTAATTATATTAAAATTATATATAATAAATTCCAGGTTACTTACATCGTAGAAAATGAGTAATTTGGTAAATGATATCAGTCTAAAAGTACGGACCACGTAATTTGGTTATACAGTTCGAATAAAACTTAATAATCACGTGACAATAACTTAGATCGAGAAGCGGGAAAGTATATTTCAAAAATACTTAATCGAAGCAATAAAATATAACTGTTGGATAAATTTAGAACAAAACTGGGGAGATTTAAGTGGTTTTTATATTAAAATAGTAATTGTAGTAGCAATAGTATAATCGGATAAATACTTATAGCCTTTTCTAAGAAAGAGTCGAATGTGAAGGAGATGGCCTAAAAAAGACAATTAAATCTGCCTACACTAATTAAGTGCTAAATCCTGGCAATTAAAAGTGATTATTGTTATTACTTGAAATGCGGAAATAATACGCTTTTTAATATACATTCTAGTTTGAAAAATGAATAAAGGAAGGGAGAAAGAGAGAAAGAGAGAAAAAAAGAAAGAAAGAAGAGGGTGGAGAAGAACTAGTTTAGTAGACTGTATACATACTAATATACTAATATATATTGTATATTTGGTTTTTGAAATAGAGTAATTAAATCATACTAAAAAAAAAACTATAAAAGATGACGAAATCTTATACATTTTGACCAGAAATATGAAACTTTTACCTTTTTGGTTATAATTGCTTCATTATTGAGGTAATATTGATCCAAATTATTTTATACTTATTGAACGAAAATTCTCAAGATTTTTATTAGCAAAAGCTAATTAATTTTATCAAGTGCTATTTGCCTTTAAGCTAAATATTATCATAACTTTAAATGTCACTCTCTTTCTTTCTCTATAAATATGTTCATATATTCATATTTTTCTTAAGTCATTAACTATAACAAAAATATATGTTGGAATACAAATCAATGTATAAATTGTTTTCAATTGTTTTTCGTTAAAAAGTGAAAATTAGTATTACATCATTCATTGTCGTAGATTCTTTATTGATCTAAAACACAAATCGAATCTTGATAAAAAGAAAAAATTATTAATTATCAACTACAAAACTTCGACTGTATAAGGCGCCATCTACTACTAACTACTAAACAATGGGCATATCGGCCATGCAATTTTAATACACTCGAATTGAACAGTAGACTGCTCATTAAACTTATTGAATGGAGGTTAAGCTGGATTAAGACAAGGCGTTGTCAACACGACAAGAACATTGTTTAGTGTTTTCACAGAGAGTTAAAAAAATATTTAAGTATATCAATAAAGTTAATGTGAAAAGAAAAGATTTGAAAACTTTTAAGGTGAGGTCAGAAGCTTGCAAATGTCGACGGAAGCTATAAACGAGTCTTCTCCTCAACCTCGTGTTAGTGGATTCTCAATTAAAAGCCCAACAAATGATTCAACTAGACTGTTACCGATAGCTAGATTTAGAGATAAATTAGCAAGCAGTACCCCAACATCTACCAAAGGCCATCTACCATTGTTACGTAATACTTCATCACCTATACGAGAAAGATATTCTAGGTATGTTGCAAGACACGTAACTCATCAAGTTATTTCGTCGCAAAGGGATTTCATAAATGGTGTTAGTTCTAGCCCATCTCCAAAATTGCTACAGAGAGAGTCGGATTCCAAATTCATTGGTGGTCTTCCCGGTAGATTCTTCAGTACAACACGACCATTTGCAATAGTAAAATACAACTTTCCCGAACACAAGGAACAAACTTTAACTCCTTCCCTAAAAGTAACAAATTCATTGTCAGCAAAGACTTCAAACACGAAAAGGAAAAAAGTAACGTTTGAAGATGACTTAAATAAGGTGAGAGAAGAGGGATTGGAGAAAGACTCGGTAAAGGATACCGATGTTCATATAGTTAAAGAGGAAATCAAAGAATTAGATATCTCTCGACGAAATTCGACGGATAGAGAAAACGGAATTCCGTCGTCCAATACACACCACAAAGCGATTCTTCAAAAACCTGTAAAAGCTCCTCTTTTATTAACACTTACTAGGCATAATTTGGATTTATTAGACACTCTAAATGCGTCCGACGACGATAGTAGCTTAACAGACGATAAACCAAATGGAGTTAGTAAAAGAGTTTGGAATTGGGTTTCCCAACAGCCGAAATTCGTACCCGCAGACTCATCAAATAAGCCGGACGATGAAGTTAGATCAAAAAGTGCCGGAGCCATTTCTATACAAAGTATTACATCCGCTGCAAATCTATCGAGTAAACTGCAAAGACGAAAGTGATTAATTAAATTGCTTCATTTCCAACAATATCCTCCTCTTAATACTAAAGCCATCTGCTTGTTAAGTGTATAGCAAACAATAACAAAGAGTATTAATTTTATGGAGAAACAATTATCGTAGATAAAAGAAGACATTATTTGTGGTTGAAAGTCAAAATTCAAAAGGTTTTGTTCATATCTGACTGCCTTAAACTTCCAAATTTATGAAATTTTATACTAGTGAGTTATAATAAAGAAATATGCTTTATATTGAAAAGATTTCATTTCGTCTTTTATAAATGTACTGTATACATGTAACATGCATTTATCGTCAAAATTCGGTGACTATTATTCGAATTTCAATCGGTTATATGAGTAAAAGATGTATGAAATCTATATGAAAGGTAGACGTTCATTTAATAAAAGTAGAAAGATATTGAAATTTATAAGCTTTAATATGGGTAAAAATGGCATCCGGTAGGAAAAATGGGATAGAAATTTAAAGCGTTTAGTCTTCTTTGACAGGAAACCACTCTATAAATTATCTAGAATATTATTTTTTGATAGAATTGGTAAGAAAATATTCCAAATTATCGATTCGAATCAGAATATAGTGAGAAAGAAAGTATTTAAATCATTTCTATATTGTTTATATCTACCTAAATTCTTTTACTGTTCATCTATTCTTCTTTCAGAATATAACTAAAATAATTGAACAATTAATAATTGAATTAATTAAATTATCCATTTATTCATTTAAGAATAAAAAAACAAACAAAATTATAAAAATTATGGCCATTTTTTCAACTTTCAAAATAAATACTGAACCAAAATGACAATAAACTTTCTGCAGTATATTAAAAAAATTAATTGTAAAATTAATTACTTCTCCTGTGAATCTTCTTCTCAAGCGATTTCTTTTAATAGGACGATAAAAAACAAAATCATGACGTTTAAAATTATTGCTTTTCCTTTTCCTCGTCTAAATTTATTTTGGAAAAAAACATAATATTGTTACGTAAGTCGAATTTATTAAATTTTATGGCAAATGGAATTAATTACTTATTAAAATTATTTAGCAGTCCAGGCTCCGTCCATGGTTATTTGGGATCCTGTCATATTTCGGCAGGCGTCGGTACACAAGAATGTTGTCATTTCAGCGACCTAAATTCAACTTTGCTTTATAAGGTATCGATTTCAATATTAGAATATTTAATACCAACATCTGTAACTCTAACAGCTTCTTTTGAGGGATGAAAATTAGACAAGAATTTCTTTTTAGCTTCAGTGTACTCAAGGCTTTCCTTCTCAGCCAAAGACTTCACTTGAAATTCAAAAACTAGAGAAAAATATAGAATTTCATATGATATAATTACTTTATTAAGTTTATCTCGTCTTACTTGGAGTTTCAACGTAACCAGGGCAAATTGAGTTACAAGTTATATTCATTTCTGCAGTTTCTAGGGCAACAACCTTCGTTAATCCAACCAAACCGTGTTTGGCTGCAACATAAGCGCTCTTATTTGGCGATGCTATGATGCCATGAGCTGAAGATATATTAATGACACGGCCGTAATTTTGGGTCTTCATTCCCGGTAGAAAAGCCTAAAAATGTCATAAAATATACACCTAATTTGAAGGTTTTTTTTATATGTACAAAGAAAAAGGGCAAAAAAACGACTTTACAAACTTTAATTAAGCGAAAAGGAGCGCCAAGAAGAACTTCTAGTAAATCATGCCATTTCTCATCAGGAAATTCGTCGATTGGAGATACGTGTTGAAATCCTACGTTTTTCAAAGTTTAACACCAGTTAATCTTACATTTAGGTAAATTAAACAAGAAATATCTAACCTGCATTATTAACAATGATGTCAACGACAGGGTACATTGACTTGATACTGTTACACATCTCATTTAATTCCTCAGGTTTTGCAAGATCAGTAGAGAAAAAGTGTACATTTACTCCATGATTTCTAAAAGAATTAAATATTATTTTCCTTTTATCATACTATATAATGTTATTCTCTTACGAAGATATATCATTCTTTAGACGATTGACTACTGTTTCATCGGCGAACCCATTTAATAAAATATCGCATCCTCTCGCAGCAAGAGACTTTGCTATGCCTACAAATTTAAATATTTTAACAAGTTTTTATTAGTAGAGTACACATGAATAAAACAAATTTAGCATACCTAAACCAATACCGGAAGTTGATCCAGTTATCAAAGCACTTCTACCTTGTAAAACTGCAAAATTATTTTAAGAATTTAGAGCATGTTATTAATTATCCAAGTATTACATTAGATAACAATAAGTTATCTTAACCCTAATAGCTTTACTTTTTTCTCTTTCTATTATTTAACCTTGAACAATATTTTCATAAGGATGAAAGATAATATTATATTGCTTTGTAATATTTCTATAGTAATACATAAAATATTATTTTATGGAATGTATATTTAGAATAAATTAATTATATATTTAGAAAAGAAAAGGTATATAAATACATCGTTCTGTTGTTGCTCCAGTTGAAGACGACATGGCTCGAGTAATCTGTTCAGAGAGTATAAACTAAAAATGTTTTTCTTTTAGTTGAAAATGACTTTATAAATTATCTATTAATGTGAGCATCTACTTATATAGTCTACAAATGTACCTATTTTAAGTTTAGTCATGGTCATATCAACAGATAAAAAAAAGAGATATTAAATTTTAGAAATGAAAAGTTTCGTTCAAACGAAAGATTTCGTTCGAATCACATATTATCGGTCAAGTCACTGTTGAAAATAAACACAACCGTCTAGATGGTCATTTAATGTCGTTAAAATGAAAATTTAACTTACGATTCTACCGAATGCGATTGGTAACCTCATATTGAATTCTATTTTTGTGTGAATAGATAACAATTAGCTTGATTTAAGATTTATATTGACTTCTTGATAAAGGTGAGAAAGTACGATCCAGACTTCTCTTGAGAAACTGGTATATGAGGGCGAGAGTTTTGCGAAGGCTGAGCTCTGTTAAATTTCCTAGGTCAAAGCCAAAAGCATATCCTCGACCTCGAAAATCCTAAATAGGCCTGAGCAAAGGGATCGTACGATTGTGTTAGAAAATCTAATTATATAAATATATACCTATAATAAACTTAGAAATAGCATGAATTCGTAACTAAGTTCTTGTTAAGTATAACATTCGTTCAAAAAAAATTTACTTGCCTTTAAATAGGTACGCTATTAATACGGATTGGAAACTTGCGTTTGCTTTCAGTATAAGATAAATAAGATAACATTGTTTGTAATATGACAAGTACTGCTTTTGAAAGGTGTCTACAACACCCAGGATTCGTGGTGGTCACCCATCCAGTTACTAGCTGGGCCGGTCGTTATTTAACTTCGGTGAGCTCACGAGAACCGGTTTGCTAACGCCGCAAGGTCGTAGACAATAACTGGTTTTAACCCGATCACCTTGAACTTTAATTGCATAATTGAGTTATAGAAGTTGATGTCTCCGTACAAAAATTAATAGCTTTTCCTAAAATACAGTTTTATATAAATTTAGAGGTCATTTCAAAGGTAAAGAAAATAATAAATAATAGAGTATAGAAGAAAGATGAGAAGGAGAAGAGAAGGTAGAGGATGAGGAAGAAAAGGTACTTAGATAGGATTATATAATAGTAGGATTACGGAAAATCAAAAAAGACAAAAAGAGAGCGCTGTTCATTTCCTATTCTTTTGAACAGTATTTTATGTCATAATGTAAATTACAATTTAAATTATTTTTATCCATACAAGTAACAAAACTATTAATTTTTATGATAATAGATTATGGGAGAGGCAAACTTGTTTAAGATAGCTCGATATAGACTTTCTTTTCAAATTGTTCATTGTTATGTAAAACATACTTTAACAATGTCCAGTAACAAGTTCACATAATTTATACCCTCATTTACCTAAGGTCATATGCTCGTGAATAAAAGAGCTTAAAAGTAAATGAATAATTACTTGAATATAGAGTATTAATGACTAATCTCTTGAAAAAAAGCCACTAATTTGTATTTTTCTTTTTATATAAAGAATGACTAACAAGGCAAATAATTACATGTTTATGTTTCACAAATAATTAATTATCTCTGTTACAAACCCACCTATCTATTACATTATTAAAAACGAAAAGACGAGTTCTCACCAAACAAAGTTGAAGTTAATTTTTTTTTCTTTTACTTAAAATGCACGAAATATTTCTCTTAAAAAAAGACGAGAAAGAAAACTGAAACTATCATTCTTAAAAAGTCAGGTACAACCGTAATTATCAATTAACTTCAAGTGAAAAGGTGTAAAAGTCTCTCAAAATGTATTGGATTACCTTCTTATGTATGTAACTTCTTGAAATTCATAAAGTATAAAAATATCTGTTTTTGTCATATCTATATTTAGCAATTAGAAATGAAGATCATTGCAATGCGCAATATGTTAACAATACACATCTTAGGTATGTAAACTATCTCTGATAATTGAAAATCTTTTGGTAGATTCTTTGCTTCGTATTACCTTAATAACTATTTCTTCTTCTCTTTAGTTATATACAATTATTAATATATGCAACTAGTTTTTTTATTTATTTAATGAAGATATGAACCACAAAGTAATTTGCTCCAAAAGAGACTATCGGAACAAATGGTCATGCTAATTAAAATGATATATTTTATTAGTGATAAATATAAGTGTTGGAAAATAGATAGCTTTTTTAAAATGAAGAAAAGGTGATAAGGTGAGGAATGAGGAGGAATGAGGGTGAGATAGTAAAGAAGAGCTGAGAGAAAAGAGATAGGAAGATAATAGTAATTGCTGTAGAACAGTAGTAGCGGTAGTAGGAGAAAAACAGTACAAACAAGACTGTAATTGTTAAGTTAATTAAGAAACGTAAATTAATTAGTATCGCATATTCGAACAAAATTTTTAGGTGCATTATTAACAATGGTTGTTATCCTTTCGTAAAATATTTTTCTGTACCAATGTTCTTTTATTAGAGTCTCATAAAAAAGTAAAAAAGAACGCTATATATAGAGATAAAGATATTTAATATAATAACCTTATGAAAATTGAAACCTGAAATTATACAGTTTCCATCTTCTTAAAGATATAAAGAAATGGTGAAAAAAATACTATAATGAATAAAGCTATTCCATTAGAATCAGTACTTACAAAGAAACTATACACATTTATACTCAAATATAATGCCTCTATTTTCGTATAGCACAAAAAAACACGATTAGAGTTGAAAATCATGCAAAGAAACTGCTTTAACGATCTTTTCTTCATATTTTTAGGAATACTACTCACGAGAATTGAAAAAATTGTTTCCTATCCTTTTTCTTTCTATTAAATATTTCTCATTGCAATAGGAAACTTCCTGATATTCTTGTTTGTTATTGTTTCTAAAATTCTCATTTCTGTTCACAAACAATTTCTGCATAAATCATTTTTAATAGACAAATAAAACAAACAAATGTTCTTTAACCTTTTAAGGTTAATAAATTTCTATTTTTGTAGAAAAAAGTTGAAATATATATATTTATATATACAGAATAAATAAAACAAATGGCAATAAAACTAATTAATTGGAAAAAGACGGAGAAGGATAGGAAAAGTATTCTTAAACTACTTGAACGAGAAAATAAATACTGTAGACTGACAAGTAAATGGAAGGTTGGAAGTAATAAAGAGTGAAAAAAAAGAAAAAGACAGAGAAATAAGTATATAAAAAAGGAAAAGAAAAGAATTAGAGAGAGAGAGAGAGAGAGAGAGAGAAAGAGAGAGGAGAAAATAGGGAAGAAACTAGAAGATTGTAAAAGTGGAGATACTTTTCAGAGTTATGCATATATCGAAAATACGGTTAAAGCACACATATTTGATGGGCTCCATTCAGTAACTGCCAATTGTCCATATTTGTTAATATCTAGAGCTTCTGGGAATTTTATATGATCTTGTTCAGTTAATAAGTTTCTCACATATTCGAATTGAGTATCAAACATGCATACTCTACTAAATTCGTCAGCAACCAGGATATGACCAGCCCTATGATCCGTACAAACACCTTTAGGAGATCTTAATTTTGTACTCTTTCTAGGACCAGCTGATGAAGAAATTGTTCGTCTCATCGATGCCATAAGACGACCAGAACTTATATCGAATACTTTTACACAATTATTTCCACTGTCACAAACTACAACATTATCGTTTTTATCAACAGTCACATGATAAGGATTTCTTAAGGTTATATTTTTATTCCCGACGCTAACTTTGAGCTTTCCGTCACTAGAATAGATGCCGACAGTATCACTAAATGCATCAGATACTATGAAATGCCCTCTGGAATCTACAGTAATACCATAAGGCCATCCAAAATGGCCTTTTCCCCAAGAGTCAATGAGTAATCCCTCGGAAGAGAGAATTTTTACTTTTTTCTCTTTACTATCAGTTACAGCTATATTGCCATCTCTGGTGACGCAAACGCCTAAAGGCTTAACATCGGACGTTCCTAATATCCCTAATTCTTTTCTAGCCGCCACGTCGAAGACTCTTAACTTGCTATTCGATGCCGTATCATAATCCACTATAATCAGCCTATTCTCATACCAAGCAACGTCGCAAGGATTGAATAAATCGGATGAATCAGTTCTGAGCTTTTCCATTCTCCAGATTACTTCCGGTTTATAAAGGGCGTTTCCAGTATGAGTTCTTTTTAATTGTTCGTGCTCAGTTTTCATGTTTGGCTCTGGACTTGGTTGCTCTGAACCAGGAGTGACTGAACTATCCAAAGCCATTCGAAGTTGATGTATTTCTATATCGATAACGGATTTTATCCTGGACGATAGGTCTTCGTACAGAGTTAAAATCTTTTGCGATTGCGCTAATTCGAGAACAGTAGCAGACAAGTTGGATAAACGTTCAGCTTTCTCTACTAAATCCCTACCCTCCTTCCCAGTTCCTCCATCTACTTTTTTTTGAGTGAATTGTTCTAGGCGGTGACGTAAATTAGATAAATGATGGGTCAGCATGTCTAGTCTAGACCTTAAAATATCTCTACTCTGATCCAATGCCTCCAGTAATTTTACTACGCGATGTTCGCTATGCTCTAAAAGAACACAAAGTGAACAGGCGGACGTCTTACAGCTGTTGCAATAGAAGGCACAATCTCTCTGATTGTGAATAGAACAAATAGTTGTTAAAGCTTCTTTATTGCTGACATGTAGTACTGTCAAAAAAAAAATACAAGAAACTATTAAAATTGTTTATTTTTACTAAAAATATTAAGTAAATCCCTTAGAATAACTTATCCAGAAAAAGTTAAGAAATACCCTGATATTCTAGTACTAACAATCATTAATGAATATGCAGATTATAGTAAAGCTCTTTTGCTATCTTAATAAATATTCGCTTAGACAATACAAGTAAAAACTATGCAAAAGATAATTAATTCCGTTAAGGATTTCTTATCTGTTTGTATAAATTTTTATTAATGATACCCTCTTACAAGGAGTATTAGCTATTAATTGGCTATAATAATTTTCAACCTGAATGTTGTCAGTCGTATGTTTAGAATAAGTTAAAATTTATATTTTTCTAGTAATATTCAGTTAAAATATTAAATAAATAAATAAAGAATTTATAGACAATTTTTATTAATAGAGAAGAAAGAAATCTTTAAATTGACTTTTTTTTCTTTAAAGTTAATAAAAAAGGAACCCTAGAAAATGTACGGAAAGAAGCAGATCATATTGATTTTCCGCTATTTATATAACTGTAAAATAAGTTTATTTAAATAAAGATTTTTATATGATTTATTGCATTCTTACTTTTATGGTTTTTTTTGTCGGTTAAAAAATGAGATTTTAATAATTTTATATAAATTTGGTACTGAAAAAAATTTAACGCTCTGTTCAGAGCTTCATTTAATAATTGATTATCTTATGCGCAAACAGAGATAAGATTATCGCGACTAACCACGATGATCTATTAAAAGAATTCTATTTTTTTTCAGTGCAGAATATAACAATATATACAATATTACCCATATATTTAGTAATTAGCTATATATATATTCCTTAAATGCTAGAGAGATGCTAGATAGACATTATCATGTCATGAATGTACAGTTGCATTTCTATTCCTTGTGTTCCTACAACATAAATAGATGTGTTTATGTAACTATATCGAGATATATTTACCACAAGTCCTAGGTAATCAATAATATATAATATTAAAATAAATTTACTTATTTTACTGACCAGAGTGATCTCTAAATACCAAAGGTTTTGAATGAGATTGCTTGCAGACGTCGCATAAATGGACGGCACATTTTGTACAATAGAATTCTGCTATGTCATCTACGAAACTTGAGCTTAAATCACAACCGAAGGAAGGCGATGGTGTTAAAGTCCCATTTGATTGAGAAGGGGGCAATTTTGAACTACAGACGTCACATTTTTTTAAGGACTCGACTAAAGGTTGTAATTTTGTTCGAGGTGAAGATATTCCCTCTCCAGCAGCCGGTAACCCTGACAGACCGTTATTCTCTAAAAGTGTTGTCTGCAGGCAAACAGGACAACGAACAAATTGGTCATCCTCTTCGTAGCATACCCCTCCATAAACGGCGCAGTAATGTCGAAGGCACCTGTTAAAAGACAATAAGTTATTGCAGGTTAGGATCATGAATCAGAGTAACCCTCGACTGATAGTCAGCGATTCGGGAAAATTTTACGTTGAAACTGATACTATTACAAGAAGACATATGCATTAAATAGGCAGTGTTTTTTTCAAATGACTTTGATCAGAACTTAACAAATGCAATATATTATTTCTTATTACTTAGTATCCAATACATGCTAAAATAGAAATACATGTACAACTTATACGACTTATATATATATATATATATAAGTAAATAAAGGCTTTAAGTGCCTAATATGTGTATAAATGAGCTTTTTCTATATTTGGTAAAGGGATATTCTCTGATTTTTCGTTAACTCTTCATGTCCCAAATAAAAACTTCAGAATTATTTTTAACAATTTATGTATTAATTAATGACGTTGCTATTCGATTTATTTTCTGTGGGAGGCAACTAATCCTCTTTGTTTTTACTTAAACTAAATGTACGTAACACATAAAGAAGTTAATGGTCTACATAATGTATTATACGTACATATATATCACAATTTGTGAAAAAACAATGAATAAGGATAGTATTTTCTTTTAGATTTCTTTCCTATTTCCCTACTTCTTATTGTCCCCCACCCCCCTCCCCACCTCTCTCTCTCTCTCTCTCTAGCTCTCCTAGTTTCCACCTGTCTCTTTCTCTTTTATTGTACACGGAGAAAACTGTATAAATATTTCTGTCTTTTTTAACACTTTCCTTGTTTATCATCAAGGCCTTTCTTTTATTCTCACTTTTTTTCTATATGAACAATGTACAGTGTTACTAAATAGCATGCTGTAAATCTATCAATACATTATATTTTAACTTTTACTTAATAATTATACAAGTATGACAAATAGCTTTAAACTAAAAAACTACTAGTAGTAAATCCTTGATTTATTTCTTTTATAAAAATATTTACTGTACTTTCTTTTCTTATATCAAAGTATTATGACTGCTAAAAAAAATTACCTATATTTAGTTTATATAAGAATTCCTTCAATCGTCCATTTAGTTTTAAATATAAATTGACATTAGTATAGAAAAAGAATTGCTATTCTATAGGAAGAATATCTAAATTTCAGGACAGATACCTTTATTGCTTGATTATGCATGACGGAAAGACGTAATGCTTTAATTTTTTAATAGGAAATACGTAAAATTAAATTTTTATCTTCTTGTCTACTTAATAATAAATAATTAATTAATTATAACTATAAAATATTGTATTAAATAGTGAAGTTATATATAACAAACAATGTACTAATTCACCCACATGCTCAAGTACATGGAGTATTAGTTACTTTGAAAAAAATCAATATCTCATTTTTTTTTGTTTGTCACCAATGAAGGTGACATGATCAACGATGCTCATTTTTTCATTGAGAAATAAATTGGAAAGAACAACAATATACGTAAAATTTATAGTAAATCCTCTTAAATCTATATTTGGACATGACTATTAAATATGTTTATAATATAGTTAAAACGAATTTTTACGTGGTCTAAATGGTAAGATGGTTTAATTTATATTAATAAAAACTGATCAAGTAATAACTGACGAATCGTGATTGATTTAATAATGGATTTCTCAAAAGTATCTATTTGTGTCTATGAAATATGGAGAGATATTTATAAAATATATATATATATATATATATATATATATACTGTATAACGTACGTTATATGTCAATTTATTCCTTATCCTATACTGTATATACTATACAGGAAAACTTTTTTCTCAATTCCCCAATGAGCTTTCTATTACGTTACTTTGTCAAGATAAGAGGCATGAAGTAAAGATTTTTGATTATTTTAATGAATTTATGTCTAATCTAAAGATAAAAGCGGAGAAAAAAGAGAAAAGAACTAAAAATAAAAAAGAAAAACTATACAAATTTATACAACTTAATATAGATTTATTGATATCTCATTTATCATTCTAATATTGTCTTGATTTATAAATTTTCCTGCTTATATAAACAAATTAATACTATTCAACCAGCCAACGAAAACTAAAGTTTAACTGAGAACTGTTCTTAATTTTCACATGAATGAAAATGAAACGTTCACTTTTTATAGATTTTTATCGGTTGGGTATTAAAATAATATATGTATCTTTGAGACGACCTTATAAATAAATTAGAGATTTAACGATCTGTAAACCATTTAGAGTTGAATAATTAGGAATTTCAGTTTGAAATTGGAGAATATATTCGTGTTTACCCAATGTAAAAATTCTAAGGTATTTTCCTAATAGCGTGTGAAAAAAACAAAGCTTCTCATTTAATATCGTTAGCAAGCATTGTTATTTTTAGGAAAATATCGTCATTCCTTCTTTTTTTAGCTGCTTAAATTGAACTAACATGAGAAGTGAAAATATTTCCTTTTCCAGTGGTAATACTTTAGCAAATACAAAAGGCATAAAGAGAAGAGAAGAGAATGAAAGAAAAATGTAAAGAGGAAAGAGTAAAGCTTGGCAATGATAAAGAGTAATATTCTTGTCTTCATCAAATATCTTCTTTCATTCCTATTCTCTCTGTTGCTTTCGATTTTTTCTATCATTCTTAATCATCGTTGATTATCAATTCTTAAAATGGGTTTAATACAAGTATTATTCTATTAAACATATGTTTCTCTTACACAGACTATATTGATAATATATATATTAAATACAAGTAAATTGATAAAAATTTCTTCAAAATTATCTATATTTGCTTTAGTTAACGTTGTTGTTGTTGTTGTTGTTGTTGTTGTTGTTGTTGATATTGTTATTACAATTTCATACGTTACAATAAAATAAATTATTAAAAGTAAATATAATTACATATGACTTGTTTATAAAGAACATTGGGAAACTTTTACTGTAAAAATGTAATATCTGTTGATTCTAATACCCTGTAGGCATTTATGTATGAAATATTAAGGAAAAAATATGATAAATAGAGAGGTGAATACTAATAATCTCTCTCTCTATATATATATTAGTAAAGTATATATTACATAATCCTAAATACAACGCTTGGGTAACAAGAATTAAATGAGAATCTCTTAAATTTGATTACATTTAATATATATATCTATATACAGTATATACAGTATATATAAGAGATATTTTTAGAGTGGAGAATTTAAGTATAGTATAAATGTAAAAGGCTTAGTAAGACTCTGATAACCTATTAAAAAATTTTTCGAGTATATAATTTTTTTGCTAATTATAAAATTATTTACAGCTGGTTTGCTGCTTTTCCAAGGGAAAAAATGCTTCCTTTTATACTATACTGTTTGAAAATAACATGAAAACACTTACCCTTCGCAAATTATATGATCGCATTTTAATGTCCTTCCACCAGTTGGAACTTGAACGCACATAAGACAATGTTCAACCTCAAGAAAATTAGATCCAGTTGATGCTCTCCAAGAAACAATCGACGCTCTCCTCGAAGGTTGCGATGATACTGATGTTCTTCTACCTTCGGGAGCTTTCGTCGATAAGGACCTACTAGGTGCCTTATGCTTGTTCATACTTTGGGTAGCCATCGATAAACGGCGCCTGATTGACGACATAAGCCAATGTTATTTCGCAGGTGAATTATGTACAAACAATAAAACGGCGTCTAACCTGCCAACTGCACCAGAGATCGTTGCAGTCGCCTGTACTGAATGCCTTTATAGTTGAGTCCTGGTAGCGAAATTTTTTCTCTTTCTCATTCGTACGTAGCTTATCGTTGCACTGCCGGTACTAAGTTTTTCTCTTCTTATTTTTCTTTTTTTTGTAATAAACTGATTAACGATTCTGTCGCATTCCGCAACGCTGATTAACACGATAGCGTTTTATCTTTGTCGTGCTTTAATTGAATGACCTTGTTGCATATTTTAAAAAATATTTCACTAATATCTCAACTATTCTTAACACAAGTGTACACTACCATTTAATTGTTTGATTATCATCGATCTATCGCTTTATATTCATTACACCACCTTTCTATTTTTTAAACAAGAAAGAACGCCTCCTTTCGGATTTTTTTTGTATTAATTCTAAAAAAAAATCTCCTTCTTAAGCCTAAGTAATACTGTGGCATTTTTAACGTTAGATTTAGATTAAGTACTTGATATGATAACGATTGCTCCACATAATACTATTTAATATTAACACTTAGTTTAAATATAAGACAGAAAGGAAAGGATTTGAAAGTTACACAGAGAATAAAAGTGCCAATTTGTAAATACATATTTATTAAAGAATAATCAAATTAGTACATTTTAAAAATATTTATTATATATATATATATATATATATATATATATATATATATATATATATATATATATGTATATGCTGTGTATGTATACTATATATACTATATATACATATATAAATGTATAATATATATTTATATATATATATATAATCCATATTCAACTAATTGATATCATAAGAAAATAATACCTAATACTTAAATTGCCATAAAGTTAAGCTGAAGGAAAAAAGTTAACTCTCCCTAGTTTATTTCTATTTATTTCTACATATAAAAATACCTAATATACTAAAGAATAGGACGATAATTACGCTTTCTTTTAATAGATATATACCTAATTGTATATCTAATTATATGGATATTACCTACTTCAAAGAAGTATTTCTAATAAATTAACAGTTAACCTTGATAAAAGAAATTGGAAAGGTATATTAAGATACTATTGTATCAACAATTGCGACTAAACAATTTATCAAACAATTAAAAAATTTCAACATGTTCCTACAAATCTTTAATCAAGTATATTACTGTATAAATCTAATATATCTAATATATTAGTATATATATATTAGTAGAAGTTAAATAAATTATATAATGTGTATTGTACACTTGAATCAGAAGTTGTTTTTTATTAAAATAATAAACTAATAATAGTGATAATTTACTACACAAGGTCAGATTCAATTAAGTACTGTTCTAACATTTATTTGCCAAACCGTAAACTAACATTGTAACTATGTGCTCCTCATTGATCCTGTCAAAAATATAATGCTAATCAATATTTAAGCATTGTTTTACCTAACCAATTATTATTAACTGAGAAAAAAGTATTCATCTTATAGATGTTTGCAGTTTTATATTTCTTTTACTCAAAAGTAAACTATGCCAGATTAATTTCCTTTACTTTAGTTCTACATGAAAATATGAAAATTAATATGTAAATGCAGTATATATATATATATATGTATATATGTATATGTACTGCATATATAAAATGTACTATTTTATATTTACACAAGTACACGAATTATATAAATATTTATAATAAAAATGGATAAAAAAGTATAGTGTTCATATCAAAATACACAATTACAACGAAAGTAACAAATTGATTTATCCTATTTTTACTTGAAATAAATTTTCTATGAAAAAATAAAGAGAGAAAATCATTGTTACAGTTCTTACTAAAATAAACAATAGATTATTAATTAATAGTATACAAACATTAATTAATTTTTATTTTCTCTTAAATGTAATGGTTAATTGCTGATTAGTATTGATGAATTTTAATGTTTTAATGTTTAATAAAGATTGTTACTTTGATGAAATACACGACTAAATATAATGCATAATATATATACTACATTCTAAAAGGAATATCTAGTAAGTATGTTAGAGTATACTATAGACAAGCAATACACTTCGGTATGCAATTTTTTTTCAGCAATTATTGTTCTCCTCATAGAAAATTGTACATTCCACACTTGACCAAGTATTTATATATATATATAAATTTATATATATGTGTATATATATTCATATATATATATATATATATATATATATATATATACAGTATATAATTATATATATACCGTATGTCGTTACATATATCTGTATAAATATACAAAATACATACTGATTCTATAAATATAATACAATTTTTGTACTAACAAAAGAAGAATAGAAAGAAAAAAACTTATTCACATAATTGAAAAAGCCTAATCTTTTTCAAAATTATGTAATAATTTATAATATTTGCAAACTATATGTTTTCTTTAAAAAAGAAAGATGCCTTATACCTGTTATTGAGAAAAGTGAAATTAAACGTCTCCTTGCTCTACACGTTCTACATTGATCTCTTAGAAATAAATATTGACTAAGCCCCTACCTATTTACTTAATTCGGCCAAAGCACCACTGAAGCATATATAGTAAGCCTATAATAAAAAAAACGTGAATCAACTTGGATATATTTAAATATAATTAATAATATAGCTATAAAAAAATTTTATGGCATTCCTTTACTAAAATTTCTGTGTTAAGGGGAGGAATTTTCCTTGTTACGTAATCATTAGAGAAAGCAGAAAGTTGAAACTCCTTACGAAGAAATCTAATACTAACAACAACAGATACAATACAATAGTGAGAAAAATAATAATAATAAAAATAACAATATAATGCAAAAAATACTAATAATTCTAAAAAAATTGTCCAAGGACAGTTTATGTTAGTATGAAATATCTGTCATTTTTTTGTCGTAATTATCCGTCTAAAGTAGACTTCTTTAGTTTAAACTTTGCAATAAAAGAAAACAAGGAAGCAAAAGGAAATGCGAGAGAAGAGGAGAAAAATAAAGAATTCGTTAGAATGAGGAAAAATTTCATCCTTTGCACGTCTTTACCATTTCTGCTCGTAACGAGATATTTATAATACTGTAACAACACTAATTTCTTCAATATTTCTTTCTTTTTTGTATTTAGTACGAGAATAAGTATGTCATCTGGTCTGCTAGGTTTTTGAGACATATGCGTCTTGAGGGTTAAGCCCTGATGTAAAGTAGATTGTTAGGGAGGGTGGGGGATATCTTATAGCTTTTAAGCACTTCCATTTCGCTTGGTTTTTATCGAAAAAGTATAATCCATTAGTTAGACGCCAAATGGATTCAAATTTATCATCTCTAGAAACACCTTTTCAACGGTTTCTTTTAGACTAACTTCATCATATCAACTTGGAAAACAATGCTTATTTATTCATTTATGACTTTATTCATTTATTACTTAACTTGAATATATCAATAAAAGGTCGGTATAAACTTTTTAATGTTACTAGATAAAGATAAGATATTACGCAACGCCTACAAAAAAGTTACTTGAGGAAAGGAAAGTGATTTATTATTCCTTTTTAAACGTTGTACATTCATTTAATAACAATTTATTCTTATTTATGGGCCTTAATAGATCAAACATCAATATTATTCAAGGTTAAGTCGTGTCCTTTCTATTTAAAGGTATACATAAAGAAGATATTAACATTGGTCCATTAATAAATTAATTTAGACAGATTATGAATTATATAAAACAAATTAGTATTGTTCCACAGCTATTACATACTATAGAAATGAGGTATTATTCGTACTGAAAAGTAATATACAAAAGAAATAGAGAAGGAGAGAGAAAGAAAGAAAGAAAAAGGAAAAGAAGAGGAAAAAAGAGATGATGAATAAAGAAAGAAGTAAATAGTAGAGAAGAAAACATAAGGAATAAAATTTATGTGAAAAGACACAACAATTACAATTTTTATTTAATCCTTTACTTAAGCTTACAGTTTGATCAAGTTTAGCAGTATTTATTCAATACGAAAGTAAACTAGGAATCTAAGTAAAGAAAATTATAAATGTATACATATCTTAAAGAAAGTTAACTGTTAGCTTTAATATTTTGTTAAAAAGAAAAGATTGCAGAGGGAAAAAAAAAGATGAAACAATGTAAGAATAAGAAGAAAAGTGCTTCCTTTCTTTTCAATATAATTCTATTTCTTTTTTATCTACTATATTGTTTTAAAAACTACACCCTTACTTGACGCGTACAGTTAATACAAGTAGATAGTTCTTTCTCTATAAAGTAGATGGCAGCAGTCATGAGAGTGGGTGGCGAAGCGAGAATACAAAAGTAATAGTGATAATAATAGAAAATTGAACAGTCGTTTAGAACTATAACCCCAATAGGCCTTATTTTGAGGACATAAATAGTGGGCCACAAAACTATGATATACAAATTTGCATTTAAATAGTGAGGTGTAGGCCCCCATATTATAAAAAAATCAATTTGATCCTATACACAAAATATATAGAGTAACAGAGAGAGAGGGAACGAAATAAAAATCGAGAGAGTGCGTACTGTAAAATAGTAACTGGTACTTTTTATAAACACTGCTGCCTGGTTGGTTGGTGCAGTTTTTGCAGTTGGTGCTCTTCGAGGCGCTTTGCAAATATACATTATATTAAATATGTGAATTGTGAATCAGCATTACGCGTTGGGCGTGTGCGATATTGTTGTATTCGAGCAACTTTTTGGTTAGAAAACAGACAGTCTCTTCTCTTAGAACAATAAATATAATCACGATTATCCTTTGATCATTAATAATTAAAGGTAAGTAGTTACCAAGTTACTTTTCACCCTTTATTTATAAATAAAGATAAATATAGCGAAAGATTATATCTTAACTGAATAGAGATAATTTTATCTCTGTTTCTTTTGCAGAATTCTCTAAAAACTATGACTAAAGTTCAACAGTCAGCCGAAGTTCATACCATCGACCTCAGAGGTATAGCAGGAGCAATATTGGTATTTATTTCGAATAATATCTTTAAATTAAAAAGAAATAAAACGAAAATTTTTTATCAATTATAAACAGGCCCTAGCAGTTGCTGCTATTTTAGCCGGAGTTCTCGGATTTGCTACTTCCGGTTGGTTAATTCAAGATCGTTCAAATTCTGAAACTACCCAACATGGACTTTGGGAAACTTGCAATTGTGACACGATTAAAATTAAAGATAGGCAAGATTGGTTTCAAGCTGTTCAAGCCCTTACTACTATTGGTTTAGGATTTGGGGCCATAGCACTTTTGGGAGCAGGATTTTATGTTTGTATTCATGGCTGCTGTACAAAGGGTGGAATGCTTATCACGGTCCTTATTGGATCTATATGCTCTGGTAAGTTAGAGTTCATCATTTTCAAAAATAATAAATACAATATAGAATAATTAGAGAGATCGTAAGAAAAAAAAAGAAGACTCATCCATTTTTAATTGTTCTCCCTGTTCCATACAAAAAGACAGAAATAACAAAAAGTTATACAATTATAACCGTACATTTCTAATAGCATAAGTAGTGCAAAAAATTATGACATCATGCGAACGAATGAGTGGTTAATGAGCGAATTGCTTTAGAGAATTTCTCCCTATACACTAAAAAAGAAATTGTTCACTTAGCGAAATTATTTTCCATTTTTTTCTATAGCTATTCTATTCTTTCTATTTTTGTAATATACACTATTTATATACTTGTATATAGTTACATGGTTATCCCTTACCCTATTTAGCTATCTTCTCCGTTGTTGGGTTAATTATATTTGCCGTTAAGAAGAACGAACTAAAAAGAGGTGGATCACACGAGGACAACCCATCACTATCTTGGTCATTTGCTTTTATTGCTATTGGAGCTGGATTTTTCGTAATTGTTGCTGTCCTAAGCAGCATTCAATTTTATAGAGCTCGACGTTAAATCAGAAATCAAAACAAGAATTAGTAGAATTTCCTTAGAAATGCTTTAATTTCTATCTGAAATTTATTTCCTTTTGTTTTTTTTATTATTTTTCTCTTAATTTTTTTGACATAAAAAGAAAAGTGAAAATCTTCATCTTTTTAAAATTAAGAAACAAACAAAATCAAAGTCTAAAATAATTAAATTAACAAAATCGTACCAAATGAAAAAAATATTAGCCAATCGTATATTTTTTAGGCCAATGCCAATAAAACATGTAATTAATATCTAATTAAGAACTCCTAAACAGTTTTATACATATTTTTCCTTGTTTTTTTTATGTTAACAGAAATTTTTACCACCAATAACCTATTTTTGTTTTTAACTTTTGTTTTCTATTTTTTAATTTTACCTTTTATGTCTGTTTTTTTTTTTATCGCGAATTAGATTGTTTTGCATTTAGGATAAATAATTGAAAAAAAATCTAACTTTTTAACTCTTTTCTTTTGAACATGAAAAGAAAGAAAAAGACGAATGAAGGTTGAAATCTTTTTCAACTTTCGATAATAATGTTTATCTTCTTTCTTTTTAATTTTTGTTCGGAAAGAAATAATGGAAAAAAAGTGAACAACTTAAAAAAATTGTGTCAAAAGTTTGCTGTGAATTGAATTAAAACTTCAAAAGGAAATCCTATTGATAAAGAGAGATTTTTTACGAATAATAATCTAATATACTATATTATTATAGCTAAATATCTATAGTTAAATGGTTGTAATAATCATTTATATTTTATTTAAAAATCTCTCTTATGATTGGCCTTTTTACTTATGAAAAATGATATAAACTATTCTCTTTTGAATAAAAGTTTTTTCTCTTTCCTTTTACTTTCTTTTGTCTTTGGAGATTGAATTTGCAAAGTAAAAAAAGATGAAAAAAAACAAAAGATTATTATTGTATTAAAATTTCTTATAGTAAAAAAGCCTCTTCTATATTTTAAGTTTAATTATAAAAAAAACATCAAGTTGAAATAATATTTACAAAATATATCCAAGTCTCTACTAAAATTTACAAAGGATGTACAACAAAGTGAGAAAATAGGGTATTTTTACAAAAATATATCGTATAATCCTTATGCAATGAATATGCGGTAAGCAAAGAGAAAAGGGTGGTGCATAAAAGTTTAACAAATAAAAAATTCCTGGATGCAGCGAACACTAATGTAAATTTGTATTTTTATAGTTTTCATTATGCTTAACCATCGGTAGAGAATATTAATGAAAAGGTCGTTCAAAAACTATATATAACATTTACCTAGAAAACAAAACAATAGTCATTTTTAGTAGTGTTTTATATGTTAGTCAGGGGAGAAAGGTGTTCATAATTGTAATATTTTTACCCGCGCCCTTTCAGCAAATATGACATGAAAATTTTAGCATTAATCTCCATTTATACAGATAATTTATAAGCTATTCATTAAACAATATATTTAGAAGCCTTTCCAATAATATTAAAATGTAACAAACTGCTAATATAAATCAACATTTCGGTGTAGAAAGTTGTAAAAGAGAAAGAATTAGAGATATAAATTACAAAAAAAAACATTCTATTTCCTAAGTTTTAATACGTATTGTAATAAAATATATAGGAAATATAAGGAATAAAACATGCTAGTAATCAATAATGAAAAGATTAAATTCTTTCTCTTTTCTTTGATATCTTAGTCTTTTTTGTTTTGTGGAAAACCTCATCTAGAAATTGTTAAGATTTTAATGTCAATTATTATTTATATTGAAAGGGATATCTGACAGAATATTCATTTTTTTACCATTAATATATACATACAATTCCGGATATTTATTTCGCTTACGCCAATTTTACAACAATATGGTCGATGCTAAAAATTATTGATATTTTCAATATGAATGAAACGAATAGATGAAAAAGTTAATTGAAAGCCTATTATACTTTAATAATGAATTGTATGAAATTCAAATGGGCAAAATTCTTTTTTTTGTTATTTTACGTATGCTTTAAACATCACACAACTGTACATCTATAATTATAGTATTTACAACTCATAGTATACATACGATATATAGTATATATAAATTTATATATATATACTGTGTATTTACAGTGTAGAAACTAATTTGTACATGATGTACTGTGTATTTCAAAAGAAGAAAGCTCTCAATGAGATTATTACAAGTACTGACTCTAGCCTAAGGGTATTCATCTTTTTTTAACCAGATAACCCCACCTTCTTAGTTTATTATACAAAAAAATAGGTATATTAATAAATAGATGGCAAAAGACTTTTGAAGAAAAGGGGAATTTTCAATTGTTAATGTTATAGAGTTCATTTATTTAGTAAAAATTCCCAAGAAATACACGACACTGAAACAATTGCAAAGGTAACGGGTTCTGCGCTTTCTTTGATAATTCATTAAAACTTAAAAGCTGGAAAATTTTCATTAATCGTAATTTTTACAAAGACAATTCAACATTCAACTAAAATAATATTTTACAAAGCTTATTGGTTAGGTTTCTTCCAATGATATTTCAAAAACCTTTAATTAAAATATATTTAACTTTCATTTAATTATTCAAATATTACAATAATGCATAATTTATAATGATTTTATTATATAATAGATAATTTTTTTGCTTGTAGTTATACGGTTTTGAACTTGTTATTCAAGCTTAATAGAATAATCCTCTCCTAACGTTTCTTAAGTAAGTTATCTCAATCTACGAATGTTACAGTATACAGTATAATCTGTTTAAGTTCATATATGAAATACATAGACTAAATATCTTTAAGGGATAAATAAATGATAGAAATAAATTTTAATAGAGATACGTTGCAGTATGTAATTCTGTTTGTTTTTAATAAAAGAATATTACTACAATAAAGAAAAATCAAACTGAAATTATAAACTAATATTCATTATCTAAAACAATTCAGAATCTATTGTAATTAAGAATAAATCTCTTCTTTTTAATCATATAAAATAACTATAGGAAAGCAACTAATAGTAAATAAATTGTTAAATGTTTACCTTAAAGAAAAGTCGTACGAGTGATCGTTAGCTCTAGCCTTTGTAAGATCAAAAAAGAAAATATAAAGTTAATCCATTACGTTCATACCTGCCATCTATAGCCTAAAACTATCTTAGTATTGTAATGGAATAGAAAATAAATGAGGCCTTTCTCTTTCTTTCATTATCTTACTATTTTAGATTATTAGTTTAGCTTAAAAAGAGGGAGAAGCAATTATATAGATTACAAGTATTATAATAAACATAGGCCTAGAAAAAACATAATGAAATTTATAATTAGAAAATATTTCTTCAGCCTATTTTTCAACTAGAAAAAAACCTCAAAGACATCGATATATTAAAAATAGTTATCAAAGGAAAAACAGATTACTTGCCGAAATTATCTAGAATCGTAATCTAATGGTCAATAATCGTCAAATTAAAGAAATAGGTAAAAATTCTAATATAACATGAATATTTATACCCCTATTTCCAAGTGATATACAAAGAAAAAGATTATGAAGAATTTGCCTGGTTTATTTCTAAAGAAAGTAACAAGTCATACCTTCTTAGAAAATTTCAAACGCAAATTCTCTTTATTTAGTTCGTTAACTAGAGGGAAGGCTTAGTATGGACTGAGAATTCATACGTAATTATACCAACTTCCCGCAAGTACATTATTAAAAGTATTTAACATTTTACATTGTTTTTTGTTGTTTTGTTTTGTTTATGTAATTCAACGTGTGTACAGCATGTAAAATTTGAAGTTTGGCTTTATGTACAATTTTTTTAGCTCTGCATAAAAACTTATAGTATTTGTAACATAAAAATGTAAATTGTTATTAAACAAGAGAAAGTCGATAAATAGTAATAATATACAGAATATTCTATTTGCGAAAGATAGACAAAAATGGCTGTCTATTTATAGTCAATAAAATATGTATCTTTATTTAAAAAGTACTATCGCTAAACCGATTTATTAAAAATTTAATCATTTTCATATTACAGTTCACACTAAGTTAACGAATAATATTTTTACAGATTCAAGCGACAAGATTATGTTAACTTCTATTGTAACCATGCTAATAGCTGGCTTCAGTTTTGCAAATAGCGTTGAAATTATTAAGGGACATCGAAACTTGACAGAATATTATATAGGAGATACAAACTTGATTATATCAGTACCTCACAACGGTCTTAGTTCTCCAGATGACATTCCAGGTATATATTTGCTGATTCAGTGGGACTAGACTGTATAATCTTCAAAATGTTTCTTGCGTTCTATATACGCTGTCTGAGTTGATTATACTAGCATACATAATACGAATTATACTGTATACTGTATGTATTCATATTTAAATAATGAATCTGTTCTATTTTCCAGATAGGAAAAATGGGTGTAAGGATAATACTGGAAAATGTATATGGAAACACAATTGTACAACTCCATCAACGAGTTGTAAGCCTACTACGGTTACGGATTCTCATACAAGAAAGCTAGCTATGCTTTTGTATGAGTCGTATAAAAATGAAACCAAAAGGAGTCCTCATATGATCATTAGCAACTTGAGAAGAGCAAAAATGGATCCCAATCGAAATAGACAAGAGGGTGCATACGATAATACGGAAGCACTAAGAGTATATGATGACTATCATGGCTTTATAAATCAAGCAAAGAATTCTATAAACAGTTTTGGTCTCTTGTTAGATATTCATGGCCAAAGCCATGCTGAATTATGGATTGAATTGGGCTACTTATTCAGCAGAGAAATGTTAAATACCAATGATACAAATCCGGAAACATCTTCAATATTTTCCTTGAGCAAAAGATTCAAGAATGTAACTTTTGAGAATTTACTCAGAGGATCGGAAAGTTATGGTAAGCTTTTGGATGATTTATCTTACAAAACTGTTCCGTCTCCTTCCTACTGGAGTCCTGGAAATGGAAGATATTTTCGTGGAGGATATATAACTCAAACTTATGGTTCGAGAAATGAAGGTGAAATTGATGCTATTCAAATTGAAAGTCCAAGAAATTTAAGATTTACGCCGGCATTAAGAAATAAATATGGTAAAGATTTGGGGACAATTACAGCACAGTTTATGGACAAATATTACAAAAGACAAGATTCAACAGACCCTACAAGTGGTATGAATGGTCTCAACAATGCAAGAAATACTATATCACTTTATTTATGCCTTTTAATTTCTGTATGTTTAGCAAATTTCTAAGAAGTTTACTGACCTTATGAGCATTGTTAGAAAAAAAGGAGAGCGCTTCAATATAATATCTCTGTATATGAAAAAATCTTTTATATATATTCTTTATACCTTTTAAGATTTTCACTCCTACGATCGTTTTTCAATAAATATTTACTATTCAATAAACATTATTTATGAGAGGAACATTTCAATAATATCATTCACATAAACCTTATTCTGAGCCTAGTGCTTCTTACTCAAATGACAAGTTCACTAACCTTTTGCCGGTTGTCAATTATTAACTGAACGAAATTCAGTCAAAATGTTTAATTAACAATTAAGTTCCTTTGCATTCAAAATTTTATGATAAAGACTTTAATAAAGATGTTTATTACGTTCTCTAGATTAATATCGAAATTCTTCTTCTTTAGTTTCTACCGTAGTTTGAATAAGAATACTCATGATGAAATGGTAAAACATTTCCAATTAACTATAAGATTCTATTACGAAGAAAATGACAGTGTTTTATCTTTGCCTTCTAATAGAATTGTATTCTATATTAGTTAACTATATCTGAAACATTACCTGAAGAAAAGCTTTCAATCACAACTTATGACATTCTTAAAGTAGACCGTAATAAGTCTGCATAAAGCTTACGACAGCACTGCCAAGGTCTTGACCGAATTTGGTTCTTTTTGTAGAGCTGAATCGAATATTTTTTGGAGCCTCGACTTGAATTGCGTCTATATTTCCGCCATTTTTGGATCCATATGTTTTTACTATAAAGCCGCCACTGTAATAATTACCAGACGCTGTTGGATCGGGATTGTTTGGGGAAGGTACGACAAGTTGTGAATGGTCATTCAGTAGTTTACCAAGGCTGTTTGGACCTCTTACTAGATTCTCAAGACCAACATTATTGAATCTTGAATCCAGAGCTCTTATGGAAGAGATTGATGGAATCCAAATATTGTTAACTAGTTGATATCTTGAGATCAAATAACCCAATTCAATCCACTCCTCTGGATGCGTTTGACCATGCATATCAATAAGAAGACCATCTCCCGAAATGGCATTCTTTGCTTGATTGATAAAATTATGAAAATCATTGTAGACTTGAGTTGCCAATGGGTCGCCAAAAGTAGCTTCATTTACTTCACGATTAGGATCCATCTTTTTCCTTCTCAGTTCACTAACTATCATATGAGGGTAGAGACCAGTCAACTCATGTACCTTATCGTAAAATTTCGTGGCAATAGATTTTGTGTAACTATCACCTGCAGTTCTAACTGAACAGGAGTTACTTTGTTGGCCGCAGTTGTGTGTATAAATGCAATTATTATTTTGATCTAAGCATCCATTGTGCCTATCTGAAAATACATGGAAAGGATAAAGATACAAAATGAAACTGTAACATTTCTTTTTCTATTATTACCCGGAATATCTGAAGTTGTCTTCAATCCATTATGAGGAACAGATATAACCAAGTTCATATTGCCAACATGATAACTTGTATAGTCACCAACTCCATGAAGGATTTGAACTCCATTAGAAGAATGGAGTAGAAAGCAGATAAAAGTTAAACAAGCAAACTTTATCATTTTTATTTTGTCTGGTTCTTGTTGGTTGAAATAAAAAGTTTTCGCCTTTTTATAGAGGAAATTTAGTACAACGAGATCAAGGTGTTGATTTAATAATCAATAGACAGCATGTGGTGAATTTAAGTACAACTGAACTCCTTTAGAGGGTAATATCCTCCCTACGAAATTTTAAGTAATGAAAGATTGTTAGGGGAGTAACTCTGATAAAAGAAAAGGTGACAACCATTATGCTTTTCAAACTTTAAAGAGAATATTTAAAGCGTATATCACTTATATTCTTATTATTGAATAAAGTCATTTTCCAAAAAATAAATGATATTCTATTTCTACTTCTATCAAAATATGCAAACATTAAACATAAAGGTCATTTCATAAATTTTAAATAGTTTAAATTAATAAATATTTACTTCTTTACATTACTTTTGCTATATAAATAGACTTTTATGTTTGATGTGTGCATATTTTGATAGAAGTGGAAATAGAATATCATTTATTGTAAAATCATTATAAGTTCATTATTGGTATATTTGGTATACTCCTCTATTCCCTTTATCACTTCATTCCCCTATTTTTTTTATATAAATATTTAAAAAGCTACAACTACTGATTCTAGCAAAGTTCTAAGATTGAAATTGAAATTTTCAATACATAAACTCTATTTAAATATAAAATATTCAAAATGAATGAAAAAAAAAGCTATGGTGAGAACTTGAAACTACTCTTATCTTATCGTTTTCAATAATCTTACTTGTTTTAACAATTTTATATCGCTTATCTTTACACGTAATAGCTTATGCTTTTGATGAAATTGATAAGGTTTCTTCTTTTTTATTATTATCAGTTATCCAAAACCAGATATTTCAAGTTGAGGATGAAAATGATTGAAAAATGAACTAAAGTTATAAATAATAATTAAAGCAAAAATCTATATATTATCATTGTAATATTAAAATAACTGTTGTTTATTTGTTCCATTCTAGAGCTATTTCAAAATATTTATTGATTTTAAAAAAAAATTTTCTGCGGCTATAGTCCTATATTTAGTATCAACTTAGGTAGATGTACCACACACACCGGCCTATCTTTTCACACCATATATAAAAATAATGCTTACAAAAAAAAAACCTTATATCTCTGAATAGGTCATAGAAACTACTAGACAATGATTAACGATTCTCTATGTTCAATTCTTTTTTTCATTTTTCATTCCTCGAATGGTGTTCCAGTTCTCCACGGCCAAGATAGCCTTACTACCTACTACGTTGGCAACATGAATTTAATAATCACTGTTCCTCATAATGGTCAAAAGGCTCCAGTTAATATTTCAGGTTACTAAACGATAATTGTTTGCTTAAGTTTAAGTTAATTTCTAGTTTAATACTTCATAGATAGAACAAAAGGATGTACTGATCAAAACAACAACTGTGTTTGGTCCAACAACTGCAGTCCACAGTCATCGTCGTGTAAAGCAATTACTATTGGTGACGGATATACCAAGAATATTGCTATGAAGTGTTACAATAGGGTTCACGAGTTGACTGGTCTATATCCTCATATGATCATTAGCGAATTAAGAAGGGTAAAGATGGATCCAAATCGTGAGATAAATGAAGCTACTTTTGGTGATCCAATAGCGATTCAAGTCTACAATGACTTTCACGGCTTCATTGATCAGGCAAAAAATTCTTTTTCAGAGCATGGCCTTCTTATTGATATGCATGGTCAAACTCATCCAGAGCAGTGGATTGAATTAGGTTATTTGATCTCAAAACATAAATTAGTAAATAATATTCTAGACCCGTCAACTTCATCAATTAAATCTCTAAATTCAAGATTCAATAATATAAGCTTTGAGAGTCTATTACGAGGATCAAACAGCTTTGGAAAATTACTGAATGACTATTCTTATAATGTTGTACCTTCTCCTAACAATCCCGATCCAACAGCGTCAGGTAATTATTATAGTGGAGGATTCATAACCAAAACCTACGGTTCATCAAACTGCGGTAATACAGATGCAATTCAAATTGAAGCACCAAAAAGCATTCGATTTAATTCTTCTATCAGGAATAAATTTGCTAGAGATTTGGGTGACGTAATAGTAACTTTCATGCAAACATACTATGGACTTGCTAAAACTGATTAAGTCAACAAGAAGAAAGGGACTCTATTGACTATTGAGAAAAAGTCATTCTAAAACTATTATATATACTGTATATATAAACTGAATATGTCTGTATTTAAAGAAAAGCAAACCTTTAAACAAGATTGGATTAATCGACCAGATAAAATAAAGCTAAAACTTTTAAACTGCTTTATTTACCTGAAAACTCTCCTTACATACAGATTTATACAACGCCATTTGTTTCCCTTTTATATCATTAAAAATATGCCTATTTACATATATATCTGTATGTACTTTATACTGACTTTCTCTTCCCTTTATTTTCTTTTGTAAGTAGACCTATAATGCTCATTTTCATATTATTACTAAATTATTTAAGTATATCTTCTTATAATTTATAGCATTCTTTTTTAATAAATGATATTGTTTAGTTATTGAACATAAAATTCTCTCCGTCAGTATTGTTTTTAATAATCTTGGGTTTTTATTAATTAATTTATGAAAAAAATCCCTTTTTTATACGGTAATTAATTAAATATTCATGAATAATAAAGTTATTTATTAATTGTAATAGTATAGTAATTATAAAAAGAATTTAAAACATTTTTCTCGTACAAATACGCCATCTATCGGTTTATATTGTTTCAGTATTATTAGACGAAAAATGAAGAATAAAACTCCACCGGGATATCTTTTGAAGAAAGAGAAAAATGGGAAAAATAGAGAAAGCGACATTTAATTTTTTAATTAATTTTACTGGAAAAAGATTTGCAGAATTTCTTCACTTTTTCGTCGCATAGTTTACATCTTAACCTTTGTTGGTCAAGTGCTAATTGAATTCTTTGAGATTTAATTACAGTAAGATCAGATTGCTTCTTACGTAATTTCCTTTCCTGCTGAATTTGTTTCTTAAGATCTTTTTCAGCATGCGAAGAGTCGAAATAACTTTTTCTTTTATCCCAACTTGGCTTTCGGGGAAGATATTTTGGTACTTCAATATACTTTTTATGAGGCGTCTCATCCCTTGACCATATTGGAAGACTTTTTGCATCTTCACAACTATTATCATCGAAAGAAAATTCACTAAGGCAATTTTCAGATTCGGCATAGGAAAATTGATCATTTCTAACTATGTCTGGAGTATCGTTGTAAGCAGGAGGTTTATAGAAGATATCATAATACTTTGGAGTAAAAATAGTCCATGCGTTTCTAACTTTATGTTCTTCTTGAACGGCCTGAACAGGCGTTAGTCCTATATCTTGAAAAGTTGAAGCTCTATCCCTGTATAGAGTTGAGGAAATTGCTGTTTTGGGTCTACTTTTAACTTCTTCATTTGACTCGTTAGAGTTGAGTTTCTTGGCTCTTTCTTGAATACCGGCACTCTTAACTCTCATCACTCTTTCCCACCTGAGAATATCAATAGGCTTTTATTGAGCGTAAACGAATTAATACTTAATTAAATCATTCATCAAGAAAACACTTTAAACGTTAAGTTAGCCGCAAATTTATGTTTATATTTCTATATTCACCTATTCATATAGCCGATGGAAAGGTTGGCCTCGGAGTTAATTTGATCAATTTCTTTGAAGAGTTTAGCATCCTCCTTTTTGTTTCTTAGGCAAGCGTTTCTTTCTTTTTCTGTTTGGGAGGCAACCGGAGGGGGTAATTTCCTTCTACTTAAGAAATATTTACTATCCGGTCTGTCAACGCGCTTTTCAATTCTTCTAATGATTGTTCCGAAGGCATTCTTTGGCATTGGGGTAATATCCCTAATTTCCTCAATCGTAGACGCCCTTATCATTTAACTTTAAGTACTCTCTTGAACGTCACCGGCAAGAATGAATGGTGAAAGAAGAGAAAAAAATTCAATATTGTTATAGAAACAAGGTTATTGGACGCTTAGAGTTCGCTAATCAATGTTCTCGTTAGCGATGTCAAAGACAATATTTAGTTATTTATCGATTACAAAACTCGTTTAACTATAAGTTTGAACAGCCTTTTCAGGTCCATTAAGAATTTCTTTCTAATTCCTATTACCACAAAAAATTTAAGCTGTAAACAGCTTTATATTTCGATTTTTCCCATTGATCTTTTTTTCTTTCCCTTCTCTCTGTCTCGCTCTTTTTCCATTTTTATCCATAAAAATGATTGTCCGATATGCGAATTGAAAAAAACAGTCATAACCAAAAAGGAAATAAAAAGAAAAGCTGAAAGGAAAAGCAAAATTGATTTTTTTTATTTTAACAACTGATTTTCCTTTTTTGTTTATAAACTATATATACAGTATGCAGTATATATGCAGAGAACTGCAAAAGATACCGCAAAGTATATAAAATAAAAGATGCACAATTTGTAAAGATTTTAATTAATAGTATATAATACTTTAATTATTATTTTATAGAATTCCTAACGGAATTTAATTATTTTTATGACGTCAACCTATTACACTCATCAATAATTTTTTCATATAGAGACGCTGTTTTTTTCATTGATATGATTATAGATATATTATTCCGCTTTGTTAACTTTAGAATATTTAATTAGTGAACTCTAATAAATAATAAAAAACCAAGCCTTTTCAGGCTTTTATTTCCCTTATGAAACTTTTCATGTGACAAAACGTGGGTGTATATAATAGCATGTTTGAGGTGGCGCTTCAATCAATTTCATTTTCGCTCCTCTGTGTATATTTGCATAATTATATATTCCATATATATATATAAGTATATATTTAGCGCAGAATATATTAATTTTATTTAAATACACAAGAAATTTATGCTGAATCATCTAAAGTTAGATTATCGAATTTAAGTATACATGCCGAGAAAAGAGAGGAAGAGAATCTAAACTATATTTTTGTATTCCACTCAAGTTTATATACTTTTCATAAATTTACATATGTTTCCTTGCCATTATCAAAAATATTTAAATTATCATCATTATCAGCATCGCCATTACCATCGTCGTTGCCGGCGTTGATCTCCGCCTGTCTAGTTATCTAAATTCTAATGATGAACTTTTGAACTTGTACAGGGTTGACCACGGCTACGAGGGGAAGTGAAAGAAAGAAATATAATTAAGAATTTTAAAATGACAAACTATAATCTAAAGAAAAGAAGTATAATTACTTAAAAGGATCAACAATTTTGTATACTCGACCCTGGGGATCTGTTGGACTTGGCACCATAGTGGAAAGGAAGTATTGTTCTCCTGAAAAATTGATAAATTTAGACAACTTTATATCTATAATATATAAGAAATCTAATTAGTTTGTTTAATTTACCATCTTCATCTTCCCCCCAGGAGAGGATTCTAGGGGCAAAGGTGTTTGTCAAGCCTTGTGCGCTGCATACTTGTGAGCTACATGTTTTTACCTCTTTATCTTTCCAGACACCTAATATAGATTTGTATTATTGGAGATATCTGAATCTTATAATCAAATTTTTATTGTTCTTACCATTTTCTTCTTTGATTCTAAACAATTTTCTGTAGTTGAATGGAAAGAATGAAGTATTGAAATTTTGATCTCTGTTTGAGGATTTTGTATAGCAATCGTTAACTTACCCATTCATGTAGTCCCCAAAGAAAAAGAGACCGTTAAAACCAGGACTTTCACAACCTCTGTAGACAAAACCTCCAATTATACATTGACCAATTGAATGATTGTAGGCGTAAATAGGGAACACTTCCGGTCCTATTATCAAGATTAATTCATTGGTATAAATTGAAACATTATTAATTATGACTAATAAGACTCGTCGATAAATTAAACGAGGTTAAAAGGGAAACGAATGACAACCTATGTTTCCGCAAAGATCTGGTTTATAACACTCAGGTCCCTCTCTAGCAGGCCAGCCGAAATTTCCCCTGCTCTCCAGAATATCAATTTCTTCCCAAGCGCTTTGTCCAACATCTCCCATAAAGATTCGTCCACGGCCTTCCCCAGTTTGTCTATCCCCTCTGTCTATACCACCTCTCCATGGATTTCTCCAGCCGATAGAATATAACTCGGGGAGAGCATTGGTCTCATTCAAATACGGATTGTCTGATGGGATTCCGTAAGGTTTACCAGGACTAGTAGTGTCAATATCGATTCTTAGAACTTTTCCTAGCAAAGATTGCCTGGAGTAAAATCAGGATGAGTACTTTAGCTTTTAGATTGCAAGGAGATTGCGCGAACGCAGGTCTCCCACTAACAAAAATTGTACGGCCGAGTTGCCACAATGTGTGGCAATCGCAGGCGTCAGCGGACCCGAAGTGCAATGAGTCCACCTCATCCTGAGGAGTGCGCCTTAGTGATCGCGCCGCTCCTTCCGCCAGGTAAGTATGCTTAACTCAGCCACATGCGGGCTTCATAACTTGCCAAATGCCACGAGCCAATTCTTATATCTAATTTGCATGTTGAGTTCAATAAATTTGTAGTTAGCGAAAATTGCTTATAATAGTCGCATTATGTCGTAAAGGGAATTCTGAATATTATTACTATATATAAATACCCTTTATCCTTCAAAATATTCAATTATAGCATGAAATAAGGCGAAACTTATTCATTCAATGCTGCCATCTATGGGCAAATAAGCTAAATAAAAATTCGAAAGTCAATTCTAGCATTGGGAAAGTATTTTAAAATTAGCATGTCTATAAAAGAGAAGACTTCAAATTTAGAAACTTGCGTCCTCTGTCAAAGATTTTCATTTTTTAGCTCTATAAACTTTATCTAGTTGAATTGATTATAATATGAAACCTTTGAGTTAAGCCTGAGAATGTTACAAAGAGAATACAAATCAGAAAGTAAATAGTCAATAATACAAAAAAAAACGTTCGCCACATTCTGTAAGAAAGTAATAGAATAAAATCTCTCATTATCAGAATATTTGTTAAAATATGTTGTAAAAGACGACTACTAGGACTAGGACTATATTCTATCTAATATTTCAGAATTGATTAAGTAATCAGTGTTGGCTATAGTTATATGTGTATGTATAAATGTATACACGTGTTTTACGATAATATTAACACTTAGTATTGAAATTGTTCATATGCAACTGACTTGTTTTGGGCTAAATCAAAAGGATCTCCTGCTAAACCTCCATCTCCGGTAAACAAGTATAATAAACCATCAGTCCCAAAGATAATCTATAATTTATATTGAATAATTAATAAATATCTGATATAAATAAGTTTGCTTACATCTCCACCGTTATGGTTACCGAATGGTTGTAAAATATCTAGAAGAATTCTTTCAGACGTAGGATCAACTTTATTGGGATCATCAAGTGAAGTTGTAAGCTCGGCTAATCTTGTATGATGATCATCTTATGCAACATACGAAGCAAATAAACTTTTTAGGTTTTAAAAATTAAATGAAAAATTTATACCATCTATTACAAGCGAATACCAAACATAACTCTTTCTATTATTTCTATAATTTGGATGAAAAGTAAGAGCCAAAAATCCTCTTTCATCACCAGGTCGGTCGGATGTTAGAATAACTTCCGTTAAATTCAAAAATGGTTCTTCCAATTTTGTACCATCAGATTGAAATACCCATACAAGGCCTATTTGTTCAGCGATAAAACGTCTTCTAGTACCATCGTTGGCGTGGGTTAAGCGAAGGGGGTTTTTAAAATCACGAGCCTCTACTAATTCTTCAAGGCAAATACAACTCGGTTCTGGTGTTTGAGCTGAAATATAAGAAAGAGCAAGGACCATAAAACTAATTAGATACAGCATTTTGCTATACTGCTCAGTTCAATTCGATCTAAACAGATAAGTATATAAATGATAATTGAATTTTTATTTGAAAACTTTGTGGGAAAAAAGCGCCTGGCAATCAAGCGATAATTGTCTCGGTGAAAAGATTGATAACCAAACTTTTAAGGTTCGTAGTCAAATAAATGCAACGAATCAATGATTTTTCGATAAAATAAATTGCATGCACTATATCTTCACACTCCAACAAAAATATAGAAAATATACAACCGCACACGTGCGCCACTCTCAGACCATCAATTTTTATTTTGTATGTGATAAAATTCAGTAGTGACCTTATTCATTCAAATATTCTATTTTGAGTTTAATAAATATGTATTGCAAAACATTAAGATTTTCTATTTAACAGATGCATTGAATATAAAAAAGAAGAATATTTTGCAATCTATAGTCAGAAAGTCTTCCCTCTCCCTTCCCCTCTGTAGAAAAAACTCACATCAGTTCAGCGTACTTTAATAAGATGATTTATTATCAATACTCAATTAATTGTCAATGTTTTAAACCAAAGGTCTATAAATAGAACCTGGAATATATATTTATAAATAAACATATATAGATATATATATATATGCATATTTTTTATTAGAAATAAACTATTTCTATTCACTAAATTCTTCTTTATTCAAAAAATAAACATATCAATAGAATCTGTGTTCCCCCGATATGGAGAAAGTTTTTACAAGTTCCAACCTGCTTATCTTTCCAAACTCTTATCGATTGAAAATGAATACATAGTCTCTATTCTCTACGTCCTTCTCTTTTCCCCATTCTCGTTCTTTCTCTCAATTTATCTCTTTCTCAATTTATCTCTCTCTCTCTCTCTCCTACATTCCCGCGTATATTTTTACACCATCTCTTTCAAGTTTAAATAGTTGAAAAATTAACAGTTTCTACTCTTTTATGCTTTAATTCACTGTAATTTGATCTTTCGAAGAAAAACACATATATTATTTATTCTTAACTCCTATAGTTAGATATTTTACTCGAATTTAATCGAATATTTACCAAACGAAAAGAAAATTTTATTGTCAATTCGTGAATTTTTGTATATTCTTTATCAATTGAAGAGAGGAAGATTAACTTTTGAAATTAAATAAATTAATTTAGAACATTTTTAGAACAGCTATTTTCCTTAAATCCTTTACAGTATTTTCCAATGTTTATGGAATCTTTTAGCATTACAATCGATTAGGAGACTTTTTAAGGAAACTATATCCTGTTGACATAGATAGAAATAAATAGAAAATGCTTTGAAAAGATATGGATTAACACTGTTACAATATAAGATAGTGTATATAAAAAGACAAATGTATTTGTTTTCTCTGCTTTCTACTTCTCTCTCTCTCTCTCTGTTTCTCTTGTTATACATTTCCTATGATGTTATTAATCTTTTACCCCATCTTTCCTATAACTTTATTGCTTTCTCGGGATAAGATTGATAGAGGTATTTTAGCTTAAAAATGATTAATAAATGATCGTCTCTTCTCAATTAAGACAGATGGCACTAGTTGAGTCTTATTTAATACTTGTATAATTAACAATGTGTATTTAGCGTATAGGAGTTAAGTAAAATTCTGTTACTATGCTACTAAAGAAAGTTAAAGAAAAAGGTTATTTTCCTCCTTATCCTGATTTTGATCAAACGGGTCATCGGCTAAGCCTCCATCACCGTAAATAAGTATAGCAGACGATCTGTTTCAAATAAAATCTAAAAGATAAAGCAGAGATTTTATTTATTTACAGGCTATCTATAACGCTGCTATAATATAGTGAACAAAAATTTTATACATGATTAAGACATTTAATGGGAAATTTTTGACTGTGAAAGTATCACAATATATATAAATATATAGTTTAAGCCTATGAATAACAGGATTTCCGGTAAAGTAAATAATTAAAACAAAACTTAAAGTTCCGCCGACTAATGGTTTATTTTTTGCAAAATAAAGAGAAATATGTAAAAATGATGTAAATTGATCGAGTTAAGTTTGATAATTAAAGAAATATGCAACACTTATTGACTTTAATACACTAAAATATATTGTATAGCAGTACCTTTTCCCTTACGAAGCATATCAAACGAATATAATTTCTGTCAAATTTTGCTACGCTCTGTCCAATTCTGTTTCATTTGACCGAAACTATTTTGTAATAGGCCCACTTATTCTCGGAACGGATCTGCACCATGGCTGTTAAAGGAGACGCTAGTTAACCTTGAATTTTAAACGCTACGAGGTTCTCGTCATTCCTTGGGACTTTTTATGTGATAAATTGAAGAAAAATGACGAAGGGAATTTGTCGATTGCATATATTTCACGCAGTTACTTTCTAAAGAAATAAATAAAATGACGAGGAGAGAGATTTTGTTGTTCGATTACGTAACCCTTCCCCTTTCCACCTTTCGTTAAAAGCGATGTGCAAGGGTACGTATGGCCTGTCATCTAGTCTTTCAAATCATTTGGAAATTATGGCAAATAGAAAATATTGTATTAGATAGATATAATAGGAGAGATAACTCAAGTCAAGTTAAATATTCGTAAGCACGTTATACTAATATAAAATGCAGTATAAACTATATATATATATAACAATCTTGTTTAACCCTCTAATTTGGTATTAACATAATAATTTAGCATGCAATTAATATTTCTTTTTAGTAATATGCTAATATCTATGTTAACAGTAAATAGGATTATTTTGACAGTTACTCTTTCAGCTATACTCTGTTTTGAATTATTTTAGCCCCTATTCCTTATAGTTTTCCAAGTAGAATATATAAATTTGTATATACTGTATATACAATAAATGAAAGTTGAAGCAATATAGAGGAAAGAACTTGCCAGGAATAATAATTATAATTGTTTTTATACTATATATACTTGATGTTTGCATGGTATTAAATCAATATAAACAATTTTTTTAATAAACATTTAACGATTTACTTTTAGAATGTATTACATTATATTAACAAACAAAAGGAAAAGATCGAATTGAAGGAAAATTTTTCATCGGTCTAATGGAGAAAATCATAAAAGACTGAAATTGTATTAGGTTGAATAAATATGTCTTACCTAAAAAAAGAGTCGCATTCACGAAGAGGTAGGTTCTTGCTATAGTCATAACGAAATTACTCTATCTTATTAGAGATTTTCTCATCTATCAATAAAACAATAAGAATGAGATATCTATATTTAGCATTCAAAATTACAATAATTATAAAAATAATTCATAATATTCAAAATTGACCATATTATCTTAGAAACTGCCTTTCTATTATAGTTAAAAATATTCCACGTAAGATAAATGGACTTTTATCTGAGTTTTCTAATTAGATAAATAGCCAAGGTTAAATTTAAAGAGGTACTTATTATGTTGGTTGTACACCAGAATGAGTATACTGAAAATTAGATTCACAAGAATCAATCCTACGATTTTATTGGAGCGGAAATTTTGACATTTTAGCAAAAAGTTGTATGGGAAAAGTGTTTATCTTTAATGTTAGATAAATTAAAGCCCTCTCTTTCTTTAGTTTATCTTCTTCACTTATTCTCCATCCCTTATTCTTTTTTTGCTCTCTTTTTTTCTTTCTATCTTTCTCTTTTGCTTAACTGTGCTATAGCCTTTTTATGCGATTTATCTCTCCTTTTGTATAAAGATTAATTCTTTGAAAAAGAGCTCAAGTTTTCAGAGTAAGAGAAATTATTGAAAGAAAAGGCTGTTGCTAAAGACACGGGAAAAGTATCTATCTGAAAATATAAAAGTTCCGTTTGTATACTTTGTAAATATGGAATATGAGTATTTCAAATTTCATGTATATTCCCATCACGAATTATTTTTATAGGCCTATCGAGCAAGAAATTCTATATGCTTACAAACAAGCGAACCGGTTGATTGAATTCCGACGGCCGAAATGCAATTTCACTCTCTCTCCCTCTCTCCCAATCCCCTCAACTTCACTCTTGTGTAACTACTTGACGAAACGCTAGATGGCGTTTTACAGGTATTAAATAGGCCTGTTTCTTATCCAAATCTCCCTTTGCGCTCCCGCCCTTTTCTTGCCCCCTTTCTCACTACGGCGTCTTGTCACGCTCTATTTGATCGAAACTAATTTTTTTGCTGTACAAAATTTTTATGCCCCTAAGCATGTCATACTGCAAAAATTAAGGATTCCTGGTAAAGATACAAAGTACAAACTATAAAAGAAAAGTAACGGAGGTTAGGTGAGAGGAAAGTAAAAGGAAGAAAGGATAGTTTCGGGCAGAATTTGGTGAATATTTTATCAGACATCTGCGACTTTATAAAAAACTGATTTTTCAGCGCCCCCTAGTATAGGGAAAAAATCCACCGATAGTTTACTAGAGAGATTCCCACTCCTCAATCATGTAGAAATGACCGTCGGCGTCTCTTGGCCTGAGTGTAGTTATATTCTGGCCGAACGTTCTCGAGCATCCCTCAATATGATCAAGTTTTTATTGGGAATTGCAAATTTTTTACTTCTTTTTCAATTTGCCGGTAAGTTAATCTTTAATTGATAAGAAAAAAGAACGTTTCTCGTTATATTGCAAACTTTATATACCGTTGTAAACGGCATAGGTATAGATATAAATATAATATACTAGTGCATTTATATATCTACTGTATAAAAGAAAAGTTATATCTTATATTTATACATGCGAACGTAAATTATTTAAAAGGGGGAAACCTGTAGATTCTAGTTCCTGCTGCTGTCATATATTTCCAATATATCCAACTATTCGTCTTCCTTTCTTCTTACTGGAATACAAGTCCCGAAATTATTTGTAAGATAAATACATAAATACATAAATTCTCCTCTCTTATCATTTACCAGTTATAGTTTTTATTGATGAAATGTAATTATTCATTAAAGATTCCAATGACTTTTGGAAATTTTTTGTTAGAAAAAACAGTCTATTTATGAATCATCCGTGTTACAAGAACGACAAATATAACGTTTCCACTGTATACATTTTATTGCAGTTGTTACGTAATCAGTTGTATGAGCGTACGTTGGCGTGCATACAAATATTTCTTAGAGCTTTTCTAATAAATGGAAAATTGGTTATTTTAATTACCTTTAACACGAAACTGTTAAAGGATAATGACGTGATATTAACAAATCAGTAAACTCGATAATACCGTTATATTCAATTTTTTTTCTGATATATTTCCTATTGGTTAATCCAAATTGTTGAGTTTTTACTTGTACTTGCATTAGCCAAACTACTTCCTAAAAGATGAATATTAAATGAGGAAACTTTTGTCTAGGGGTTATTTTGTATTTATAAAAGAAAAATATAATAAATAGTAAATCAGTACGAGACTCTTGTAGATTGAATTTCTACCAAAGTGAAAGAAATCCTTCACAGCCTCTTGATTATTAATGACTTGTATATAGTATTTTAAATAGTAAACAAACACCGAGTTTATATTGTCTAATTAAAACATTCTATATGCATATACTTTTATAAGCAGAGATTAGTAAAAAAAAATAGAAAAGAGACAATGAGTTAGCGAGCGAGTTGGTAAGTGAGAGAGAGAGAGAAAGAGAGAGAGAGAGGGGGGGGGGAAAGAGAAAGTAAAGCTGGGAGGAGTGGGAGTTGGAGAAATAAAACGAAAGAGACGGAAGTACTAGCAAATTATTGGGCAAACTTTTTAAGTGTATTGGCGCCAAAAGTATTAAAGAACTTTAATCTTACAGAATGAAAGAAAACGAGCAACTTTACGCTGATTAATTTTTAGAAAAAGTTTAACGGTCTATTTTTTATGTTGATTTATAATGGGAATAAGGGAAAAAACACACATCTACACATAATATAAATCAGCTTCGTAACAAATTGTATGCTGCTAAAAGTATAAAAAACGCTAAAAAGATTTTAATGGATAGATGGGTGATAGGATAAAAGAATGGTATTTAACTTGCTATTATCTGTAATTAGTTAATTTTTTTTATTATTAAATTAGTTTCATTCATTTAAGAATTCATATATTTTATGTAATATCGTAAATATCCCATAAATCATAGAGTTATAAGGTTAAGGATATAAAGATTAAATAAATATTAATCATTTTGTATAACTTATTTATATTTATTGACTGTACTCCATAGGAGTCGTTCTCGATTATGTATTTTATACAAGAAAGGAGGAGAACAACAATCAATAGAATAAGAATACTGTAAAATGATAAATAATGACTCTAGCGTGGAATTTATCGAAATCAAAAAAGAAACAAAAACACATAGACACAGTATAATAATTAAGAATGCGTGAGAGACTTTAAAAAAGAATGGAAAGAATTAAAAGGATAAGTGAAAGAATGAGAATGTATCTAGTTTATAAAAGAATGAGCATTCTAGCTTTTTTCCTTCTGATTATTTATCTGGATACAAAAGCTATTTTTTCGCTTTCTTCCCTAGCAGCATGTTTATTTTATATTTCGGCAAACCGATCTACTGACGTTGTTAACCAGATAAGAAACGCTTAATTATATAGTACGAAAAAGAAAATATACTTTTTCACTATTCTCTCCTCTATCTTTATCTCATCTTTATACTATTTTTCTTCCCTAGTTTTCGCTGATAATATCTATAAAACAAGAAAAACTTCTTTTCATTGTTATATTTATATAAATAGTTACAAACAAATGGATATAAATACAAATAAACTACTTTTTTATACACAAGTTTTAACTTTATTTAATAATGATGATTTATAAGGATATTAGATAACTTTTAATGGTAGATTTTTTGACTGATTATGTTAAATTCAATACTTACAAATAAGATTCTTTCGTTGATAATTTATAAAGAATATAGGCTCGATAGGCCTATTATCAAATCGACCTTTGCATGAAACACGGACTGCAACAGGTCAGTCTGTCAAAACTTTGCAGGAAAATCAATTTTCTTTTTCTATACAAAAAAGAAAGAGCATTTTTCTAACCAATTCCCGTATTATAGGCATTATACTATTATATACCTAGCTTTTCGTATACATTCTATCTATATAAATAAGTAATAAAGTCTTGTAGGCGAACCTCTTTTGCAGTTGACTACCCAAAATGTCTCTTCTCTTCTCTTGCAATTTTTTTCGTACAAGTTATTATTTAACGCTATTCGTTTTTTGTTTGGCATGGTTCGTTATGTTTCGTTCGTCGTCATCCAATTTTATAAGAGAAAATTGCAGTAGACCTTTGCTATGTTATTTTTTTTTCTTTGAGGAAAATTTTCCCTACCGTAGTTCTACAAGATTCTTATTCTCTCTTATTTCTTCCTTATTTCCATTACGCTTCGCAATGTGAAAATTCAGTCCTATTTCTTATTATTTCTTATTTATTTAGAATACTTTTAGAATTGATTGATTGAAATCCCGAATGTTATTGACAAGGCTTTGCTAGAATATTTCCAATAGAAAATAAGGAGGATTTAAATTAGAAATCGATTAATGTCCATTTTTCTCTTTGTTAAATCCGATTAAAGTAAAATTTTCTAATACATAATAACTATATGAAAAGTGTATAAAAAATCATAGAGAATTTTCTAATTGGTAAGATCTAACTTCGATGAGAAAAAAAAAATTAATAAATAATTTTTCCCTCTTCTCTTTTATTTTTTTCAATAATACAAACTGACCTTTCTCATCGTTTAATTCCATCAATTACTACTGGAATTTATTATAACATAAAGCCAATAATTTCTTTTTCGTTGGGATAGCGGCGTGTTTTCAGGCTAGATGATAAATTTTAGATAGATGAGGCAACCATATAGAGAAAGTGGAGAAAGTGAGAATGGAAAGAGAGAGAGAGAGAGAGAAGGGAGGGGGGAGAGGGAGAATGTATTTTTTAGATTTTTCCCCGATAATTTTCCAGAATAAACCAATAACGAAACCAAGTATTAAATTTGCAATATGTTGGCTGGATTTTTAGTAATTCTCTTTTACCGTAATCTAAGCCGTTTCATATATATCTACATAAATACATATTGGGCTATTCCCCCTTATTTTCATTTTATATAAGTGCTAAATAATAATTTATTTATATTCCATTTCTGTAGATTGTAAGGAAAGGAGGGAAAGGTTTACTTGCTTAGGAGATAAAAATCAATGTTCATTATCAACTGTATGTGGTATTATTTGAACAGGTGTTTAGCTATAAAGTTTTGTTTAAAGGTATAGAATTGATAAAAAAATCTTTAATTTAATTAATAAAACTTTTATCTACCGCTGATATCAGTAATTAGGATTTGGGAATGAGTAGTATGACTAATAAGAACTAAATTAGAAAATACCTAGAAAGGTAGCAAATATAATTTTCCGTAAAGAAATTTCTCTTTTTAAAAACAGGAAAAACCAGGACAGAAAATCAATTTTTATCCCTAAAATTAATTCATATTACAAGAATGTTCTCCATTCTTTTTATTGCAATTGTAAAAAATGTAATATCCGTTATGAAATAATAGCGAATCTTTGTTCTCTTAATTCCTTTTTTTGTCAGGAGGGGAAAGAAGCCTTGTTACGTTTAAGCGACGAGGCAGCTTTTAAGCTTATGTATAGAGTAAATGAATAATTTAATTCATAGTAGCAACTTTGCAGTAGATTTCTAGTGGTTTTATTAGCTAAGTAAATGTGAACAAATGTAGGAAAAATGTTTAAATAAAGAGATGATGGCAAAATGGCAGTGCGTAAGATCGAATTCGTTTGAATGTGATACTTGACTAATTGAATCAACTATTGTCTTTCATCCTTCGACTTCCTTATTTCGTTACGTAACTACAGAAACTGGAAAAAGGTTGCTTGTCTAATGATTTTCGTCTGTAGAAACAAAAGACTAAAAACTTGATCGATGGCCAACGACTAGGAAATAGAAGTTTCGCATCGATCGTTGAGACGCCTCGTTTTCCTATATATATTATATCCTACTTCTATTTAGACGCTCCGACGAACAAATTCGACGCCTCTATCCGTCTGCAAGTCGCATTGCGTAAGAAATCGCGAGAGACAAGTGCAGAAGCGAGATAAAGGAAGGCGTCGTAAGGAATAGACGCCTTTAGACACCTCGAAGAGAGGGCAATCAGAACCGAGTAGTTCCTTCATTTCATAAGACATTCAATGGCCGGAAAAATTGCTCGTTAAGCGTTAGATACGCTGCAGGGTGTCGCCAATAGTTGCATAATTTTTGATAGCTTCTGAAGGGTTTCCCTCCAAAATATATTAACTCTTCTTTCCATTAAACAATTTCTTTACCGTCAATTAATGTTACATCAATTACATATATTCTATACTATATAATAATAAAAAAAGAAGAAAGAAACTCATATTTTTCTCTTTCCAACCTAAAAATACATTTTTCTATCTCAACTATCATAAAAAGATAATCTATTTTTACAACGTCTAATTCTATTTAACCATAAAAGTTTACCTCTCTCTCGTTTATTACTCATCAAAAAATTATTAGTACCAGTTAATTATCGTATTAGTTATTTACTTACTAATTTTACTTCTAGATATCGAATGACCAAGAGTAACAAGACTAAAAACATTAATTTACTGAATGGTTAACATACGAAACTGTCGATTAGACAAGAATAATGTTGCTTAATTATATATATCATATAAGTAATTGATCGTTTTTTCTCCTTTTACTTCTTCTTTCTATCCAATCCTCTCTGCCCTTTCACCCGTCTGTCTTTTTTTCTCTCTCTCTCTCTCTTTCTCTCTATCTGCCTCTCTGTCTTTCACGTATTTCTAATTAACTGCTCTTTCTTTCACCACTTTATAAAAGATATATTGTATTTATCTAATGAAATGTGAAAGTATAAAAAAGGATCTGAACTGTTTTAAAAGAGACTTTTTGATAAAAAAAAATAAAGCATAAGTACTTTTTCCCATTTTCGCTCGTCAACCGTATCTAATTTTACCACATGTGAATTTTTTTGCTGTAATTATCCAATATATAATTTGTTTTATATGAATTTTATATAAATTGTTACTAAGAGCTAACTAGATCCTTCCGTACTTCCGGTCTAGTAAAATGGGTAAAGAGTTTTTAAAGGAGGCTTAACTTTCCTTTGTACTCTTTTTCAATGTAGTTTGGTGTGTAAGTGACCGTATACGAAAGATTTTAGGAAAAAATAATAAGAATATCAAACTTGTAACATAATCCATTCTAAACGACAACTCTTTATATTAATTTGGGTAAAAGGTTTCGAAATGATATTTTGTTATTGATACAGTGTCAAAAAAAGAGCAAATGAAGAGAGTTCATCATCAAAAATATGAGGAAACAATTCGTAGCTTTACAGCATATAGACTGTTATAAAGGACATTAAAATCATTATAAAATACTTATTTGTGTTATTTTAATATCTAATACCATTTTCCCCTTTTTTCTTTTTTGATACCATATTTCTACTTTGAAACTAATCTGGTAATTTGCAAAGTTATTACTCGATATGTTTATGTTTTATTTTTATAAAGATAAAAATAAGTAAGATGTAATCTTCGAACGGCTTCTTTTGTGCATCAAAGACTGAAGAAAGCCTATAATTCATCGATGCTACTAGATCACGTAACGCCTCGTTACTTTATCTGATCCTGGCTGTGGGGCTCAAGACTCCATGAATTCTTCGTCTTTACCCTCCAAATCAATAAGGGTTTCTTCTTTGAAGATGATTTTCAGTTATTAATAATGTAATGTTTCCTTTTCAACAGTATAATACTATCATTTTTATAAGAAAAAAACATAAGTTATATTATTTCGTCAAAAGCCTTCCACTTTACTAGGTGTGATTAAATAACTGAATCATAAGGTTTTGTTTGTATAATATATCAAAGAGGAATAGAAAAATGGGCACAAAAATTATACTAGTTGGAATTTGAGGGAACGTTGAAATGCCATATTAAAGTGCAATTCACTTTGATTCCTTACTAACTAATCTTACTGGAATAGAATATATTTTTTGGTTTATTAGAGTTTGGTCTAATTGGAGAATCCATAGGAGAGGAAAGGGATTAGGAGCTATTTATAGGAAGGTGTAAAACCAAGAGCATTGTTCCGGTATTGGTTTTGTACTAGGGGAAACGAAAAGAAAACAGATTTAAGGAACAAGGAAGAGAGGAGAAATTACCAAGATCCATTAAAAGGCGTAGGACATTATCAAATTATGCAGAGCGTAATTAATTAGCGCATTATTTGCACTTTGTCGTTCGGTTCTTTTATGTTCGTTGTAAAAAAATCGATGGAAAGAGACTACATAGGCGTGTCCGAAGCACCGAAATTGCTGGGCGTGTTACTGTCGTTTTAAGAGGATTAAACCGTCTTAACGCTGCATGTCGTCTACTGCTAAAAACTGCAATAAGATTTTACAATAATCTGACTTATTTAGAACTAAAACGTGCCTTTTTTCCCGGAAGGATTAGCAACTTTCACTCTTAATTTTAAATTTCTCGGAGTTAATAAATCATCGTCTAACTAAGAAAACGTTAATCTAAATAGAAGTAATTTTGTCTAACAATCTCCTTTAATATATTCACTTTAGCAGATAAAAGTACTTTCTCGTACCCATTTATGCAAATAAAGTAAAAGATTGATTTATCTACACCATCTAAAAAATTTCTCTGAAAAGTCTGTACTCTGATTCTAAAAATAACGCTAAAGCAAGTGACTCTTTCGAGTAGGTATAAAGGCAAAAAAACTATTAATCTCGAGAATATTTTCGCTTCTTTATAATGTCTATTTAGGAAAAACATCACTACATATATTCTATTCTAATGACGTAAGATCTAAGCTAAGTCATAAAGGAGATATAGGTATTTAAGGTTATAAATAAAGTACTTGAAAGGTGGGAATTTAAAAATTTAATAATTTTTTCCACTTTACATTTTAAAGCTTTTAGTTAACCCGAAAAATGACGCTTTTTAATGATCAATAAAAGTTTTGAAGCGTTTTCGTGATGAATCATAAGAGATTGTACAACGATAAAATTGGAATGTATATATATATCATCAGACTCCAGTTTATAAAAAGAAATATATACATATAAAGAGGAAGTTATAAAGTAGGGGGAAAATCATTGCAATTGATAATGGGGTGTCTTATTATGAGGATCGTTGCGGGCGGAATAATCGAATTTCTTCAATTGAGCATTCGAAAATATATATATATATACTAGATATATATAGATAGATATATATTATATTTTGCTGCTAGATTGAGATGTATCGTATTCTTTATTTTTCTCTTCATAAAAGCAAAATTATAAGTTATAAGTTAAGGTAATTACCTAGTTTTCTCTCCCTTTTTCGAACAATAGTTAAAAATAGGAAAGGAAGTAAACTGGTGGTCGATGGAAAAGAGAGCCAAAGCATCTCAGAGGCTTAGTTAAGGATAAAGCGTAAGAATCGTCTTGTGTAAAAATTTCTTTTTCTCTCTCTCTCTCTTTCTTTCTCTTTTAAAAGACGAGTTGTTGAAGTTAATTATATTCCCTTTGCGAATGTTTACCAGATTCCTTTAGAATTATAAGCTGGAAAAACATTTAGCATATTATAGGCCCACTGCTGATATTTACAAGCCTTTGCTTTTTAAACAATGAAATACTTCAATTTTCCCAAAAAGTAAAAATAAGGTTTTTTGTTTGTTTTTCTTACAGCTTGAACTAAAAGATATATTAATACTAACTAATAGCCTAAGTTAAATATATAAATATATATTGTATATTGAATAAACATCCAAACTAAAACTGTAAAATTGTATCCAAAGGGGATTGTTAAGGTAAGCTGCCTTTAACATTAAAAAAGTGATATATGGTTGATATTTACTTTATAAGTTGGATAGTTCACTAAAGAGAAGGATAAATGAGAACTACATAGACAGATAGATGAAGAAAGGGTATTTTCTAGTTTATAAAGTTAAAAGTAAATTAGAGCGTGAAAAAGGTAGAGAATCAAGCTTGTTTTTTGTTCTTTTTAGAAAAACAAAGAACTGTAAAGAGGAAATATTATAACCTTCCACTATCTATAAAAACCTTTGTTTGTTAAGCAGTAAACAAACGCCTTAATGCTATTTAGCACGAGCCTTTTGGAGAACGTCGTCCACAATCAATCTAGGGTTTGTCTTCCTACTTTGTTCGTATAGTCCATTAGGCTTTTAGCGTATATGTTAGGGAAAGACAAACAATCAATTCATTTCACGGGTATATACTCGAACAGATGTTGGATTTTCAAAAGCTTTTTCACGATCTCCATACAAAATTCATAAGTCTTTCTTTTAAAGTCGCGTGGTGTATTGTACTTTGGTTGAAAATTTTCCCAAAATAGAAATAATACATCAGTTTCTGGTTTAAGTTTCCTATAGATTTATTTAAATAAGAAATCAATCAATCGTCTTTCTAAAATCGACCAAGTTTTCTCACTTATTCAATGAATGCTAAAGCATATTTCTTTGTCTTTTTTATTTTGTATTAGAATAAATAGAGTAACAACAATTGATGTAAAAAGATGACTATTTAGTAATAATTGGATAAGTTTTTATGAAAATAATAGCTCTTTTTTTCAATAGATTCCAGAGATGCAAATTGTTATAAAGACAAATTTGAAGCTGATTGTGGCAAGAATGCTGTAATTGTTATGACATCGGCTAAATACGGAAGATTGGAAGGTTGCATCAAATGGAAATATGGGTATGTATCACGTTTTGTCACCTTGCAAGTAGGTTAATTTCTTAAAATAATTATTTTTTTAGGCAGCTAAATTGCCATGGAGACATGCTAAATTACATGGATCAACAGTGTTCTGGAAAAAGAATGTGTAAAATTTCGTTGCTTAGTTACGAATTAACAAATTTTACAGGAAATTGTTTGGATATGGATCTTGTGACCTATTTAAAAGCCGATTATGAATGCTTACCAGGTTAGTCTACTTAACTCATCTCTTGATACAGCAAGGTATAAAAGGAAAGAGTAGAGACGAGAGGTAGACAGAGCAAAATAGAGATCTCCTACAATTTCAACGGGGTAATTGAGAGCTTTTTCTACCTATTAAATTATCAGGTAGTTCGCTTATCAAGAAAGCAGAAAACTTATTGTGTATTATAGCATTATGGCTTTATTAAGATACTAAAAAGCGAATGATTGACATCCCCATAAAAAGAAATTGAGGCTTAACCGTTAAACTCTTTATTCAAGGAAGAAATATATAAAAAGATAGACATTAAGTACACTTGAACAATCCTTTGAAGAAAATGAGAAAAAAAGGCGAATAAATCGACACGCTATTTGATTGACTTATAGATCATTTTCTCAAAATATTATACGTTTAATCGACTTTTTCCAATATCGATGATAAACTACCCAAAACGATTGTTTATATTACATAATTATTGACCTTATGATAGCTTAGACAATAGAAATATTATATGGAGCGAAAGTAACCAAGACTATAAACTCTTTTCTTCTTCTCTTTTGGTTTTTCTTTTTCTAATTTTCTTCTTCAATTCATTTTACAGTTGTAACGAACCAGAATTCTTGCAAACCATGTAGCAATCTACGTGAACTTACTCTAACTCAGGCTACTGGTACACTGTCAAGTAATATTGCTGACCAGCATCATTGTGGTTCCGCTGACTGCCCTTGGACTATAAAGGTTAATTTAAATACAAGGTGATAAATTGCCTATTTTTTGTTTGGTCTCAAATACAGAAAATAGGTAATTTATGGCTATAAAAATACTAATATATACTTTAACCTATAAATGAAGTATATCAGTAGATTATATTTATACTTTATGAAAATTTTTTGTAATCATATCATAAGGGGCTCTGTACTTTTCTCCCAGAGGTATTCGTACCGAATAAATGCTTATTATCTGTAATTGTCCGCCAGCAGTATAAGCTATTTATAATACTGTATACGATATATAGTTAAGTATTATTATTTTCTTTTTATAAGCTATAGTTATAAATCGTTGTTCTCTTTCAAGAAGAGAATATAGATTAAGCATCGAGAGGGAAACTTTTGAAAATGGATACCATATAGATGAGAGGTTCCTTTGTTTAAAACTTGTAATAAAATAACAATATTTGATTTTGTCTAATACGTAGTAAAGCTCTTTAGAAGATAGCTGCAAACGAATATTTTTAAATATTACCTCTATAGGTACAGACCTACTAAAAGTCATTTTATACAATCGATTAGATCAATAAATTTCTCGTAGCGTTAAAAACTGCTCATAACTTTAGGATAAAATGAAAGAATAGGGTTCCTATTTAAATTTTATCACAAAGAAATACAATTATTATAGACATTGTAGAAATTTAAAGATATTGACTTCCAGTATCAGAAGGGAAGAAAGAAAATAGGCACCTGCTTTCTTTCCTTAAAAATTGATTTATTGCGTTTGTAAAGTAGACGAAGAAACTCTATCACGTGATAAATTTCTTTGATAAAAGACCGAAAAGAAACAAGTCAGTTATCTCACAGAGACTTGGCTAAAATATAGACTTTGAAGTACCTTTTTCCCAGGAAAAGGGATTCTCTATTCCTATGAGAAGTGAAGGCAATTATGGCTGGCCAATTCATTAATTAACTTTGACGCCGGTCTAAATAAAAGGCTCATAGAAGCCCTAAAAAGAGTCACAGAAAGTTCACAATCGTTGTTTTATACAAACTCTTGTATTTAACTCTTAAATAGAAAGGAAATGAATTTTATTCAAGGATATTTTAAATCAAAACCTTTTGCCTTCTAATTAATCAAAAAAATTTCATTAAGGGATCAAATTCCATTTTCAGAGTTTTAAGACCCAGGAGGTATATTAATTATAAAAAGGGGTATTCAGTGAATAAAATCTGCATGTGTAACGAATGATTTAACCAAAATGTACAGATAACATAGTTATATAAAACAAAATGATTTGTTTAGCACTTAGAATAAACTTCCGGTAAAAATCCAAAACGGTTATCTCCTTAAAGTCAGTGCGTGTAGCATGGGAAAAAAATGGAATTATAGCTTTATTTGTACAAGTCTAAGTGTTTTATTAAAAAGAGCTAGACGTTGGGAAACACTTGAGGCTAATAAAATATGCATATAGAACATATTTATATATAAATACATATATACATATAGTAATTATATATTATTATAGCATTTTGCTTATAGTCTTGTATATATATACATATATATAGATATGACTAATATATTTATATAAATATTAGATAGAGTTTGTAAGAAATCACGCATACCATCTTTCCTATCATTTATTTATGTAAAGCTAGGTTAAAAATATTAGTGAAATAGCAGAAGCCCCCTATCGAAATCTTCCCCTTCAGCTAAAAAATAACAAACAAACCCGCAGGCTCAACCCGGACAAACAATAACAATAAAGCTATCGGATTTCGCTAGCAATGACGCATCGAATACAAGCAGTATAGACCGTCCGGCATCTGTAGAGAAGAAGGACGCTTGCCTAATCTATGCTGTCCTAATAGAAAGAGCGTCGTCCAGACATCGTCATAAGACAGTTTGCGCTCAAAGTATTAGGCACACGATGATTTATTCGAGTTCCTCCTACTCCGTCGAGGTGCAGATGCTCAGGGGATCGGACGGAAAGAGGCCTGGTGAATTTCTTCTACATTACGAAAGTTAGTATTTCTTTTCTATTCGTTTATTTTACCTCACCACTTTAGTTTACATAATGCGTAACGTTTATCTCAATGAGGGTTTGTATTCCTACTCTTCTATTTCATCAATTTGTTTATACTGGGAATAGATAAAACTATCCTTTTCCGCCCCCAGAACAAAAGAAAGAAATTAGGATATATTTGTAAGAATTCCTTTTACTAAGTCCTTTTATTCAAATGATAGGATGAGCTTTTCTTTTCGAAACAATTGCAAGTTTTTACCTTTCTTTTTCTATCCTTACCTATAAACTCTTTTTATTTAGAAAACAATAGAGAGGAGAAAGGGTTTTTGCAGTCTCTAAAGATTTTCTAAACATTTTTGTTATCTTTGAAAGTGAAAGAAGAAGCTTTTCGGGTTTAATAGAAGAAATTCTTGTTTTATCACAAACGTGAACTCTCTTATTAATGAAAAAATTGAATTACAGAAATGAATTAGCATAAAGATGAATAATTTTATAGCTACTTACAATTTATTCACTTCGTTTCCTTTGTTGTAAATGGAAAATCTTGTTAGGATTTTCTAGGGAAGGCAAAACGAAGATGTATAGAGAAATGAGAGATGGATGGATAGATAGAAAGAAAGAGAGAGAAAGAGAGAAGGAAAGGCAGATAGGCATGCAAAAATGTTAAGAGGTGAAGAGATTCTGTTAAAAGAATACTTATAAATATTGAAATCCTGAATTATACACTAATATATTAAAATAGCATGTAGAAAATACAGTATATACCATATAAGGTATTGGTAACAGCAACAGTGATTTTTCCCTCTTCCAGTGCAATATCTACAATATCTATATTTACAGCTAATGTGTTTTTGCTTATTTAACAAACATAAAAAACTTCTGATTGAAATATTATAGGACTATTGAAAAAAAAAATATATTTTACCCTCATGATGATTAAAATTTGAAAAGAAAGTATTACTTTCTATTTAATATATATATTAATCCGTGCTTTTTATCGATATAATTAGTCGTAAAGGAATTTTTATATATACTTATCTATATTGCAATATTTAATATTAAAGGATTAGAAAATGCACAGAACTGTTACAACTGTTAATTATAAATTAAATAGAGAAAACAAAAATAAATAGGGATGTTTATTTTTTTATTATCGGGGATATAGACAAGTTTTTCTTTCAGTTATATCTGTCTATTTTTGCTATGAGATAGCGAAATCAAGATAGACGAGATTTCTTTCTGATATTCATTTAATTATCAAGGAATGAAAAGGTTATACGAGATTTTGACGTTTACACAGCTCAGTTCTTTTCTTATTGTATAATAGTAATTTTACATACAATACATCCATTAAAGATATAAATCATAGAGAAACTGTAATATATAAGGTCATCTGGATATGATAAAAAGAATAAAAGTTTAGCAATTAAGTTAATTTTGTTCTTTTACTTTTAATTATAGTTCAAGGATGTCCAGAACTCCCACACAAACCATTTGGTTGGCGTCACAGAGTTAGTGAGAATTTAATGGAAGTAGGATGTAACGTTCATCACCAAGAAGTCTGGAATTTGACTTGCAATGGTACAGAATGGGTTGGAATGGATAGAAATTGTTCGCCGCCAGCAGTCCCCGTCAAAAAGTCTTCTATATGGCGAATTGCTATCGGCAATTTGTCTTTGCCTACGGGTGGGTAGTTAAACGCCATCTGGCGATACTATATATAATTACTCTATTGTATTTGCGTTCATTTTTCCCTTTATTAGTCGGGTTGAATGTCTTTAAATTGTATAATTCATATTACAGGATTCTGGATTGCAATTATAATTGGAGTAGCTATTGTTGTTTCGGTTTCCATTTTAGTAACTGGAATGGTTTGCTTGAAGAAGTAAGTAGACTTTATCTGGGTGTAAAAGAATCTATCTAAAGTCATAAATAATAAATTAAAAAAAACAAAAATTAAAAGAAAAGGGAAATTACCATTAGGCAAAAGTTCCTTTTAATAATATTGTAAAAGGATGTCAAACGAAAAAAGCACAATGTCTCTCTCTGGAACGCTTAATTGATCTAGCAGAACGTCCATCGACTTTCCTTAATTTTTATTGTATGGGCGTTTCTTATCTCTTCTTTGCATTTTATCGTTCTAACAGTGATAGGAATTGAAATTATTTCCATTAGCCTTCTAAAAGACAATATGTTTTATATAGTTGCTTATAGAGGCCCAACAATAGTAAATAGCTCTAAAACAGGGCCACAGATGACGATATTAATTAGATTAGAAGACTGAAATGGAGACGAATAAGTAGGATAAATCTACTAATTTTTTAAGTACAGCCGTTAAGGCCTTTGTTGGAGAATTAAACCAATATAAAACGTATTTTGGCCTATTTCGATGTCTTTTGATAACACTATATGGTTTTAACTAGTTTCTTATATTTCAGGCAAAAACATAAGGCGACTGCAAAAAAAGCACAGATTGCAGGGTATCTTCTAGCTCAACAGGAAAAAGAGATGTGGGCTAGACCGACCAGTCTAAAGAGGAATACCAGAGCTCTGCCAGCAACACCGAAGCCCATTCCACAGTCGGAGAACGATTACGCTTGCGTTGAGGACTTTCCGCCACATCCGAACGAGTGTAGTAAAAAGCGTTGCTCAAGGGGATCCGCTGGGTCGTTGAGACACGTGGCGACACCTTCCGGAGAGAAGAGAGAATATCATTTTGAATTCTCAGATGCAGGTTATAATACAGGGCCATCTAGTGAACACGGTGGTAATGAAAACGGTCATTCATATTTTACATTAGATCCGAAGTTGGTGGTTGATCCTATGGGTTCTGTAAGGCCTTGCAGCGGGATACATACTCAAGTGCAAAACATCTCAAGGTTTTAAACGAGATGTAATTTAGAAGAATATTTAAAAGAAAAGGAATATAGCTCAATAGTTCTCAGAGACGTGTCGCAAGAAGATAAATAGCCAAAAAATTAATAAATAAATAAAAACAACGAAAACAGACAACGCCAATTCTACTTAACATTACACACTGTACATGTTACAGTATATATGGATATATAAGTATACTGTATATATATATATATATATTAAGTATAACAAATGTTATACAATGTTATATATACATAAAATATACTAAATTATATTAAAATACATTTTATTAATTTTTCATATTTCTTTTTAATTTTCCGTATATTCTGCATTCAAATTGCCTAATAAACAATTTTCAAAACAACTAAACATAAAAGGAACCAGTTAAAAATGAATAAATTATCATATTTTATTAAAATGAAATATAAAAGAAAAACGAACTATATATAGGACAAGAATCGAATGATTTTATTTAAATAAGGCGGAAATAGTCAATATATAATTTTTTTAGGTTTATTTTAAATTGTAATGCAAAACAAAAGGAAAATAGTAATCCAAATCTCACCAATTGGTTTTGTAAATATCCAAAAAATAGCTATTTCCAATTTTGTTATTTTAACTCTGAAAAAAAAGATTGGAATATGTCCATATATAGAAATTAATACTGTCATTAGTCCGTCTTAAACATAGATTGTGATTGGAAGATAGATAGTTAGATTGATAGGAAGGGAATAAAGGCGAATATAAATAGAAAGTTTTCGGAAGACTATGTCTATAACTGTATATATGTACTGTATAATAGTTTATATTAGAATATACATGAAATTTTTTAATAAAAATACGAAAAAAATAAAATCAGAGCAGTTTTTCAAGTACATATATACTTTGGATGATTAATACTATTGATCATGTGAGTTAAATTAGATTTTTATCCAGATTTCTCATTCATTGTCTACATATTTATAATTTAGAAAGAAAAGCACATTTTTCATTATAGTTAACATTTAAAAATATATAATATCTTAATAATGCTTAAAGGTATAAGCATTTTTTGATAGCTCATGAAAACCATTATAAAAATGGATATAGTTTTTATATACATTTATCTGATTAGATATATTTCTCTTTTAGCAACAAAAGGTGAAAATCTTATAAAGTAACTTTTGCTTTCATGCAAAATTTATAAATATTCGAGTTATATAAATATAAAAAGGTAAACATGACAAGGTTTTTTAACTAAAAGAATTAATTTATTATACTATATGATATAAATTATAAGGTTGTGTTTAAATTTTCATATTCCTATTGCCTGTATCGGATCAGTTGTAAGAATACTTGTTTTTTCTATTAGAGACGTGTTTGTCAGAAAATGAAGAGAACAATTTGTTTTAATATTATCTTTATTAGCTTAATAATTCCTTATTATTTTCAACAAACTCGTATGTTTGTTAAAAGAGAATGTAAGTTATTCAAATTAATGTATTAAGAATAATTAACTATTTTTTCTAAACATGTCTTTAGATTGTAGAAGCTACTTAGCATACTCTGACACTATTTATAATTTTGAAAAAACAGACGAGACGTTTGACGAATCTAAATTACAGTCATGCTTGAATAGATGCACAGCATCTGACAGTTGTTTCTCATTTCAATTTACAGCTAATCAAAATAAATGTGTAACAAAAAATTTAGCTATCCTTGGTCCAGAACTAAGAAATAAAGCAGGAACAATCTATTATGTTAAAGTCTATGAAGAAGGTTTGTTTTGGTTGATAATTAAATAGTTGTAATATTAAAATACACACTTTGCTATAGGTTGTAACCATTTTAGGACATTTAAGAATCATGTCTTCGATAATAGATGTCTTTTAGAGAAATCTTTTAACGAAACAAGGGAAAATTGTTTATTGAAATGCGAAGAAAAGGAGAACTGCTTTAGTGTAAACTATTCCAAGCAAAAGAGTTGTCATCTTCTTTGTGGAATAGGTAATGGTGCCTCCATCGTATCATATAAAAACTTTGAAACTCATATTAAACCTTTATGCTTAGGTATTTAATATATGGTAACCTTTTACTAAACAATTCATTACTGAAGTCTTTTTTATTAATAACAGCTACATTTCAAGTGGAGCTTCAATGGAATTCAATGTCAGTAAATGAAAAACCATTTCCTCTTATACAAAATTATGGAGACGGCATGAAAACTTGTTCGTTGGGATCGATTGATCAACCAACTGTTATTTTCACCACTACTCAATACTTTAGAAAACCAGTAAAGTTTGATGTGCAAGTGTTTTTAAATGCATTAACAGGACCGTGTACAAGTATTGTTGACGTTGGAACATATAATAATGAAATCTATAAAAGTTGTCAATTGTTAGAGCAAGTTTCTAATATTTGCAAATTTTCTTGTTCTGTTTCTAACCTCTCTAAATTTTTAGTTAAACCCTTAGTTAAAAGTATAACGTTTTGTGAGATATCTGTAGACAGTTCAACGCACTCTTTTAATGTTTGTTACTAGAGAGAGTTTGTTGTTATATACATAAAAAATTAAAATATCTGCAAACCTTTAATCATTGACTGGCTAATAAATAAAAATGTATAAACAGAGGTAGTAGTAAATGTCATGTTCTATTACTTTATTTTAGCAGTTTTTCAGTCATAACATTAAAAAAACACTTAATTATTGAATATGAACATTTATAGAGTATTTATGAATTCTTTTAAGAAAATATTAATCAAGTTGTCGTCTCTATGTTTTATTATTCAAATATCGAATTTAGAATAATCCTTGTTTAAATGCATCAAAAAGAAGTAACGGAATTGAACTATGAACAACGTTTTAACACTTTTTATATTTACTGCCTTACAAATTAGTATCCCGTTTAAACTGTTTATGGATAAAAATAGTAAGTAAATCTTAAATCCTCATTCATCGGATTACGTTAACGATTTCATCATAAATAGTTTGTAAGCTTTACCAAGGCTATAAACACGAATTGCCTGGATTATCACACTTTGAACTCTACCTTGGTAAAACTATGGAAGAATGTCTGAAATTATGTGAAGATCATGTGAGATGCGCCTCTTTTACTTGGAATAGTACAAGCAAAAAATGTGGACTTTTAAAATATGCTTTTTATGACAATGGAATGTCCTTTGCTGCTGATATTTATTACTATTCAAAAATTATCCATTCTGGTATTAAGAATCTCTATATGAATTTTAAATATATATTAAAAGTATTATTACAGAATGCTCTAATTGGAAGCGATTCCAAAAAGTTGTCATTGGCTGCATTTGTTTGATTGATAATATTAAAGACATACAGTCTGAAGAAGAATGTGTAAATATTTGTAATAGAACAGATTACTGTCTTGGTGTTAACGTGAATTTGGAAGAACGAAGCTGCCATACATTGTCAGCAGATGGGCCTTCAGCTAGTTACTTTGAAATTATACCAGCTGTTCATTATTCTAGGCCACAATGCTTAGGTTGTAACAGTAAAAGACATAGTGATTAAATGCGATTTATAACAAACTTTTAATTCTTTTGAACAGCAACTTTCAATATTGAATTGGAATGGCATGATTTTATATCCACAAACAGCTATAAATCACTTTTAAAAAGTTTAGGAGACGGCGAAACTAAATGTCAAACAGATATGATTTATAATAGTAATGTTATCTTTACATCAGAAATCTTATTTGAAGCTATAACAATAATCAATGTTAATATATATTTATCTCTTCTAAACAAAACGTGTGATAACGTTGTTAAAGTAACTGCTAATTTTTATGATGAATTTGAACCATGTTACTCTATTGAGGGAAATGAATATTACTGCTCGTTCTCATGCGTTGGTAGTAATTATAACAAAATAAGATTGGAACCAATTATGAAGGATGTAAAGATTTGTGAAGTTTCTTTAACTTCGACTAATAGATTGATAAGTGTTTGTGTGTAATTTTCAAGCTTTAGAATAAAATTATTGAAACATATTTCTTGATTGAGAGAAAGTGATAAAAAAGCTTTGAACAAGATTATCACGTTCTCGTAAATTGATGTACATATACATGTTTATATTGTTATCGCATGTTTATGTTTTCATGAACTTTCGAAATATAAATAACTATTGAATGTATATTTATAGATATAGATATGAAAAGAAAGAAGAAATATATAGTTTATGCTAAATTTAACGTAGCAGACAATGATTTTATAGCTATAGCTCAGGTAAAGTTTCTTTTTTTTTTAACCCAAAAGATGAAATTCTTCTTTTCTAAATATAGTTAGAAATGTCTCAAAAATGATGTATATATAATAAATTATATATATTTTCTTAACTCAGTAGATACTACTACTAGTAGACATTACACAAAAGTTTATCATAATTAAGACTATCAGAATATATAATTATATACTCATATTCTATTCATTAAATGTTGTTAATTAATTACATTATCCTTAGTTATTGACTAAAAGAACTGAACAATAAAAATACGTCATTAAGGGAAGAAATTGATAGATGGCGACTGCAGCTAATTATGTTCATAATTTCCATTTCTACTTCCACTTTGTTGACTAACAAGACTTAAAGTTACTTCGTATTGAAGAAGATGATTTGATAATACGTATGTTTGCTATTCAAATAAAAATAGATAAAAAGACATATATGAAAAATTAAATTAACTTTGTGTTAAATACCAAGTAAATTACCTTGTCGTATTATTTTTTAAAAGCAGTACACATTGATTATATAATTACCTTACAAAGAAAATGAAAAATTGAATTTTTTCCTTATTCATTCTTTAAAGAATGTTAAATTTAACTGGAAATATCATCTTCAATTTAAACGAATAAGCAAAATATAGCGTGCCTATTAAAATTATTTCTACATTCATACTTTCTACTCTTTTGCCTAATAGTAAAAAAGAGAATGCTTGCTTGCATATCAATGTCTATTATTATTAATCGTAAATATCATGAATAATTCTTCTAGAGATGTCTTTTTTTCAATTCTCATATCAATCTTATTTTTAACATTTCTTTTCTATTTTCCCTTTTCAGCAATTAATTTTACAGTTTTCATTCTTTGAAATATTTTCATATTCCCTTTATTCTTCATTATCTTTTAGAAATTATTAAAACTTCGGCTTCATAGATAAGAAAATGAAATATATCTATGATAAATGATTGACTCAAGTGTTGTGTTCTGACTTGATAAAAGTTTCTAACTTTTACTTTTATTCCTCTCATTGATCTTGAAAATTAACCCTTTGCTTATTTTACAGAGCGTTTGACAAATTAGCCTTTCGCGTAGGTGATACGAATACATTCATACATTAAAGTTTGTGTAGATAAGAAATATGCAGTACAAATGTAAATTGATCACTATCTAGTTTGCTTTCCAGGGTTAAAATGCAAACATTAGAAAATTACTACTAGTTAACGGAAGTACAGATTGTAATAAAACTGCAATTAAAGAGCTTTCTCTTAGCAAAAAATGTTCGATGTTAATTTATTGCATACCATAAAATGGTATTTTCATTATGTGTTCTTGCGTTAAGGCAGTCTTAAACCTATAAGAAATAAAATTGCCTCTCTCTGAAGATTCTTAATGAGTTTTTCTTTTTCTATTTGACAAAGAAAGAATTTGAGTTGGGTATTTATCAATAGAATAAAGTTCGTATCACTATTCTGAGGTAATCTCAAAAAGAATTAGAATTTTTCTGGTCTCAAATTATTGAACAAGTTTTCATTAATCAGTTATGAGATCTATTATAAAATTACAAAATTTAGGTGGTATTCTACGTCATATGTCATATTACAACACGATAAGTGTCTCCAATACACAAATGTGTTATAGCCCGCCTTTTTTTACTGACAATTAGTAATATTAGAAATTTCTATGCTAACCGATATAAAAATCATGCTCTATGCTAATGAGAAAAAATTACACAATGAACCTACATATTTAATATATGATATATTATTTTCTAGATATAATTATTCAACTTAATTGTATCTAATTAAATCGTACGCAAAAACACTCCTCCTTTAATATTAATAAGCTATAAAATGTAACATATACAAATGTTTAGAATTCGATTTCTATTTCGCCTTGTTTGTTCTTAATATCGCTTTTACGGCCATTTTTTCCTTTTCATAACATTATTGCTTATTTAGTATAGTTATTTTCCAATAGAATATTTACGCTTAATTTATTTTAAAACCGAAAAATTGCTAATACATCGAAATTGTATTGAAAAGGAAACAGTTTATCCGTATTATAAGAATATAACAGAATACTTCCGTTCGATTGTTTACTATTACTAATTGATTAGCTTTTATTACTTCAAATATTAAAATTTATTCTTTCGATAATAAAAAAGAAGTATTTTGCGAGAGAGAAAAGGATTTTCATTTTCTTTCTTTTCTTGTTGACATTTAACAAAACAGGATTTAACATACTTGGTCATTTTATTATATTCTATTATTGTATATTCAGCTATAGCTATTATGTCGTTGGCTTGATAAAGTTATAAATAAAAGGGAAAAAGTATTAGACTGACTTTGAAAAGATACACAAAGATAGAGCGAGAGACAAAGAATGATAAAGGAATAGTTAAGAGTATAGGAGCAGAGAACATAAAGAGATTATGTTATGAAAAGAGAGGAAAAAACGCCTTTTCCCATTATTTATTTATCCTTTTAACTTTCAAAATATATAATATCGTTTTAGCTAATTTAACTTGTTGCTCTTTTGTCATTATTGTTTAATACTTAAATAAAAAAAGTTGGGATAATTTTTAGGGTCCAAATTTTTATTAGATGCTCACATCCATTATCTGAAACTTTAAAAAAAACCGTCTAAATATAAACGCTCTTTCATAAATAAGTTTGTTAATTTTGAATATAGAAAATTATCTTTTGCACCAAAGTTCTATACCAAAATTGGTATAGACATATATACTGTTAAAGATAGTTTTATATACGATTTCCAATGATATCGTTCAAAAAAAAAAGATAAAAAATACTTAATACAAAATTGTAGTTTTCTTGTCTGTTCAAAATATTCTATATGGAAAAAAGTAACAAAATAAAAATTGAATTTTCATATTTTTTATTTTCTCAATCTTTTTTCAAAAAGAAAAGAAATAAAAGGCAAAAAAAAAATATAACTAAGTTTGTAATTGAAAGGGAAAAAATGGGTTAAAATTTCTTTCTTTAATGTAATAATTCTGTATTTTTTCCTTTCATCCTATTCTGAAAACTTACTTGTTACAATGTGTTTGACCGCAAATAAAATATTTGACTTTTGCCAAATTTTTGCAGTACGAGTCCATACAGACACGATGACTCCATCTTTTAGAAATTTTCTGTGCGTTTGTGTTTTCGACATTTCCGCATGAGTTAACTAAACAGTCGTAATAGGAATCTTCTTTTGGACAATTAGCCGCGCATTCGGGAACTTCAATTTCCCATTTGTTGGGTAGGTCAAATATGGATGATATTAAGCATTTTTCTTTGGAGCATTTTAACAAAGAAAACCCAGTCAAATTTGGGCAGAGTTGGTGTACGCAGATCGACGCGAAACTTGGGTATGGGTTCATTGGCCAATTATTCGCGTTAACGCCATTACAATAGAGATCAACACAACGTTGAAGTTCTCCTCCTTTAAGTCGGGTGCAGAGGCTCTTTTGACAGTCTTCCGAGCTGTATTATGAAAATTTATTTATTTATTTTGTTTACGTTCTATTCATGTAATACATAAATAAATAGTAAACATATATAAATAGACGTTCATAGAAGTAGAAATTTTTTTGTTCCGATTAAAAATGGATTCTATTCATTTTCTTTAAATAATACATACCTATACATATTTTTTTAATATATATATAATGCTGTTCTTTCGCTTAGAATTAATTTTTATGTCGTATAATCTGGTTTGGAATAATCATCCTAATTGAAATCGATAAACTAGGAAAATTACTTTAATTTAACCTAGCAAGTCGAACGATTTGCCATAATCCGACGTTAATGAGTAATAATAAAAAAAGGAAGAAAAACTAGTATTTTATGAAATTCCTATTAATTCAGTTTCCTAATAAACTTTCAATTAAGTTTCTTATTATTAATCACTTGGAAATAACTGGTACATTATACATATAAATGGCATGTGTAAAAATGTTCTATATATATATATACAATTGTAAAGATCATCTTTAACTGTTTTATTGAAAGACAGTTGGAAAGAATTTTCAACAGATTCCATATAAGATAAAAAAAGTTAGTAAGTAAGAATATAAAGGAAAAAATAAAACTATATAATAAAAAATTTAAAACTTACTATTTATCAACTTGGAAAGAGTAACCAAGATTACAGCCGACTGTTTAGGGAAGAAATAATTAAATGATAGTTAATATTTTTCTATTACTACTGTACATCTATATATTTATGAATTATCTAACTATCGCTTTATTTAAGAAATGATACTATTTATCTAAAAGAGAGACCCTATATGTTTGTTAATGTCTTCTTGGAAATTAATTAAAAATATCAAAAGTTTTTATATATAATCTATTAATTCTGTTTTCAAGAAAGAAACATAAAGAGTATTGTTTTTATTACAGGAGTAGTTCTTTTAAGTTGAGCTATATTTCCAGGAAGATGAAACAAACTTTAAGTTTGGTCTGGAAATTATATCTTTACCATCTTCTCCGTTATTAATAAAAATGAATTCTATTGTTCTTAGTTTAGTAACTGACACTTGGAAAATATAAAATTTTACGAATAAAACATTTATTTAAAGATTTTATATCTAATTTAAATAATATCATTCAAATTCATCATTTTCAATTACTTACCAAATATGACCAAATAAAAATAACATGATAAAGTCAACCTTCGTCTCATAATCTTCCAACAGAGAAGTTTTGGCAAAACTGGGGAAAGAAATTCTT